TTACAATAATCGATAGAATATGTTATAGAAGTTACTAGAAATTGATACCTTCGGAAAATCTCGCACCATGGCTTGTGAAGTGAGACACAATTCAGTATGTGAGTTCACAATTTGTTTGAGATACGTTAATCCGGAAATGATACTATTTGTGATTGTTGTTTATTAAAACTTATAGACAAAAGAAAAAACAAAGTAAACTGTGACATTATTGTCACATAAATTAAAAATTATACTAATTTTTTCACATGCAAAAATCACAATAAGAAATAGGTACTCTTGGGCTTAGTAAAAAGTATTCAATACTGTTTCATACGGCAATTGAAAAAACCGTACATATCACTTCCTCACTGGAAAATAGTCTTGAAGAAGTATAATTACCTTTTGCTTTTTAGTTTGCATGACTTTCTCGATATCGACACGACCAATATCGAATAATAATTATTCATACGCGTGTGCATGTGACGTTAACACTACTAGATGAAGGTTCGAATTATATCAGAACGCGCTGCAAAAACTTAAATCTTTCAATAGTATGTTAATCGTAACATGTGAATTATTTCACTGTTGATAATCACATGATTCAGTCAACCATAAAATCAATATTGCATTAAATACGCAAAGAATCACAAAGGTTATGCATTATTCAGAGGGGAAAGAAGAAGGAAATAACGTGTTTATTATTTTTTATTGCATTTGCGTTTTTCAAACAAGATACTGCAATGTACCGCAATAGGAGCAAAACATATCTACGTCGGAATCAGTTCTCACGTTTGGCCATCATCACAGTGATGTTCAATCCTGTTCGATATCAAACTCGTTATCGACGATATCGACAATTCGCATATCATATGGCACGTTCAGGTGTCAATCTTTTTACTATCGAATGTATCTTCGAATCAGCAACACGATACGGTTTGCCACCACAACGATTCGAAGTTACACAGCCAAATAATCCACAACATTTTCAAGTCATAGCTCCATCCATCATATGGATGAAAGAAAATCTCATCAATATTGTTGTTCAACAACTACCACCTCACATTGATCGAATCGCATGGATCGATGCAGATGTTGAGTTCGAAGTGAGACATCATCATGTGTTATACACACACTCACCACTGTTTCAGATGACAACTGTTTTGTTTCTTCTATTGTGTATAGCGTCTTGATTGGCCGCAATTAACAATGGCTGCTCTTGATCGATATCCTATAGTTCAAATGTTCAAAGTTGGTTTCATGACTGGCGCTGGTGGTAAACGTGAAGTGTTGAAAAGAAAGTATTCAGTCGGATATGCCATTCGTCATGGTAAAGCGATTGAAGCAAATTATCCATATGGACATGTTCATCCAGGTGTAGCTTGGGCAATGCATCGAAGTACTTTTAGTGCAATTGGTGGTCTCATGGACTTCTGTATTGTTGGATCAGATGATTTACATTTTGCCTTTGCTTTGTTAGGTCGAATCGGGGAGACATATCCAAGTAATATACATCGAGATTATGCTATGTTAGCGAAGAGCTGGGGTGATCGAGTTGGTGCGATAGCTGGATATGGTGCAAATGTTGGTTATGTAGATATGAATGTTTATCATCGACGGTCTGGAAGTCGAAACAGTCGAAGTCATTTTGAAAGATGGTACGAAAGGACGACTTTGTAGAAGTATTTGTTAGACTGTATTGTTATTTTTTTGTGTGTTTGCTAGGTTAATCTTATCACACTACGAGTTTTCTCCAGCAAAAGACTTGGCGAGAGATGAGCAGTCGGGTGTCGTTTATTTGACAAACAAACGTCGATTTGATTTGGAGTTGGGAGCACGTCGAATCGAAGCGATTCAGCGAGGTGTTGTAAATTATTTTTTATCTCGCGATGAAGATAATCAAAGAATGGTGATGATGAGACAAATGGCACGAATGGGTGGATATGGTCATGGCGCAGTTGCTGCTGCTCCTCGTCGACACCGATCCGCTTCTCCAAATGCGATGATGAGAATACCTCGACAGATTGTTGCTCCTCGTCGCGCTTATCTTCAGGGCTTTTATTAAACTCTTTTTACACGAAACAGAAAGTATGATACAACATTTTATGGAAATTCTATTGAACGAGAAGGATAATTCTTACTCGATTCCATCTTAAAAAAAAGACCATTGACATGTTCACACACTAAACGCTGGCAGAACTAAAATACCGATAGACGGACAAGTTTGTGAAGAAATAAATTTGAAATGAACTTCACTGTTTTCAGTTGGCAAGTTACTAGACATAAACAAATTTTGCACAACGTCTTTCCTTTTCATAGTTGTGCAAACTTTGACAACTCTTAAGAGATCAAGAGGACCACAAAATATATTTTCAGATTGTAAGGTTAGCGTAAGAGCGAGTCATACATTATTTTTTGTCTAATACTTGTGCCTTATGAGCATCCTTGAACTTTTTCGCTAAAGAAACATTTCTACATACAATTCTGTGTGCTATACTAGCTCAAAACGCATACACAACATGGTATTATCTTGTGTTCCTATCAAGATTTCGCTACATATATGCATAATGCACTCAAATCACAAAACTGAACCCTATATGTAAAGACTTTCCGGCCACCACAAAGTAATTACAAAATCTATTTTCGCACAGATCCAAATAAGTCGTCGGGTAGTATCGATACCAGATTTTTTAAATGGGCCGTAGAAGATCTGCGCCTGTTAATCCAGATGAAACAAACGGATCTCGGGACAGAAATGGTCGTTGACATGCTCGAAGTCTAGTAATAATTAGAAAAAGAGCTACCATGTTCGATATGTTCAACAAGCAATGTAATGATTATTTATGAAACTCAAAAGCGTTTATCACCGGCATATTAGTCATCAACATCTGCGTACAAAGATACCTCATCTTGTTCATGAGACATTTTGAAATAACTTAGCCATAAAATATTAATGTGCACTTTTAGCTTTTTCTTTCTAAATAATTTAATCCAGGTCAAAGAATCCGACGCGGAACTGCCCGGATTCCGAACATTCCGCCGGTTTCATGCAAGCAAGATTCCAGGCCGGAAGAGCTTGAACTCCACCGAGAAACACTCCGAAAAATTACATCCAGAACTCTATATATGGAAGCCGGTCGGAAACTAACAGATCGGACAGCAACTTTCTTGACAAAAGGAACCCTAGTGTTCTGTCAAATTCCTACTCTTTCATATCCACTTTCTAAGCTTTTGAAAAACACGTCAGTACCAAAAAACACCTGATTTAACAGCTCGTCACCTTCCCGCAACCCGCCACTTGCCCAGGCACACAACAGTACACTAGAATCATTCTCGAACTGAATTTGCGAGCCGATGAAGATCGGATATTCAATCCTAACGAAAGAATGGTGATTGAAGTGTTAGATCAGTTTTAAGACAATACGATTTTATTATGAACAAAACGAATCTCACTACTGATGATCTTTTTGCTGAGATCTATCGAGTTTATATAAAGCTACTAGACTTAGAAAATACTAACGATACTTGGAAAGAATATGACGTATAAGGAAAAAAGAGAACATACGATGAACATATGACATGACGTCATGTCGAACATAAGAAGATATGTAGGACAATTCCCTATCATACTGAATTGGCAATTTTTCATAACATCAAGATTTTAAATCTTTTGGTGTGGTCATATGTAAAGAAATACAATCGGATTTTAATCCTTTCAAAACTCCTCTGTTTTCTGTTTGCCAGTGGTTTGTGTAGGTTCTTGCATGGCTTTGATGGGCTGATGCGTATAATCTAGGTCCATAAATACTGTCGGAGTGTCGCCGGTGGTTTCGTTTATGAAGGATGTTATTTATTATGGGATTTTTTGAAACCAATAGGAATTGAATAGTATAAGTTGGATATGATGGCTATAGGATCCTGTCGGAATTCGTGACAGGATCCGTGCATGATGCGTTCGAAGAAGTCAGAGTTAGGTGGAATTGGATGGGAAAGTTCGGCTGATCGGATTTCGATAGTCCTGTTAATTTTTCCAGATAGTTTCGTTGGAAGACGATCGATTAGGTCTCTGATGATAAGTTAAATCATTTTTCTCATCGATTGCTGTATGTTTATTCTATTAAAAACATACTTTTCATCCAAACGTATATGTCGTATCAAACCTAGCTCGCTTGTCAAAGTTATTACTTTGACAGAGAATTGAACTAGATTACAACTATGAAGATTCGAAAAATTGCCACACTCTAGTTAAGACGTATTCTTTCCTCGCTACATCGATCTGACTATACAAAACGAAGATGTAAACCTTTGTTCTGAGCACGCTTGGAGCATGTAACAGCTGAAGTTCTTTCTATTTTGAGAATTACAACTATGACAAAATCGACTGTCAAAGTAGCAATTTTATCTAAGTGAATTATGACAGTCGTAACTTTGACAAGATGGCACGCCATAGTTATAACTTCGACAGTATTAAAACATTACAGAAAAACCTTTAACAAAACCAAGCATCAAGATTATCTGAAAATAAAGAAAAATATAGATACGAGTAGACAACGAAATTTACATAATGGTGTGGTTATGGTTTTCACGTTTATATCGATAGCGTCACTGTTGGTCAAAAAGTGCCGAGATGAGACCGTAAATGAGATCGGACAATCAATCGATGAAAATGCAAATTGGCTGAAGTATTGTTTGAATCTTGTTATCATCACTCAGCAACTTATCGTGATAAATGATTAGTTGCTTATTAGTATCCATATGTTTTCTATTTTCGAATAATTTCGATGGCTGATTTTCTAATAGTTGTAATCTCGTTCAATTCTTTGTAAAAAGAAGAAGTCTGACAAGCAAGCTAGGTTTGATACAACATACATATACGCATACAGTTGAATTGACGACAATATTTTTTTCTTTTCTTTTCTGTCATCCAATATTTACAGCTTGTTCAACGACCCATGACCGCGTGCATAGATATTTTCTTTTTACTTCGGTATCGAACATTTAATCTTTGTCATATTGTACTCGTTATGGTTTGGAGAAGAATGAAATTCACAAAATTAGATCGCATCATCGATTATTTGTTTACAAGTAAGAAGATGTTTCCGACACATCCAAAGTTCTCCTCTCAGTCAACTCTTCACAAAATATAAAGCATTCATATTCATTTAAGACTGAGCTTTATACTAATCACTTCAACGTACACACAATTGTAAAATGTAATTCACGTTCGTTTGCTTTTATACGACAGTATAATAGAACGTGTAATTATTTCAGTGATTTTAATAGAACCGCGTGAATATCTATGTTCATATAGTTGGAAGAATGAAACACTGGTCGAAACGAAGAATATGTCAGACGTTCACTCTACAACCACCGAGAAAAATGTTTTCCTTTTGCATCAGAGAAGAGTAGAATGAATACTTTCAGTTCTAAACATGGTGAAAAGAAAAGGCTTTCTTTTTTCTGTGCTCTTCTTCGCTTCGTATTCTCCGCTCTTTAGTATAAGAAAAAATGTTAGAAACATTGAGGATTTCTTCGACTTAACGTCTGCGCATTACTTAGAACAGAACAGAGAAGGATGAGCTCTGAAATATCCTTCCCTATTACGCGAGAATTTCATATAAAAAGAAATCTAACTCTAAATCACGCATCCTATTCCTCGCCTCAATTAATTTATCCGTGTGAAAATGAAGTTGGTGTTTCTATTATAACTTTAATCATTCGATTCAGTAAAAACTTTATCTTCTTCATATGACTTTATCATTGAAAATTTCCTCTTAGTCAATAAGAACATTAGATTTACAATATAACGTGCTAAGATTTGTTGAGAATTTCTGCTTTTTTTTATCAGCTGTAGTCATAATTTCAAAAGAACATTGTATATTTTTTCTCAAGTTGTTAAAATTCGTCATTACCTATAAAAAAAAACTTTCGATCTTTCATTCTTCGGAAATTTTTTCAGCGCCAGCTCTGTTCACAGACCATAAAATTTCAACTGTGTTATTCTAAATAACAATGCTATGTATTGTTACAATATATGAACTTTCTATGAGAGCAATTTAACGTTTTTTTTCCAATGTTCAGGTTATCCAATGTGGTGTTAATATGTTATTTTCTCTATTGTTGTATAGAAGAAGAAATGTGTTGTGAAAAGATGTTCATAGATTTGATCACAATCTAGTGTCTTCGCATTTTTTTCTTTTCTTTGCTCTTCAGTCACGTCTTTTTCGACACATTCCAATGTCTCATTCAAGATTTCTTCTACACAGGATAGCATGCTATTTTTAGTATGAAGAGAAAAATCGAACGAGAATAAATAGATGCAAGAACAATTAGAGACATTGTCTTTCTCGTGGATTTAGCCGTCTCTACGAACATAAAGAAATGAACAACCGCTGTTTCCATCTCTTGTTCTCTCGGTTTCAGATGCATTTTATCTCTGAACTAAAGATAGCGCTTCACAAGGAATAAAAAGCGGAGTTAAATCACTCCTACCTCAACCAAAAATAATCGCAAATGAGTTGAGTTTCAATAAGTTTCAGTGTGCATTGTAATTCAGTATAATTTTATGTTAGTCTAGGTCGAAGAATCCGGTCCGATCCGATCTGATTTCAGACTATTCCAGCCATTTCATGGAAGCAGTATTTCTGAGAACGGACCCGGTGACTAGATTTAGCGAGTTTCACATGGAGCCGATCAGAGCCTGCCATACACGGCAGTCTGATACAGTCTCAGGATTTTTCTGCTGGAACTTGAGTATTTTCCGAACGTTTCCAACCGGAAAATAATAAATTTCCTGCAGGTTTCGTCGTATATTAGTGTAATACTGCTTCCGGAATCATCGTCCTGGGAGCTCTACTTACTTGCGGCGAAATTTCATTTCTTCTAACTCTTTTTAACTTCATTTTACTTTCGAAAACTAAAATAAAGAAAAGTAAAATTATCAACGTTATTTTCTTGAGTAAAGTAAAGCCACTAATTAACTTTACTTTTACCTGCTAAAGTAAGCTTAAAAATAGTATTTTATCCGAAAAACTAAAATAAAAAAGTAAGACATTTCAACTTAAATTTGAAGAATAGGTAAAATAAAACTCACTAAACGGCATTATTCGTGAGTAATCAAAAAAGTGTACTTTCTCAATTCTATTAATTTTATTTTACATTAATACGAAGCCCTAGTGACACTCAATAATCTCTGATAATTTTTCGAATTATTTATACGTGTTACTAACCTAACAAAATATAAACATTTTTTAAATATTTCGCTTCAGTTCTTTTACATTACTTTATTTTAGTTTAGTTTACTTTTTGGTAAAGCATACTAACTTTAATTTACCGGGTAAAGTTAAAACAAAGTGCCACTCCTACTCCAAACTTAGGTTATCGCATACGCGTTCTGATACAGAAAACATTATTAGAATACAGATAAATATAATATGCCACTGACGTTTCCTTTTTTTGCATGGCGTGACAAATTCTAAGCAAAGTTTCTATGCTACGTTAGCCTTGACTAATATTCTGTGACTCTATTGTTCGTATCGTTATGTGGAATAAAATGGCATTAGCAACATGTCTTGCACTGTTATTTACTATCTTGTACAGGCTGCAAAAGTAGTTCTGCGTTTCCTTCTGCGACGATCTTTGACACAAATTAGACATTTCAGTAGCAATTAATTAGAAGTACGGACGTTTGAGACGGAAATTGGAAAGATTAATATGTAACTTTAGGAACAGTCGAACATTGTCTTTTATTCACAAGAAATTTATAAGAATCTTAGTGACGCTGTGCAGATAAATAAATCTTCTTTCTTTTATAGAATTCATGCGGAACAAAGGTTGTTGTATGTGTCTACTTTTATTATTCTTACAATCCTTATTGATCATTCATTTACAAAGAAAGTATGATGCTCTCTACTCTCTTGCTACTATTCCACACATAGACACATTTTGGCATTCAAATAATGATGTGTCGATTATTGTTCCACGACAGCGCACTCTGGTGAAATTCGATCGTAGCTTTATCATTGTTACAGCATGTGCTCGAGATGTGGCTAAATTTTTACCAGAATTTCGACGAAACATTGAAGATATTGTCTCGATCTTTGAGGACTATCGAGTACTTATTGGTGAATCTGATTCTAAAGATGCTACGCGAGAATATCTAACAAAGTGGTCAGTGAAAAATCCGAAAATTCAGCTTTATACTTATGGGAATTTAACGAGAACATTTTCAACGCGACGAACGGATCGAATCGCTTATTGTCGAAATCATCTGCTGACTACTGCTCGCGAAAAGCAATGGATTCCACGTGCGCAATTTCTACTTGTTGTTGACATTGATGTTAATGGAAATTCTATTCTTTCTACTGACAAGTTTCTGACAAATTTTCGTTATAATTTAAATCAATGGGGAGCAATGACAGCATCTCAAACTCATCTATACTATGATATCTGGGCACTGCGATCATCCATCGTCGATTATGATTGTTGGAAGGCAGTAAACAAGTATCCGCGAAATTCAGATATTGCTCAGAAAATATTTATTGATGTTCATCGAAAGCCTATCCCTAAAAATCATCCACTTATACCGGTCCAGTCAGCTTTTGGCGGCTTTGCGGTATATCAAACACGATACTTACAAGATTGTCGATATGATTCATTCGATGCTGAATTCAGCTATGGTAAATGCGAGCATGTGATATTCAATGAATGTGTTAGTCGAAATGGAGGAAGGATATTTGTCAACCCTGCATTTCAAAATTCTGATGGATTGTTGTGAACTGCAAATAAGTAATTACGCATGAACGTATTTATACACAACTGAATCGTCTCTCAGCCTTGTGTATTCGCAAATTATTCAAATAATTGTGTCCTTCATTAGCACTAATGATTTGTTCTACAATTTGTATCGTCTTACAATTTAGTATATTTTGAATATCTTTGGACATGAAGAATCCTATCTTAACGTTATTCGATCGCTAGAACGATAGTTAAGCAATGATTTATATGTGATACGGTTAGAATTATCAAAGGAGTTTGCTCCGCAGTATGCAGTATTAATTAGATATATTATATCAAGACCACCACATTGCCAATCAATGCAACTTGCTTTATGTACTGATGTCGACAACGTATCAAATTGCCAACCAACATATTGAAATTCAGTATAACGAAGACTATCACTGAAAGGTAGACCAGTATCATCATAAAGAAGATGATCGATAGCTATATTCCAATTGTTTAAAATCAATAAATCTTTCGTGCACGTTAAACTTAAAACATTCCGCTGATTAGAATGCGTGAGTACGGTAACTGGATTACATAACGTTAAATATGTACGAGTAATAGGATCATATCGAGTAGTAGATTTACTCATGCCATCAGAAAAAGAGATAATAGAACAAAATGATAATGTATTGGATGTGAGATTTGATTCCGTGACGACAGCGAGATTAGCTAAAGGAATGAAATTGAAGAGTAAACATTTAATACTCGTACCGATTGATTGGATGACGATGAAAGCTAGACAAGATGACAACACTGCCCTCTAATAACCCTGGCGCAGCTAAATTTGGATACGAGGACGGTATCCACGATTGATTGAACGGCCAGGATGATGTCATTCGCCAATTTTTCGGAGACATTACAGGATCATCTTTTGTCGTATTGCTGTGTGCTGTGACAATGTTGAAGATCGCAGCTAATGATTGCCGCTTGAAATATTCACCAGGCCAAGTACTTGGCACTGTTCGATTTTCTATAGAGCGATATATGACTTGATTAGTCATGACAATAGGCATGGGACCTGTTGAGAATGCGCCATTAAATAGTATTCCTCCACCATTACTATTATTATGTTCATGAAAGACCATCGTCAACACTCCGATGTATAATGATACTACTTTGATGTTTACCATCGATGCTAATTGCATAAACAATATCACTGTATACAGCTAATGTAGTAAAATAGCTATGAATTTCCATTGTCATCACTGCTATATACGGAGCACATTTTTAGATTGTGTTTGGTATTTTTTTGTTAAAAAAGTCATGACTGGCTAATAGACGACTGGATGACAGACGAACAAGTGATGGTGAACCAAGAAAAATCCTTATGACATCTCATTTTGATAAGCGACTGCATTCAATTCAAATATGGAGTCATATATAGGTCTGCATATGATCAAAGATTAAAAATTCACCACGACGATCAAAGTTGTAAAAGTATCGGCATATGTGTTAGAATTATCGATCTAAACGAAAAAAGAATATGACAACATGTATTTTATGCGTAGCAAAAATCAGTTGATCTGTCTTTTTGGTCTATCATTGTGGTTACATTATTGGAAGGAGGTACATCTGTTTTTTACTCAGCTGGATTCTTGCTTCGTGAAGATAAGAGAAAAGAGGGAACCATAAATGACGCACTTTGCATCATTGAAGAGATAAAATGAAGAAAAAAAAGGTTATTCTTTTGAGTGTCATCTCTTTAGGCAAAACACGCTAAACAATTATGGACAAACCTCAACGTTTGCTTCTAAATATCGAAGATTATCATCAACAGGCGAAAGGCAAACTACCTGCGATGATCTATGATTTCTATAGTACGGGCTCCGATGATCAACTAACATTAATTGATAACGAACGAGCTTTTCGACAAATCAAATTACGTCCAAAAGTATTAATTGATGTTTCTTCACATTCAACGAAGGATTCGATCAATTGTCAAACTCAAGTTTTGAATTCGACGACAACACTTTCATTTCCTTGCATGATTGCTCCAACTGCGTTGCATCGATTAGCGAATAATGAACATGGAGAATTAGCAACAGTTCGAGCAGCTGTTGCCTGTTCGACAGTTATGTGCGTAAGTACGAATGCGTCTGTAAACATGAAGCGAATTGCTGATGAACACCGTCAACAAATCAGAATGAACTATCCTCAAAGTACATCACAACTATGGTTTCAGCTGTATGTTTTAAAAAATCGTCGAAGTACACAAAAATTAATTGAGCGTGCTGAAGAATGTAATTACAAAGCTTTGGTAATCACAGTCGATCATTGTGAACAAGGCAATAGAGAATGTTATATTCGAAATAACTTCACCCTTCCAAATGGGATTCAAGCTGAGAATCTCGTCGATGATGATAATGAAAATAGTGAGTTCGGTAGAACATATCGAAGCAATATACCAATTGATGCAGCACTATCATGGAAAGATATTGATTGGATACGATCAATTACATCGTTATCAGTTATTATTAAGGGTATTATTCATCCTGATGATGCTCGAGAAGCTATCCGACATGGTGTGCAAGGTATTATTATCTCAAATCATGGAGGTCGACAATTAGATACTTGTCAGGGAACAATTGATGCTCTACGAGACATTATGATAGCTCTTGGAAGTGACAAAGATCAAATCGATATTTATGTTGATGGTGGAATTCGACGAGGAACTGATATCTTGAAAGCGATTGCCTTGGGAGCAAAGGCAGTGTTGGTTGGACGACCGATACTATGGGGTCTAGCAGTAGACGGTGCACAAGGTGTACAAAGCGTATTAAATATTTTGAAAAATGAATTTCGATTAGCCATGATGCTCTGTGGTTGTCAAACGATTGAAGACATTCGAAAAAACAATCTATTAATACTAGATAACAGATCGAAACTGTAGAATAATACCGAATAGTGTGTTGTTGTTTTTTTTTATTATCATAGCTTTAACGCTATTCTATTCACCTGAGACAGGTATAAAGAGCGTATGATGATAATAGATAAGAAGAAAGTTTAATCCATTTTTGTTTTAAAACACCATCGTTTTTATAGAAAAATATGAGTGGCAATAGTCGACGTTTTTGGGAACGGGCCGGACGTAATGGACGACAAAACACCTGTCGCTTTCGCTGGTTACTACTTGTTTGCATCATGATATGTAACTTATGTATTTCTCTGATCATTTTGTATTTGCTGTTGGCTGACGTGGTTTTTATACCACAAACAGCAATCACGATGAAAACTACCCGAGCACCACTTACTGCAACTTCCATGAAACATTCTATTAAGTTGAAAAGTAGTTTTTTGACAACAGTTAGATATGAACTCTAAAAGAATAAAACTACTATTTCTAGAATGGACGCGGGTCGCTAAAATGAATTATCCACGACATGGACATACAGAATTGGTGTTGAAAAATGGAAATGTGTTAGTCACTGGTGGACTGAATGCAGATTATCCAGTAAATACTAGTGAATTCTATGATGTGTTCACGAATACTTGGATAGCGACAAAGAACATGCATTTTGCACGATGTGGCCACACAATGTCATTATTGTCGAGTGGAGATGTTTTAGTGGCAGGTGGCTTTAGTTTGGAAGGTGCATATTTAGCTACCGCAGAACTGTACAATCCCTCAACTCAAACTTGGACAATTGTTGCTGATATGAGTGCACCTCGGTATCGGCATACAGCGTCTACATTAGAAGATGGACAAGTACTACTCATCGGTGGATGGAGTGGTTTTAATGAATTGGATTCTGTAGAACTGTATGATTCAAACACTAAAAACTGGAAATTGATCAACAGTATGAAGTATCGACGACAAGCACATACTGCAACTGTATTAAAAGACGGAAAGATTTTGGTTGCTGGCGGATATACTGAATCTACAGAGATAAAACATACAGAATTATATGATCCATCGCAAAAGAAGTGGACGACCTTAAAGCCTATGAACGCTGCACGAAGTGATCATACTGCATCTCTATTAACCGATGGTAATGTATTGGCTGTAGGAGGATATGATGGTACAAGTGAATTGAACACTGTGGAATTATATGATAGATTAAGTCAGGTTTGGACTGTTGTTAATAATATGAATAATAAACGATCCGAGCATAGTGCATCTTTACTAGCTAATGGGCAAGTTTTGGTTGCCGGTGGATGGAATGGTCAAATTGAATTGCAGACTGTTGAAGCCTATGATCCACCAACCAAAAGTTGGGTGCATCTTGCTAATATGACACTGAAGCGAAGGCAGCACACTGCATCTGTTCTAACAAATGGAGCACTTCTAATTGCTGGTGGTGTTAGTCACAAAACTATTTTAGATAGAGTGGAACTATACCAATAAATATTATGCTTCATAAGATCGAATATAAGATTTGATCCGAACAGTCGACAGATATTTGGTGAAATGTTGTTTTTATATAGCATACATGCATGCTTTTTACATACAGATGATAGTTTAGGTCAAATTCGACAATATTTTTCAAATTTTATTTTACCGTACGAAATATAGAATTATACGATGGAAATAAAACCTAATGCCAATCACTACATGCGTTCGAAATATGAAAATATCTGTGAATAAATTAGTCTACGATACTTGTACCACCTTCATGGTACGTATATCGTTTGAAAATATGATACAATTGTTGAATGTTAGTATTATTAATAAGGTACAAAGCGCCTGACTTGATGTAAATTCTATTTTCACTATCGAAACACACATCGAAAAACCATTTTTCTTTCTGTCCAATACAATCATCATTGAAAGTCCTCTATACTGACGCTATTTACTGCATGACTCAAATGAATCACAGAGATATACGTATTTATGTAATTGTGCAATGATTGCAATATGCGTCATTTGTGAAATTTCCCAAAGAAAAAAAATTACCTCAGTATAAAACGTGTTTTTCTCGTTGCTCCCTCTCATTTCTCATAGATTCATAACAGAAGTGACATGTCATATTCGAGCTCTCAAATAAGCGATTCAGTAGCGCCTTACCGAGATATTCGTCGTGTTCGATTTGGAATCTTGTCTCCAATTGAAATATTACGAATGTCAGTAACAGATAAACCTATTATACATCCAGAATTATTTGAAACAGGCACACGAAAACCAAAACTTCAAGGTCTATCCGATCCACGACAGGGACCAGTGGATCGCCACTCGAGATGTTTGACTTGTGCAGGATCTTATACCGAATGTCCGGGACATTTCGGCCATATAAAATGTTAGTATTGTTGTTTAGTTTAGTGCCTTTTTTTTTAGAAACTTGATCCGATGAATATCATTCATATCTCATATAGTGGTTAAACCTGTTTACCACATCGGTTTTCTAGCAAAGATATTGAAAATATTACGATGTATTTGTTTTCGCTGTGGAAAATTATTAATTGATCCAAACGATCCGAAACTGCTAGAGATCGTTAAAAACACAAAAACTCAACGTCATCGACGCTTAGAATGGGTAGTTGCAGCATGCAAAGGTAAAAAAAGATGTCTAGACTCAAATTCGATTCTTGAAGGAATCGATGAACTTGACAATCAATTTACAAATCATTCCAATGGTTGTGGACAACTACAGCCAACCTATCGCCGATCAGGCTTAGGAATAATAATGAAGCTGAAAGGAATCGATAACGAAAACCAAACAGATGGTACACGATTAACAGCTGCACACGTTCTGGAAATTTTTAAATTGATTCCTGATTCTATATGTCGGATACTTGGCATGGATCCTCAACACTCACGGCCTGAGTGGATGATTTTGACTGTCATACCTGTTCCTCCTCCATGTGTTCGACCATCCGTATTGATATTTGGCGAATCATCTGCTCAAGATGATTTAACATATATTTTGGCAAACATTATCAAAGCAAATAATATTTTGCACGAAGACGAACAAAATGGCGTTTCTTCGCATATCATCGATGAGCATTGGACATATTTACAATATTGTTGTGCAACATTGATCAACAATGACATTTCGAACATACCGAAAATGGCCCATAAGACTGGTCGACCTTTGAAATCATTGTCAGAACGACTGAAAGGTTCCGTTTTGACTCTGATAATTGAGTAAGATTGTAGATATGTCGTTTTTCAGGCAAAGAAGGTCGAATTCGTTGTAATCTAATGGGCAAACGAGTAGATTTCAGCGCACGAAGTGTATGTCAATATAAGTTTAATTTTGTATTTCAATTAAAAAATCAAATTGTTCTTCATAGGTCATAACAGCTGATCCTAACTTAGCCATTGATCAAGTTGGTGTACCGAAATCGATTGCGCAGAATTTAACCGTTCCAGAAATTGTCAATCCGTTCAATAGAGAATGGCTACAGGAAATGGTTTCAAATCACACTGCTAAATATATTATTCTTGAAAATGGAGATCGAATTAATTTGGGAGTTCGTACTTCTGATATCTCATTACGCTGTGGATATATTGTCGAGCGGCCAATGATGGATGATGATCTTGTTGTTTTCAATCGACAGCCGTCGCTGCATAAAGTGTCCATGATGGCACATCGCGTGAAACTTTTGCCATGGTCCACGTTTCGATTAAATTTATCAGTTACAACCCCGTACAATGCTGATTTTGACGGTGACGAAATGAACCTTCATTTGCCACAATCAATAGAAGCTAAAGCTGAACTATCCGAATTAATGACGGTTCCGCGCCTTCTCATTACACCACAATCTAATCGACCAGTAATGGGTATTGTTCAGGATGCATTAACAGGTGTAACAAAAATGACACGTCGCGATGTCTTCATTGATAAAAATGACCTGATGAACTTGCTCATGCTTATACCATCATGGAACGGTAAAATTCCACAACCAGCTATTCTTAAACCTAAATCATTATGGACCGGAAAGCAACTTATTTCCCTATTACTTCCACGAGACGTGAATTGCGCTCGAACGTATTCCGAGAGCGGAAGTTTCGACTGGATTTCGTCAAGTGATACAGACATATTAGTTGAAAATGGACGACTGCTCTCTGGTATTTTATGTAAACGAACACTAGGAGCAAGTGCAGGTTCGTTGGGACATATTATCTTTATGGAATGTGGATACAAAATAGCCGGCGAGTTTTATTCAACGATTCAAGTTTTAGTCAATAATTGGTTACTACTCGAAGGACATTCCGTTGGTAAGCTTTAATAAAATGCAGTTTCTAGAAACTGAATGGGCTCGTTTCAGGTATAAATGATGCAGTTATTGACGAACCTACTACGAAGATGATTCTAGAACAAGTTCAACAAAATGAGTATAAAGTACAACAATTGATTGAAGACATTCGTAGCGGCCAAATAGCATCAAATTTGTCATCGCGACGTCTATTTGAAAAAGAAATCAATCAAAGTTTGAATGATGTGAAAGATAAAGTTGGATCACTTGCTCAGCAATCGTTATCGGATTTCAATCAATTCAAAGCGATGGTTACTAGTGGAGCCAAAGGTTCACTGATTAATATCGCACAAATCATTGCTTGTGTCGGCCAACAAAATGTTGAAGGTTTGTTGCATACAGTTTAACCGAATGGCGTTTTCGTCTATTTTTCTAATGATTTGAATATTTAGGGAAACGAATTCCATTCGGCTTTCAACAACGTTCGCTACCACACTTCTTCAAAGAAGATCACGGCCCGAGAGCGCGTGGATTTGTTGCAAAATCCTATTTGCAAGGTCTAACGCCTACAGAATTCTTCTTTCATGCCATGGGCGGTCGAGAAGGTGTTATCGATACGGCTATTAAAACAGCCGAAACTGGTTACATTCAACGTCGTCTAGTTAAAACCATGGAATCGGTCATGGTCAAATACGACGGAACAGTTCGGAATCAGCATGAACAGGTGATTCAGTTCATTTACGGCGAAGATGGTCTAGCCGGAGAACATGTTGAGTTTCAAAAAATCATCTCATTGAAGCCATCTGATAGTGTCTTTAAAGACCTGTGCAAATTTGATTTACCTGATAATGCGCAAGATTTACATGAATTTTTAAACACTCACGTGATCAATGATCTCTTCTCTAACGATCGATCTTTACAAATCTTGGACAATGAATGGAATCAATTATGCCAGGACCGGCAACATCTTCGAGAATTATTTCTCCATGGTATTAACTCGCAATTGATTTTGCCATGTAATATAGACCGATTGATTTATAATGCACAAAAACTATTCCACATTTCTAAACGAACAAAATCGGACCTTTCGCCAATCAAAATTATTGATGACTTAAAAAATTTAATTCAACGTTTGACCGTTGTCAAAGGTGCCGATTCACTTTCACAAGAAGCTCAACAAAATGCCATTTTGTTGATGAGTACTCTTCTTCGATCATCTCTTTGCTCACAGCAAGTTCTCAAAAAACATCATCTGACTAGTGAGGCATTTGATTGGCTGTGCGGTGAAATCGAGACGCGTTTTCAACAAGCACAAGTTCATCCAGGGGAATGTGTGGGTGTACTAGCAGCACAATCGCTTGGTGAACCAGCAACTCAGATGACGTTAAATACGTTCCATTACGCTGGTGTCTCAGCAAAAAATGTGACACTTGGTGTTCCTCGTCTTCGAGAAATCATCGGTGTTTCGAAAAAACCTAGAACACCCTCGATGACTATTTACTTTAGTGAGGAAGTCGAAAAAGATGTCGAGAATTGTTTGGAAGTCTTATCGAATCTTGAGTGCTGTTCACTGAAGAATATCACTGTTAGCTCAAGTATTTATTATGATCCTGACCCAGCAATTACCGTCATTGAAAAAGATCAAGAATGGACGAGCATTTACCATGAATTAGCTACTGAGAATCATTCGCAAAGATCTCCGTGGCTATTACGCATTGAATTGAACCGACAGAAAATGAACCAGAAGAAATTAACAATGGAGCAAATTGCTGGAACAGTTACAGACGCTCTTAACGGCTATTACCACGTGATTTACAATGATGACAATTCAGATATACCTGTTCTGCATGTCAGACTTACTAGTTTAATGAAAGATCTTATTGATGAAGATAATACATCGGGAGAAAATGGGATTGGTAAAATAGACGAAGATACTAATCTTCAATTGCTCAATAGAGAAATATTACCGACTTTACTACTGAAAGGTAAAGCATTAAGTTTGACAATTGCTAGAGTACCATATATGATTTTATTTTGGATAGGATTTTCATCAATATCGAAAGTAAATCTCGTTGAAACAAAAAAGTTTCTCTCGAACACTTCTAAACAACGATATACTATCTCGGATAAAGGATGTATTGAAACAATTGATGAATATTGTGTTGTCACAGATGGCACTGCACTTCAAAAGGTTCTTGGCACAAAATACATTGATCATCGCCGAACGTTTACAAATGACCTCGTCGAAATTTTCGAAGTTCTTGGTATTGAAGCTGCACGCTCAGCAACTCAATATGAATTGAAGCAAGTGATGTCATTCGATGGGGCTTATGTCAATGCTCGTCATATATCTCTACTATGTGATATTATGACAACAAGAGGACAACTAATGTCAGCCACACGCCATGGAATTAATCGGCAAGGTTGTAGTCCAATTATGAGATCAACTTTTGAAGAAACTGTCAGCATTCTTCTTCAAGCAGCAGCACATGCCGAACTTGATCCGTTAAAAGGCGTTTCAGAGAATATTATGCTTGGTCAATTGGCTAAAATAGGCACAGGCGCATTTGATGTTCTCGTAGACGTAAGAAAGTGCAATTTAGCAATGGAAATACCCAGCACAAATATCGATACATTTCAACTAGTCACGAACCAGTTTTTGATTGCTAACACACCGTGGACAGAATCAATAGCCACTCCAGCATATCAAATAGCTGATTCTTCGACCAGAACAGCATCTACACTAAACATAAATTATCGGTACTCTCCATCATCGCCCAGTTATACATCATTTCAATCACCAAATTCTTCGACAACACCATCTTTCTACCGGTATATGCATTTCACTTGATTGAACTAGATTTATATGTATACTTGATTGAAATAGTCCTGCCAGTCCATCGTATACTTCAATAACTAGCCCAGTTTATTCAACCGGTCTAACGTCGCCATTCTATGCATCGAGTAGCCCAGCATATCGTTAGTTTCTTTTTTTTCATGTAGATGATCTTACTGTATTTGTTCATGCTTTGTTGTAAAAGATCCAACGACTCCTGTATACAGATCATCTCAATCAAACCCACCTTCTTCACCGCTGTACTCACCGATGTCGCCGCGAATTAGCTATTCAAGTGCAACGTCACCAATGTATTCACCAACATCACCACAAATGTATAGTCAAACGTCATCTGTTTACCGACCGAACGTCGCTTCACCTCTTTATCCGTATGTTCCATGTTATTTTTCTTTGTCTGCATACAACTTCTAATCTTTTATTTTAGACAATCGCCAAACTACAGTCCCAATTTTTCCACAGATGGTGCTGACGATTTCATATAAACTCTTTTTAAGTTTTTTTCTTCAATTTTGTTGTATGATATTGTTAAATCATTTAAAAAAGGATTTGTACTTCTATGAACAAATCATAGAATTCTAAACATCGAAGTTTGTAGATTCCTCTGTCAGCATGATTGTAATGCTGACGTACGAACACTTAGATTATGAAAGTTTTCAAACATGCTGCTTTTTCTGGTTGAAAATATCTACTCCGTTCTGATCACTTAGTAAAGTGTGCACGTGAAAGGAAAAAGAAATAAAAGTAAAACTGCAAATCGAGACAATTTTTTTCAAACAAGCTACTCTCTGACGGATTGTATGGTTTACATGATCAGTCATTTTACATTGAAACGACTTACGATATATGTTTTCTGTCTGATATTGAATCTCATTGTTATAGCACTTCTATCGGATTCTTTTACTTTAATTACACATGAATCGATTAGAAATAACGAGAATTATTTCAATTTTACACATTTGCATGCTGCTTTCAATCGTAGTACGAGCACAGCAGCAGCACCAAGACTGTGTATTCTTGTACGTACATATGGTTCACAAATTGGATATTTACCTGTTCTAGTTCTCTCGCTATTTCATTCACATCTTGAAAATGACCGTATCTTGGTAATAAACACAGATAATCGCACTGATATCCGACTTCTTAATGATACAATTCGTTTTGTTAACACTTTAGTTGCTCGTAAAGATTACGTTACCCTCCTTGATTACGGTTTACTTTCAGTTGGAACAGACTTTGGATATTATATGACGGATCAGGTATTGACATATCTGTACAACTCTTCTAAATGGGACTGTCAATATATTACTTTTACGAATGGTGATAATTTCTATTCTCGAGTATTCGGTAGCAAAATTATTCCGCATATGAAAGGTGGTATGGATATTATTGCATGGGGATTCGTATCACACCATTCTTGGCCTGAATTTCAAGAGATGACTGTTACTAAACATCGTAGTGTACCGCAAATTTTCGACGATGGGAGTAATAAGTGTATTAGCGTGTCATTGAAAAGCTCTCGAGCTGATTTAGGCGCGGCGGCATATCGACTGACGTTCTTGAAACGACATCATCTGTTTTTTCGAGATCTTCATGGAAAATACAGCTTGAATTCTGATGGAATATTTATTCAAAGAGCAGCGATGCTGACTAATTCATCTGTTCTACTTCGACAAACTTTGTTTGTGCATCAATGAAGAACAACAACTGTTGATGAGAATATGTGTTGTTGCTAATAGTGATTGGCACCTGAAATATAGCTATCTAACATGAAAAGCCTACTGCAATGTACTACGTTAAGTACTTTGAGAAAAAAGGGCTAGTAGTAATATATGAGGCGAGTTAATGATTCGAGAAATAACATGTTATCTATCCGTATGTATATTGTATGCATTCCATTTCTATTATCTTGAGCGTATATCTAATACATCAGCAACATTCAACATTTACACGTATGCTGATAGTATTTCTTCTCTTCTTCCCTGTATCATCTATCGCGAGATGGCATTTACGTTAGAGTTGCTAAGAACATTCAACATATATGATCAGGTAAACTCAATGTGTCTAAATCCAAAGTTTAGAGTGCTACTAGAATAAAACTAAGATGAATGTTTTACAAATATTTTGTAGTTTGGATTCGTTGCGATACGCGAACAGACTTTGAAGTTAAAATGAAAGAAAATTCTACAAAGAGAGAAAGTAAACAGTTCAATAACTTACTAAGCAAACTTTTACGAGTAGAAGCTACGGAAGATTGATTGTTTAATAGAGGGGAAATCTTCTGTTTCTCGGCTGCACCACAGTATTTTTCATTCACCGAAGTCATCGTTTATACGCACCGATATGTTTTTTTTCCATAGAAAATAAAGAATTCATTTTCAAAAGTGTCTTTCTATCTAAAATACATAGATGCTAGAGGAACATTCAGATGTGCCAAGTCTATTTGGTTTTCTATTGTCGAGTTCAATCAATAGATGATGCTACCGGTCGATTACCTTTGTTTCGTATACTTTCTGCTCTTAATTTTAAAAGTCATCAAACGCTTGAGTTCAATTCAATAAGAACTGTACGCATCGATGAAAGCCGTAAAACGAGTGAGTCTATCAACGCGTTCGTTCAGTTTACACAAATTCTCCATTTAGACAGGTAATGTTAAAAGTGAATCGTTGTATCAACTGTTTTAGTGCATCAGGTAATATACAACAAAATAGCTCAAACGTATAGTTACCGCTTGCGTGTCTGTACGAATCTGGCGTTGCGAAAATCGTGTCTTCTGTTTTGCGGACATTTTTTTTCTTAACCCAGGTCGATCAATCCCGTACTCGGATCCGGTCGAATCCTACAGGAATTCGACGGAATCGCATTGGATTCAGATGGTCTCGGATCCGAAGCATGATTTTTTCGGATTTTCTACGGATCATCATAGAATATAGCTAAAAACATCGCTCATAAAATTTGCAATAACCGACTGAATTTTTCCAGTCGAATTCCAATGCAATTCCGTTTCCAGAAATACGATTGGATCCAGCATCGGATTTGTTGACTTGGGAATTGGTTAAAAAAAAGTATTCGCAATATAGAAACGGGTAGGAGAGAAACTAAATTATCCGCATAAGAGAAAGTGTGTGCAATGTAGAATCAAAGGAGAAAGATAAAGAAACTATGCGATAACATTATGAAGCAAAAGAAAATTTATTTCATTAAGGATAAACAAAATGATTTTATAACAGATAGTTGAGTAACTAATTGTCCTTTGTTCTATAATCAAGATCGTCTTGTTCATTAGCATCAAACACGTGGATATATCGATAAGAGAGAATGCGCAATCGCTTCTGATAACTAGCTAGGTCCAAGATGCCGTCCAAATATTCTTGTTTCGCTTGAAGTAGACGATTTTCATTGATTACTGTTTTTACTTTTCTACGACGTGTTGTTCGTTGTTGAGCTTGTTCTTGTTCTACTCGAACCATCGTTGATTCTTCCAGCTCCTGTATGAATCTTATCCATGCCCATATGTTGGGATAAGTTGAACAATACTAATTCAATTTTCCATGGTAATCTTCTACATGATTATTAGTTCTTGGTTGGATTCCAATAAGATCGAAAACGTTCCAAAAAGAAGGAGGAAAAACTGCATGGTCAATGTATGTTCGAAGAATATAATCTGTTAACTTGAGAAAACGAGAACTGATACCACTAAGTTCTTCAATAATATCACAAAATGTTGTTTGAATTTCTTGACGTGGTAATAAAAGCAAGGATAATATGTTTGCTATTTGACGACGTGCTTCAACACCCTTGGAACATGAAACTAAACCTTTCTTCTTTATCTGTCGCCAGATATTCTGACCAAAATGGAACTGACACCCTTTTATATTTGCCATTGGAAAGTTTTTCAAAAATGCTTTGTAAGCCGCCATCTCGAAATCGATCAATATTGATTGTGGAGCTAGGGTGATTTGGTCGCTTTGAACGTAAATAATCAATTGAACCAAAAAGCTATCGTAAGTGTCGAAGTTCTTGTTAGGTAAAGCATCATAAACCACAAGTTTCATGCTGAAATCATCCCACACATGTATGCTGTAACTTTGATAGAATAATCGAGGGGCAGTTCTGAAGGTTCCATCACTATTCTAGTGTTGATTTGAACCGAGTAATCGAAGACTAGTAAGTGAAGAAAACTCAAGTATTGATTGAATGTTACTACAGAATAAGAAGTTTTCATTAGTTAAAGTTCGAGTGAGCGAGTATAAGGTGCCACGATTGATGATTAATCTTTTGGAATTTTCCGTTGTCTCGATGAACGATGGTAATATAAAGAAGATTTCACATGATCAAATACAGGAACTGCACTGGCATTACCATTGTCACGTCTGAATTTTTTCACTTGTTCATCGTATAACATAGAAACTGGTGTTGTTGGTGGAAAAATTACGTTTCGTACCACCTATTCCGAATATCTGGCAGCATGACCGGATGTTCGGAAAGAAATTTTTTTTTTAATTTCGTGCAGGAGTCCGGAAAGTTTTTGGATTGTGTGACGGGAGTTCGAAATTTCTTTTCTACCGAAGATCGTAAAATTAAAAAACAAGGAGATTTTAATACACTGATTAGGTATTTACAACAAAACGTTTAGAATGTAGCTAGTTTAATCACGGTGATCGTAAAATACAAGATTGAATGTAACTGAAAATGTAAATTGATCTCGTCATGTAGTTCGTAACGAGCATAATGAATTTTCTTTTGTTTTCAATATTTACAACGATAACTACAAAAATAAGGTATTACTACACGTTTTATTTTGTTATGAACAAATTTTCATTTCAATACGAATACAGTGTTGCCTTCATCTCGATTGCTCATTGCTAATCCTTACAGACTTCCGGTTGTTCCATTCCAGCCCGTAATTAAATTTGTACCGCTCGATCCTTATTGACTGACACTGAGTGTTATAGTTACGATCTACCGGTTATACATCGTTCCGGACATCTGACATATATACCTCATATTTTCGATTATGGACTTCATGATAAAATCGGCAGTGGTTTTTTGTCACGGTGTTCGTAATGGACATCGGTTCCGGGAGTTCGGAAAAATAAAGTGGTGCGAAACGTAGTTCACCCAACATATTTCATCTTAATAATAGAAGATGATTGGGTTTTGATTGAAGATTTGCATAGTTTCATAGTATAGGCCCACATTTTTCTCTCGTCTTTGTTTGTTCATTTCAATCCGAAATGATAATCTTTGAAAATAATACCTTCATTTTCCTGTTGTGTGGTAATCACAAAAAATTTGTTCGAATTCACGCTTGATGTTAGTTATTATTCGATTTTCTCTCATATTAGTGGGTTTAAATAGATGTATCCATGGTGTTTCTCCTTTGTTACAGTTACCCTCGTTATAGATATTCACTTTCTCGTAGAGAAGAGTCTTAGAAACATAAATTGTTTGCTTGCTTGTATGTCCGCACTTCGCTGATTCGTCGAAAAATCAGATGAAACTAACAATCTATATCTCTTTCTCAAAAGTATGGCCTAGGGGTTTTTTAGATCGAGGATTTCGAATCTGAGGCTAGTAACATTTAGTATAAATCTCTTATCTACGCTGAAAATAAATTAATATACACAATAATATCTAAAAAATGTAACATCTGAAAGCAATATTTCTACGAGAAAGAGCTGAGCGAGTCGCTAGACGAGCGTTACTTGCCATCTAATATCTATGTTCACTTAATTCGAAAATGTAATCATCTTTGTTTCTCTGTCTTTTCCCCTGGATTTCATATTGCGGACACTTTCTCTTATGCGGACATTTTATTTTCTCTCCTCCCGTTTATACTTTGCGGACACTTTCTGTTAATTTGTAAAAAAAGGTATCTGCAATGTAGAGTTAGCCACATCTTGCTCTAACAGCCCTATGTATAACGCTATGCTGTAACAACATTCGTGCATTCATCAATTAATCGTTAGAATACAGATATATGACTTATGCATATATCGTTCTCTTCCCTTGTCTGATCATTACATCTACTCATCTTTTCATAAGACGTCCATCTTCAACGCTTATTCTCATGACTCTTTTTCTGTCTTTCTCGCATTTCTCTCTCTCTCCAGTCTCGCTCGACCGAGGCGTTCGAAAAGAGAAGAGAGACAACTAATATAGAACTAAATGTTTGCTTGAAACAAAGATCAGATCGAATAATCTTGAATAAAGCTTGTTGCTACATATACGCCTCTCTTTCAGAAAAGGAAAATCCGTCGAGATTATTTATTACATAGGTAGATAAAGTTAACAATGACTTTATTGCAAACAACATCAGCATCACGTAACACAGCAGGTTAGTATAAAGAAGAATTGAAAAAATAAAGAAAAATAGAAAGAAGGAATGTAGATACGCCATTTTTTCTTTATTACCGTTAACCCATTCACCACGATTCAATTTTCATAGAAAATTACATTTCTAAATACGCTTTATTAGAAAACAAAATATACTACAAGATGCAGCGTGAAAAGTTCTACAAACTATACCATAAAACCTATTTCAATTGAATACTTTTTGTGTTCAATAAAATGCAAAGCTGTGTGCGACCAAATTTTGAAGTTGCTTGGAGAGTATAGTATTTTATGCCGAAGTTTGTACACAATTAAAATAAGCTTTACTATGAGGATTGTAGAGCTTTTCGCGCTGCGTCTTATGGTTTATACCGTTTTCTTATTAAACGTGTTTCAAGATTAGAATATGAAATGCAAAGTGGGGTCCACCGGTGGACCCCATCGTGGTGAATGGGTTAATTATTCGTAAAGAATCGGTTTATGCCTAAGTATGATGTTCATAGCCGCCATGAATGAATGGTTGCATTGTCCGACACGGAGTGACAAGGCACTACATCCGAACCTCAATAATATCATCCATGAAATGACTCTAGATGAGTCGTCTATACTGAATGCATGCTCGATCTGTATATTGGACGAAAGAGGGTGCAGATACCGCCGTTCTTAAAAAGAAAAGACGATAGAACCCGGCTGCATGTGAAGAAATGCTAATAATAACTGCGACCGTTTCCAACTGGCGTAATACCTTATGGGACGTTATTCTTCTTCTTATTATTATTATTATTATATGAAGTTCATACTTTTGCTTCAGTTATTTGTTTGAGAGCTACGCAGTATTGTTAAATTAAATTTTGCATATAAGAAAGACATTCCCCACGCGTAACTGAAAAAGCCATATTCTCTCTCTCTATTCCTGTCTATTTTCTAGCAGAACGAGTGTTTTCCGACTCCTCGTTTCTGCTTTTCAAAAAAAGAAAAAAATTAGGAAAGCTATTACATTAATGAATGCCGATTTTTCCAAGCTTTGAACATATAATGATAGAAATATAAAAGAAATTCTGAAAAAGAACGTATTCAAGGTGCTTATTCATTGGTTTTCATTCTTCCTTCTAACTTTTATTCTTTTTTTTCTCAAAATGTGTTTTACTTTACTTTAAATATTAAACTAATAAGCTATCTATTCGCTTTCTGCACACTATCTTTCGATGCTCCGTTTTTACCCTAGTCCTTCCGATATGGGCCACTTTGCACCCAGAATAAAAATTTAGAAATGCAGTGTCATATTTTAATAGTTTCGGGCTTATAGAAACGTATATTATCTATTATAAACATAGAGTTGTCGCATAGTGTGGAATTAAACTCATTTCTCCTATGTCATCTTATTTCAAATCTTCAATACAACATAGTAAAATTTCGTCAGTATTTAAGATTATACTAGGTACGAGAGCAAATTAAATTTTTGAATATAATCTATGACTCATACACGACTTTGACGGCATATTTATCCCCAATCGCTTAGAGATATTATTGATTGGATTTTGAATCATCCAGTTATGATGATATATGATTCACCCGATTAGATTATGATTCGAAACTATCTATCTATAGTGAGGGAGAGTTGAAGGCACCTTCTCTTTGAATTTTCTTCAAGAAAGGTAATAGCTGAACGAAATCTAAATCGCGATTTGGATAGCTTGTGAAATACTCTATCAGATGCATTATGTTTCAGAAATTCATAAAAGTTTCTTTTAAATGCTAAACCTATTTTTTTAGGTCCTAAAAAAATCTGAGTCGAATGATATCTTGCTCGACTGTCCACGATGTTCCTATGTAAAGTTATAGGTATCGGAAAAGCCGGAAAATACGTGTTTTCTATCATTTTTTGCTAAAAATCAACGAAAATCACATTTTTTTCTGGCTTTTCCGATACCTATAACTTTACATAGGAACATCGTGGACAGTCGAATAAGATATCATTCGACTCAGATTTTTTTAGGACCTAAAAAATAGGTTTAGCATTTAAAAGAAATTTTTATGAATTTCTGAAACATAATGCATCTGATAGAGTATTTCACGTGCTATCCAAATCGCGATTTAGATTTCGTTCAGCTATTACCTTTCTTGAAGAAAATTCAAAGAGAAGGTGCCTTCAACTTCCCCTCCCTCTACTATATCATTTAGTACCTTTCCATATTTTTATTTGCTAGATTAAAATTTCTTGTTGTATTAATTATATTAAATAAAGAATGAACATACTGTCAGTATTTTTGTATCAAGTTCGATATAACAGTAGCATCCTTTTATCAAGATAGTAGCCTTAAAATCGAGAAAATCATTATACAGAAGCGTAAATTGCTATTTTAATGCGTAAAAAGCCGCGGTAGGACTAGGATTAATCATTCAGGTCGATCAATCCCAGACTGGGATTCCATGTCGGATCCGAGACACGGATTTTCTAAAGATCATCATAGAATATAGCTAAAAACATCGCTCATAAAATTTACAATAACCCACTAAATTTTTCCAGTCAGATTCCAATGTAATTTCGTTTCCAGGAATCCGGTCAGATCCGATGGGATCCAGCATCGGATTTGTTGACCTGGGTATCGATATTGAATATTTAGATGCTAGACGGCACACATCGACTTCTTTCTCAGAGTAAATATTAGTAGGATTTGTATAACCAAGGGTAATTCGTAATTATTTGCGTCGTGTATAGCTCTACCATCGAGAACAATCGTTTAGATTCATCATTCTTTCTTGTAGCAATTTCAGCTATACCAAAGCTCCTGATTTGCTCAGGAGTCTACTGGTTTTGCCGATTTTCGCTAACTAAAAATCTCCTGATTTCTTTATTTTTCCTGCTTTTTGCTTTTACTTAGTCGAGATTTACTGGACGCTTCTCGTTTATCAAAATTCGGCGGAGAGAACGAGAAAATAATCAACATTGACTAGGTTTTTATTAATTCTTTCTGTGTGGAATGTTTTTTTTTGTAAATCAGCTTTTAGCCACATATTGTTTCCTGATAACAATAGCAGAAACAAGACGAAACCCTATTTAGCTGAACTAGAATTCCGAAATAAATGAATATCCATTTGATATCTACAGAGTTTTATGGTTATGTTTTACAAAATCGACTGTACTCAGAGTAATCTAATAGTTAGAAAAATATAGTCTCATCGTCAATAAATCACGAATTTATTAGTAATTACTTAATTACATACTTTCTGGCTTATTTTTTGTTTTATATTAATCGAGAAGTTAATATTCATTTGCTAATAATTGTCCATAAAATAAGTATAGAAATAAATTTTATGCAATAATCATTTCTTTTAGTTTTTTTTAGTTATATGAGATTCTTTTATTCCCTTTTCTGAAAGAAAGGGCTATACAGCGTTTAAATGCTGTGTTAAAAAGCTTAAAGTTTGTCTGTCTCTCTGTCTGTCTGTCCTATCCAATCAGAAATCAGCATTTCTAAAATCAATGAAATTGATCGATAGTTATTAGAAAATGATTACTCCTAGGGTAATCGAAGTCGAGGATCTTGAATCTGACGTTAGTGTTGCTTAATTAATTATTAATTTTTCATTAACTAGCCACGACTTATTAACATTCATTGTCAGAGTAGACCGAAGGGTTTCTGACGTCGGGAAATTCGAAGTTGAGGACGAATTTCGTCTTATTCGCTGAGTCTGGGCTTGTTCCTTTCTGTTTACAAAGGAGATATTTTTCTTTATCTGTTCTAAAATCTTTTGTAGAAGATGGTGAGCTGAACGCTATTCACGGACGTCATGCGTATCAAGATAGTAGCTAAAGAACTTACGCGAAAAGATCTAATGCATTGTACATAATGATGTTTCTAATTTAAGAAATCCGAAAAAGTGATATGAGCTTACGTTAGTATCATCTTTACTTTTTAGGCTACATACATCATGTCTTTTTATGGGAATTTAGTAGAAGCAGTTCGCAAAGTGATATACCCGTCGGTGGAATTCCATCTTGGTAACTACAGACGCGTGGACTGTAGAAACAGTATTCTGAACACATACAGCACTATGAAAGATGTTCGTTTCGAAGCAAATTATAGAATAAGACTCTCTTATCCAGTTTCTTTTGGTAGTCGAATGAATGGAAGATCATGACTGTCGAAGCGACAATAAAAGAAAACCCAATCGTTCAGTTTGGAAGTTGATCAAAGGCGAAAGGAATAACAGAGACAGCATGGCAACGGCTAGCCGTGAGTGACCGACCGGAGGGAGGTCGACGAACGACTAGGCGTTTAAATGCTAGATTAATCCTAAAGTATATGCTTAGAATAACCTTGCCAGGCTTCAGATAATTTTGAAAGGGATTTGACGAATGGATATTCCTCAATGAAAATATTCGACAAGGTATCATTTTGTTGACAGGAGAGAAAAGAATCGGATTATCGCTGGAAGACACAAGCGAATGTTCAAACTTTTCAAGTAGTCTACTGTATATCACCCGTCTATGAGTGACTTAGTAAAGCATTTATGAAAATTTCCATGCGCGTGATGTGAAAAAAGAAAAACAGATGACAAAGGTCAATGAGTGGCCGTCTGACTAGCCGTTGAGCGATGAATTTTCCAGTCAACATAGTTAGTGCTGGAGAACTATCCACGGGCAAATGGCAAATCGGTCTGATTCCTAAAAAAGACCTCTGTATCCTATTCACTCTAGTGCGTGACATAGTGCCATGATTCAGTTGAGCACTAGTAGCAATCGCAGTGCATTTTTTCTCTTTCGAAGTCTCTGAATGTGTTCAGCATTCGGAAAAGTCTTTCAGAAAAGGGTCAGCGAATCCAAAGGATGAGCGTTACTTGTAAACATATTAAGCAATAAAAGATTCTGACTCTTTATGTGAGCTCATAAAGAGCAATAGTCTGATATTCTCAGAAGTGTTTAAAAGACTTATAACTTCTGCATGTATTTCAATCTTGAGGATAAGGGTGTAGTTATGCGTGTACAAATCAGTCTACAACATTTATTAAATAACATTTTACTGTCTTCCAATAAAGGTTCGTAATCTTCTAGTTGCAGCATAGAATTCGTTTTTATACAATTTGGATGGTAGAACAAATACGATGAATGTAATGCAGAGTGGAATAAATGATATGAAATATCCAACTAGATAAAAAGCTGAATTTCGAACCGATTTCATACAACCAGACATGAATGAAATGATTAGACGCGGCGTAGCAAGTATAACTAAGATTATAGAGCTAAGAATTAGATGATTATGCCGATGAAATTGTTCTTTTAAATGTTGTTTATAAGTTTGTTGTCGTTGAGCTGTAGCACGACTTCGAGCAGCCACAAATATTATAATAAAAGCAGTAACAATATTTATAATAAAGGGAACGAAAAAATGAAATATATTTATTGTTGAATTATATATTTGAAGTGCAGATGAATATTGAATTAAACACCATGTTCGAGTTTCTTCTCGATCCTCAATAAGTTGTCGATTTATTGGATCATGTAAAAGGCTACTCGTGGAGAATAACAAAATACTAATAATAGTCCATTTGACTGCTCGTCTACTTTTACTCTTATCATATTTGGTACTCATTACTAGCGCAAGTGTTCTATCAATAGCTATGCTTGCATTCAACCAATCTATAATAATTGNCAATAAAAGAAAACCCAATCGTTCAGTTTGAAAGTTGATCAAAGGCGAAAGGAATAACAGAGACAGCATGGCAACGGCTAGCCGTGAGTGACCGACCGGAGGGAGGTCGACGAACGACTAGGCGTTTAAATGTTAGATTAATCCTAAAGTGTACGCTTAGAATATCCTTGCCAGGCTTCCGATAGTTTTGAAAGGGATTGGACGAATGGATATTCCTCAATGAAAATATTCGACAAGGTATTATTTCGTTGACAGGAGAGAACAGAATCGGTTTATCGCCGGAAGACACAAACGAATGTTCAAACTTTTCATGTAGTCTATTGTATATCGTCCGTCTATGAGTGACTTAGTAAAGCATTTATGAAAATTTCCATGGGCGTGATGTGAAAATAGAAAACCAGATAAGAAAGGTGAATGAGTGGTCGTCTGACTAGCCGTTGAGCGATGAATTTTCCAGTTAACATCGTTAGTGCTGGAGAATTGTCCACTGACAAATAACTAATCGGTCTGATTCCTAAAAGGACCTCTGTATCCTATTCATTCTAGTTCTAGTGTGACATAGTGCCATGATTCAGTTGAGCACTAGTAGCAATCGCAGTGCGTTTTCTCTCTTTCGAAGTCTCTGAATGTGTTCAGCATCAGGAAAAGTCTTTCAGAAAAGGGTAAGCGAATCCAAAGGATGAGCGTTATTTGTGATTACTTTGTGATGAAAGGGGGCACGTCTGTAAACTTATAGGTGTATACTGAGCCGAAAGTTAAATATTATTCTGATTTTCATATAAAAGAGTGTTGAAAGAATAAACTATTTATTTCTTTATCTAGTTGCATTTCACTGATTGATCGGAAGATATCTAAGAATAAATGACATCGTTTAACCTAATACTTGACTAAAATAGAATCAACAGTAAGAAATCTGAATTAGACAATAGTTTTAAAAAATGGCTCCTATTGTTTGGGACGAAGAAACATATTTCCTTCTACAAAAAACAACAATTTTTGGTAGGGGTTCAACAACGAATAGTTGAGGTCGAATATGAGGTCAACTTTTTGCAAACTGGATGAATAAAAAGTTCAGTAACAGGTTACATTGGAGGAAATAAAGGTATACGAATTTGCAACATACGATAAACTCTTTTTTCGCATTTATGAAGTGAAATGTCATAGAAACGAAAAAAGGTTTATGGTCTCGTTAAATACGGCTATAAAACAGTTTGACATACGTTGCAAACTCATGAACTATCTTTTCATTTGTTAGAACATTAAAACTAATTTTACTCTTGATAATTCGTCGCGTTTTTACAGTGTAGAACATGGATTCTATTAGAAAAACATGAGCGAGTCTTCAGAGTGTAAGCAGTATCGTAAAAATTGCATAAACACTCTTGAATATTAAAAAAAACTCCTTGATTTTTCTACCGATTTAGCAGAAAATTTCTCCTGATTCTTTCTCAAAAATCTCTGATTTCTAAAATTTTCATATGGTAAGCCTGAGCAATTTCGAATTCAAATTTTCTTTTGTAGACATTTAATCTCTTTCAATGTCCAAATCACATGCAAACCGTCCATGTATAAGCATAGGTTTACTTGGTTTGTTGATTAGTATTGTTTACTTGGCAGCCAATCATAGACTTATATTGCATGTGAAGTCGATTCCCACAGTACAAATACAATCAAAATCAGTTGTGATGAAACCACGAGCGTATATCATTACGGCCGATTGTTATTCAACACGTTTTAATGCAACCAAGCAAAATGTTGAACGGGCATTTCCCAACTTTTTCGAAGTCGTATGTTTTCTAGCAATTCCGTTAAATGATTCTCGAATATCGTTTCATTCGTCGGCGATTCTATTCCGAAAATGGGCATCCAATCTGCTAGCTTTTGTTGAGCTTTGGACCTACGAAATTCCTAAACATTGTGCTCAGAATGAATTGCAATGGTCTTTTATTTTCGAAGATGATGTGAACTTTTATGATCTATCGAAAGTATCTTTGAAGAATTATATTAGTCCTCTACAAGAAATGATGTCACATCCTGATGTTCACTTAAAAGATGGTTTCTTCTATTTAGGCATATGTGAACCTAAATACAACAAGGATACGCAAATGATTGTATTGAAAGATACAAACAATAGTGTGATAAGTAAACGGAATTATGGATATTGTCTTCATGCAACGGCAATAACAGCGAAGCGATCTCGAATATTCTGGGGTGAAATTGCTTCCTATCGTCCGAATGCGAACGAAAAGTCTTTAGATTATCAATTACGCGAATTCAGTATGCGAAGTAAAAGTTATTTTTATACATTCGGAAGTAATTTACACTATCCACCTGGAACTGGACATTTTGGAGTTGCGTTCCAAGATCGAGGAAAGTTCTGGTCAACCGTAACATAACTAATTCATTAATGCGGGTGAATTTGTCGTTTTTCTATAGTATTCAATCAAAAGAACTTGCAATATTATTGTATGAACTATATATAAATATATATGCAGATTAATTTTGTTTTTTTTATATCTCTCGTTGCGAATAAAAATAAAGAATAATTATACACTTTTGTATTGATCAAGACAGCATTTTCTCTACATATGACGTCGCTCTTTTTGAATTCCGATCTAAAGGTAAGATAAAACTTTTATGTTGTAATCAATGCTCTTCTTTGTCCAAAGATCATTTTATGTGTTTTACCATTTCGTATTATCATTTGAATGTTAAACTAAGATAGTTGTCATACAATAAAAATCTTCATTATGTTTTTCGCTTTGGTACAGAATGGCAATGTTCGAAATCTCGTCGAAAAAGATTTTTATCTTGTTGTGCATCATCGGATTATTTTCATTAATTACGTTTACACTTGCCGCTGCCACTCTTGGTACACTTAATAGAGGACTTAATGCAATGGCCCCCGCAGGAATCGCAACAAAACCAAAATTGAATTCATCTCTAGCTGAAACGATCCGTATTGACGATCTTATGACTCATTTAAAACAGTTACAACGTATTGCTGACGAATCCAACGGTAATCGTGCGATAAATACACGAGGATTTAATGAAACGGTTAATTATATCTATAATTATCTGCAGAATCAAGTCAGTGGTTTACAAATCAAGCGTCAAACGTTTCGATTGAGGAATTTTGCACTTGCTAAAAGTCCAATCCTGCTCTCTTTGATTAACGGAATAGAAAAGAATTATACTTATTCGACGGTGCTCGCCAGATCTGAATTTAATTATGTAAACTATTCTACAGCTGCTAATTTCTCCGAATACGTTCCGGTTGTGCATATTTCTAATTACGGATGTCAAGAAAGTGACTGGCGAAATGCATCGCATTTTGTTGCATTAGTCAAAACAGGAGGGAAATGGACATTCGCGGAAAAGAGTGTTCTGGCAAGAAATAATGGTGCCAAAGCTTTACTGTTCTATAGTAATGGAGAGAATAGTTATAGTCTTGCGCCATTCACTATACGTCTTCGTCAAAGTAATGAACTGCCTGCATTATCTTTGTCTTACGCCGTGGGACAAGCGCTAGTGAACGTGACTCTAATAAGCAAAGTTGCCGTAAAAATGTTTATTGAATTGCAGAATCTACCAACGTTTCCAGTTGATAATATTTGTGCAGATACTCTACAGGGTGATGCAAGACAGACAATTGTTGTTGGAAGTCATAGTGACAGTGTTCCAGTTGGACCAGGCATCAATGATAATGGTGCGCATTGTAAATTTTTATTGAACTTCTCGCCTTTTAAAGTATCTATATGCACGTAGGTAGTGGAACTGCAGCTAATTTAGTTCTAGCAACCAATTTAGCTCGACTTTATCAAACAACAAATTATTCGAAATATAAATACCGTGTTCGGTTTTGTTGGTGGGCAGGAGAGGAAATTGGTTTGGCTGGTTCGACTTATCATGTGCAAAATGCTCAAAATATGACGGAAATAGGCGAACGCCTACAAGATTATTTATTAAACCTTAATTTTGATATGGCTGGTTCACCTAATTTCATTTTCGGAATCTATGATGCTAAAACGGCGGTCGACGGCACACCATCTAGCGCACTTCCTGGTAGTCAGAAGATTACAGAACTATATCGCGATTGGTTTATTCGACAAACTTTACCTTGGGATTATCGAGACTTCAATGGCCGAAGCGATTATGGTCCATTCTTGGCGGCAGGTATTGCCGCCGGTGGCGTAGCAACGGGCTCCGACGCCATCAAAACAGCTGCACAGCGTGAAAAATATCGTCAATCCGTAGGTAAGAGCAATGCTGGTTTTGCTGGCGCAATTCTTGACCCATGTTACCATCAAGCATGCGATACATTAGCAAATATTCATTTGTACGGGTATGAAAAACTTGTTCAAGCAGCTGCATATGGACTCGAATATCTTGGTCAGCATCCAGATCTACCTCGATGGCTTTACCCCAGTGGACGAATATAGAAACATGTCACGCAACGCTTTAACCAGTCACTTTGTGAAATGTTACTGAACTAAACATTTGTCATCTATGGATGAAGTTTAATCATTCTCTAGTTAAAAAGAAAGGAAATTAAATTTGCTTGTTAAACATTTAGTATACATTGTTCTATTCTGAATCCCTTTCTCTGAATAGATGGTTGGTTTTAATATCTAGAATTTACTTCGCAAGCACTACAAAAGAAATTCATTTATATTGTTAGAATCCTCATGCATATCTATAATAGCCACACTGACATAATATATTAAACATACGAGGCGATATTTTCAAATGTGCATTTCGTCAATTCACTATATATTGTGATCTGACTGTGTAAAATATCTATGTATTCGAGAAACGATTATTATGTGATCTAATATAATACCACTAACTTGTCCAAATGTAATCGAATTTACAGGCCTTGTCGTGTTTATCAAAAATAAAAAATCAATGAAACAATCGACCCCTGCCATCGACTGTTTGCTTGATATAAAAAGATGTAGAATACCTGTCTCATACACTGTTTGGGTAACAATAAATTAATATAAACACTTTTTGCTTCGTAAAAAAAACAAGTTGTTATTCTTCCCTCTGAATTCAAAATCAGTGTATCATATGTCCGTTGTGTGAAAGACCTGTATACAATCAAATAAATGTAATAAGCAGCACGTCGTTTACTTTCTATATTCTACTCAAATTTTCCTTTTAACTTACGAGGGAACATATTTAGGTGTTCAAGCAGTTTAGATCCCATCTTTTGGTAGTAAGTAGACCCCAATGAGGTATGAAAAACCTCAAAAGGATTTGTGCCCTCGTGCCGTTGTTGCCGAGTTATCATCGTTTTACTTGCTTTTTGGCTTGTTGACAGGTGTTTCGATAAAATGCCAACGACACAATTTAAATCTGAAATTTTGTTTATAGATAGGTCTNTATGCGAAGTAAAAGTTATTTTTATACATTCGGAAGTAATTTACACTATCCACCTGGAACTGGACATTTTGGAGTTGCGTTCCAAGATCGAGGAAAGTTCTGGTCAACCGTAACATAACTAGCTCATTAATACAGGTGGATCTTGTCGTCTTTCTATCGTATTCAATCAAAAGAACTTGCAACATTATTGCATGAATTATGTATATATATATATATATATATATATGTCGCGTCGATGTAATTACATAGAGTAGTCAAAATGTTTTGTCACTTTGTTATATCTATTGCGAGACATGATATTTTATCCATCGCTCTACACTATATATAATCGGGATAGTTGTTGTGATATTTCACAGAAAATTTCATTTCTTTAGTTCTTTCTAAGGATACTTTTTTTAACGAAATACTAGGTTTTTTAAAGCGCCTCTCGTCACTAGCGAAATTTTACTGACTTTCGAGCCCACAAAAACGAGTGAAAGCGTATATAAAGAGAGCTGCTTTTATGTGGTATTATCAGTGGCTATCGGACATAAATTTACCATCACGGTATTGACTTGAAATCATTAGAAAAGTTCATATGAAAATGGAAACTAGTTCCCAGAGGTCAACATATCCGATAGGATTCCTAGTGACGGAATTGCATCGGATTCCGACTAGAAAAATCCAGTCATTTGTTGCAAATTTTATGAGCGTTATTTTTAGCTAGGCTCTATGATGACCCTTAGAAAATCCATAAAGTCTATGTTTCGGATCCGAGTATGGGATTTGTCCACCTGGGCTTATCTAACGGTATACATGGCAAGCCTTATGAAATGACGCAGCACGCATTACTCTTTTCTTCGTATTCAAATCATTTTTCGATTTTATTAATATTCTATGGTATTGTGTGACACTAACGACAATAGTGAAAAATCTTTGAATTCACACAGACAAAAGTTATCGAACAAAAAAGACATTATTATGGGTTAGCCTCCCATATGTCATTTTTTAACATTATGGAATATTAAATTATTTATAGGTTGTTTTGATAAAATCAATTTTCAACTCGCTACGCGTACACGTTTGTGGACTGAACTTTAAGAATCTGTATCTATTTAAATTTATTTAAATTACTGCAAATGCTTAAAAACTTCACTAATGAAGCTGGTTGCAATGCCGAGAGGCGCTTTAAAAAACCTAGTATTTCGTTAAAAAAAGTATCTTTAGAAGAAACTAAAGAAATGAAATTTTCTGTGAAATATCACAACAACTATCTCGATTATATATAGTGTAGAGCGATGGATAAAATATCATGTCTCGCAATAGATATAACAAAGTGACAAAACGTTTTGACTATCCTATGTACTTCGGCAACATTTTTCCTATCGAAGTTGTAACTTCGATACGACCATATGTATATGCGGGTTAATTTTTTTTTAGAAATATTTCTCTTTGCGAATAAAAGTAAAGAATAATTATACACTTTTGTACTGATCAAGATAGCATTTTCTCTACATATGACGTCGCTCTTTTCGAATTCCGATCTAAAGGCAAGATAAAACTTTTATGCTGTAATCAATGCTCCTCTTTGTCCAAAGATCATTTTGTGTGTTTTACCATTTCGCATTATCATTTGAATGTTAAACTAAGATAGTTGTCATACAATAAAAATCTTCATTACATTTTTCGGTTTGGTACATAATGGCAATGTTCGAAATCTCGTCGAAAAAGATTTTTATCTTGTTATGCATCATCGGATTATTTTCATTAATTACGTTTACACTTGTCGCTGCCACTCTTGGTACACTTAATAGACGACTTAATGCAATGTCTCCCACAGGAATGGCAACAAAACCAAAGTTGAATTCATCTTTAGCCGAAACGATTCGTATTGACGATCTTATGACTCATCTAAAACAGTTACAACGTATTGCTGACGAATCCAACGGTAATCGGGCGATAAATACACGAGGATTTAATGAAACAGTTAATTATATCTATAATTATCTGCAGAATCAAGTCAGTGGTCTACAAATCAAGCGTCAAACGTTTCGATTGAAGAATTTTGCACTTGCTAAAATTCCAATTTTGCTCTCCTTGATCAACGGAATAGAAAAAAATTATAGTTATTCGACGTTGCTTGCCAGATCTGAATTTAATTACGTGAACTATTCTACAGCTGCAAATTTCTCCGAATACATTCCCGTTGTGCGTATTTCTAATTACGGATGTCAAGAAAGTGACTGGCGAAATGCATCGCACTTTGTTGCATTAGTCAAAGCAGGAGGGAAATGTACGTTCGCTGAAAAGAGTGTTCTAGCAAGAAATAATGGTGTCAAAGCTCTTCTATTCTATAGTAATGGAGAAAATAGTTATAGTCTTGCGCCATTCATTGTACGTCTCCGTCAGAGTAATGAACTACCTGCATTATCTTTGTCTTACGCCGTGGGACAAGTGCTAGTGAACGCGACTCTATCAAGCAAAGTTGCCGTAAAAATGTTTATTGAATTGCAGAATCTACCAACGTTTCCAGTTGATAATATTTGTGCAGATACTCTGCAGGGTGATGCGAGACAGACAATTGTCGTTGGAAGTCATAGTGACAGCGTTCCAGTTGGACCAGGTATCAATGATAATGGTGCGCATTGTAAATTTCTATTGAACTTCTCGCCTTTTAAAGTATCTATATGTACGTAGGTAGTGGAACTGCAGCTAATTTAGTTCTAGCAACCAATTTAGCTCGACTTTATCAAACAACAAATTATTCGAAATACAAATACCGTGTTCGGTTTTGCTGGTGGGCAGGCGAGGAAATCGGTTTGGCTGGTTCAACTTACCATGTGCAAAATTCTCGAAATATGACGGAAGTAGGCGAACGCCTACAAGATTATTTATTAAATCTTAATTTTGATATGGCTGGTTCACCTAATTTCATTTTCGGAATCTATGATGCCAAAACGGCGGTCGACGGTACGCCATCGAGCGCACTTTCTGGTAGTCAGAAGATTACAGAACTATATCGTGATTGGTTCATTCGACAAAGTTTACCTTGGGATTATCGAGACTTCAATGGCCGAAGCGATTATGGTCCATTCTTAGCGGCAGGTATTGCTGCCGGTGGCGTAGCAACGGGCTCCGACGCCATCAAAACAGCTGCACAGCGTGAAAAATATCGTCAGTCCGTGGGTAAGAGCAATGCTGGCTTTGCTGGCGCAATTCTTGACCCATGTTACCATCAATCATGCGATACATTAGCAAATATTCATTTGTATGGATATGAAAAACTCGTTCAAGCAGCTGCATATGGACTGGAATATCTTGGTCAGCATCCAGATTTACCTCGATGGCTTTACCCCAATGGACGGATGTAGAAACATGTCACGCAACGCTATAACTAATCACTCTGTAAAATGGTACTGAACTAAGCGTCTGTCATCTATGGATGAAGTTTAATCATCCTCTAGTTCAAAAAAAAGGAAATCAAATTAGCTTGTTAAACATTTAGTATACATTGTTCTATTCTGAATCCCATTCTCTGAATGGATGATTGTTTTTTATATCTAGAGTGATTACTTCGTAAACACGACAAAAGAAAATTAATTTATAATGTTAGAGTCCTCATGAATGTCTATAATAGCCACACGGGCACAATGCATTGGATATATGAGGCGATATTTTCATATATGCATTTCGTCAATTCCCTATATCGTGTTTATCAAAAATAAAAATCGATGAAACAATCGAACCTTGCCATCGACTGTTTGCTTAATATAGGAAGATGCAGCATACCTGTATCATACACTGTTTGGATGACAATAAACTAATATAAACGTTTTTGCTTCGTAAGAGAAAAAAACAAGCTGTTATTCTTCGCTCTGAATTCAAAATCGACATACCATATGTCCGTTGTGTGAAAGATCTGTATACAATCAAATAAATGTAATAGGAAGCACGTCATTAGCTTTCTATATCCTACTCAAATTTTCCTTTTAACTAAGTAGCACTTGTTGAGTGATTCATAATCTTACCTTTTCTTTCGCACAACACAGTTAGCTTAGAAGGAACCAAAATAAATCCTCTTTTAAAAATATTTTCTCATTTTGCCACATGATACGCATAATCGAAGTCCTCTCCAGTAAAGGTCTTAACTTTGGATAGAAACACACTTTTGCTAACGTTCTTGATAACATCTGAACTCTAGAAGCTAACACCGATCAGAAACGAAGAAAATTTTCATATACTTTTCTATGATCTGATCTTATGAATACTTTTGAAGCTTAATTTTTCCTTGAAATGTACAGTGACTCAGAAAAAACATACCTATACCACACAATACATCAAAATACAAGTATATTCTTCTCATATTACCATATCGTATACATTATGGTAGCTGTCTGATCAGATTGTTTTGTTATTTTGGTTTTATTGTGTTAAAAGTATTTTCTGTCTTGAAGTAAAAGATATCTTTTGACAGATGTTACTATTTAGTCATCTTTATCATGAGTTCGAGATTAGTGATAGATCTATGTAGTATTCTCTTTTATTGACCATCCCACGTATCAACGGCTAATGACGGTTCTGGATTCGATGTTTCTACAGGTACTGGTTCAGGATTCCATGTATCTACAGCTAGTGACGGTGCAGGATTTGATGGTTCTATAGGTGCTGGTTCGGGATTCCATGTATCTACAGCTAGTGACGGTGCTGGATTTGATGTTTCTACAGGTGCTGGTTCGGGATTCCATGTATCTACAGCTAGTGACGGTGCTGGATTTGATGTTTCTACAGGTGCTGGTTCGGGGTTCCATGTTTCTACAACTGGTGGTGGAGGGTTGTATGTTTCTACTACGGGCTGAGGAGTAGGCCCAGGCTGATAAGGTGGTGGTGCTGGCTGTGGAACATTTGTGGGAACAGTGGGTGAGGGTGAGGGCCGAATGATAGTTACATCAGTTCTTCTCACCGCAGAAGGTACTGGTCGATATGGTGGAGGTGGCGGTCTTGGTGCAGGCTCTGGTGGCCTATTTACATATCCATTATTTCTATATACATACTGCGGTTGTTGATAAACGGGTTGAGGACGGACACCAATACTTGTCCCCACTTGATTAAATTTGCATAGGCCATTGCAAGCATTTTCACATCCACATCGTTTGGCGCATCCACAGTAGCAACAACAAATAATGATAATGATAATTATAATAACTAAAAGAAAAAGAATACCAAACGCTAGTCCAATAGCTCCTGCAGTCGTCAGGCCATTAATACAACCCGAATACGTGGTGTTGACTGTGCAATTAATATACGCCATTATCTAAGTACTGTTAGCGAGAAACCATGTTGAAACGATGAGATAACTGAAAAATAAGCTTTTTTTTTCTATTTTTTACAATTCCTTATGTAGTTGTTTTTTCGTGTATGAATTTGTTTGATTAGAAGAAAGACAAGCGCTGCTACGACAGAATCGATAGGTGTTGTGTAGGCGAGATGAAAACAATTCACCTTTTAATGCATTAAAAGAATCTATGTGAACAAGTATGTGTGCTGACGTCAATGTCACGTCATCAAACTCGAACTCGTACGAACACAAAGTGTTCTTTTTCTAAGAGAAATTATTGAAATTTGACTGCACAGGTTTAATAAGCAAGTAGACAACTTGAAAACATGCCAAATAATAGATTAGCTGAAGTCATGAATACAGAGGAAACTCTTCGCTGCTTAGTTACGCGGCCGAACAGATCCGAATTCGTGATTGTGGTATATAATTCGCATAGCTAAATGAAGAGCGACAATTCACTGAGTTGTATAGAGAATTTATTCATCTCTTTCTCTGTATTTCACTGTTAAGTAAATTTCATTCACAAAATGACGTCATCTTTCACTCTCAACAGAAACTTGTCCATGACAATGGTAAACAAACTGCGCGTGGTGAACAACATGAATTAGTAATGCATATCGAAGTGCTTGATGTACAACGATACGCTGTATTGTTGCACGCCTCTAATATTGAGCAGGAAATACCGGGTGCACAATAGCTTGCATTATTCGGTGCACGATAGTCAAAACAAGGCCTTGGTGATAAAACGCAGGTATTGTTGTCATTGTTGATGTTAGGTCGACACTGTTGCAGCGAACAATATGATACTGAGTTCCATGCAGAATGAGAAGATGATGATAGGGTGAATTCAACGGCAGTATCAGTTTGGTTACAAACGACATTAGGCTTTTGAGGTGTCTGACCTAAAACAAAAGAACGGCCGCCATATTGCAAAACTGCAATATATCCATAAAAGATATTTACTAGCCATTTCACAATACCGTCCTGTTCGACCAGGTGGACATGTACAAGTGAATTGTGTTCCAACAGCAGTACATACAGCATTGTTTAAGCAGGGTGATGGAGCACAAGGATTCACTAGCATTGCACAATCGACACCAGTCCATTGTGCTTTGCATGTACACGTATAACGGCCATCAGGAGTTGATACACAGGTTCCTCCAATCAAAGTAATAGTACAAAATTTTTTCGAAATTTCGTTTTCAGACTCACCCTGATTCTGACATGGTGAAGCTCTGCATGGTTCGTAAATACTACAATTAATGCCGCTATAACTAGACTGGCATAAACATGTGTATGTATTATTCAAGCCTGATAGACAAGCGCCATGTGGCGAACAAACGTTCAGACAGCAGAAATCAATAGACTGACAGAATGGACCCGTATAGCAAGCACTACAATTACAATTGACCGTCCCATTGTCGTACCTTGAGCAGATGCCACCATTTAGACATGGCGATGGTGCACACCAATCGACTATAGAATGCAAGAAACAAACAATATCACATTTGATTGAAGAATCTCTTTTCGATACTACTTTTTCGACAATCGAGAATAATTCCAGAGAACGTAGATGTTCCACTACACCACGGAGAGCCAACATCAACAGTGGTGCATGTTGTATAATTAACGCCCTTATAGGTAAACGGAAAAGAACAATAGCTCATATTTCCTACACGAAGCAAAATCATTCATTTATCATGAATACGTTAGTATGTGACAAACCTGATGCAAGAGGCGAACTAGTGTCATTAAAAGACGCTTGATATTGACCAATACTCCAGTTTGAGTTAACTTTATTCGCCAGTACAACATCGAAGTCACGCAATGAATAATTTCTTGTCGTGACAAATATTGTAACTTCACCCGACGGCCTATAATAAGTTTTTGAATGATCACTTTATCTATTTTTTCATTTAATCTTACCGAATAGTAATATTACTAGCAAAAGCCCTGCGATTTGTCATATCCATTATTGTTTCGTTCATATATAAGATTAACAGTTGATTGTTTAGTGTCGGTTCATTTGAATTGTAATTGAGGAGGTAAATTCTATAGGTAGAATTCGTCAAATAATAAGACTCGCATTGACGTCCGTAGTATGTTGGTGGACATAAACATATGAAATCTTCTATATCAGCTTGGTAGACACAAGTACCCTGATTTTGACAAAGTGTCGAACCGCTTTGGCAAAGATCTAGATAAATTCGACATCATAGCAATTTGAAAGCAAAAGTGACATTTCTCCCTACATTGAGTTCGACAATTGCGACCTAAGATCTGCGTTAACTCACAAAAACACGTCCAATTTGTATCGGATGGTAAACAATGTATTGGAAAATCCGGCGTACCATTACATGGGTTTGTCATATTCAAAGTTTCGCATGCAGTATGTTGTTGTGTAGGCAAACCAGTCGAGTCGCATATTCTACGATCAGCTACTGTATAGTTTTGTCCATACGCACAATAAGCATTCCCGTCTATGGTCATATGACATACTGATGATTGTTTAGTATAGTATTCATGTGGTAAAGTACAATGCGGAGCAGCTAAATCAACAGACAGCCATAGAAAATATACATCAATTGTTTATTTCGAAGCTTACCATTCAGCGGTTCAAAATCGCTGATATCAGTGAGACTCGTGTTGTCATACACTAACTTGAAGTAAGGTGGAAGATTAGCAAGAATGGGCTGAATAGTATCATAAATCTGTCGTTGAGTTATATTACCGGCAAAAGACATGTCAGTGGTAATCTGGATGAAATTGCCTGTATAAGTTGAAAAACTAAATTGATTCAAGATGGATATTTATAACAAGTGTCGATCCTCCTTGAACATACGTAGTGTACATTAACGGTGAAAAGTCAAAACTTGAGTTGGTTTGATTACGAACCAAACTCCGGAATAAATTTGTCAAATTCTGATAAGTTTGGGTTGTAGACGATTCCAGAGCATTTAGGGTAGTCTTCGACATATCTGGAGCTTTGAATCTAACTTTCGCTCGAAAGTAAGCTAAAGATCAACTCTTCAATAAAACAATACAATTACTTTTTAAATAAAAAATCTTACTGTGCGTACACAATCTTCCAGTAAAGCCAACGTTACACGAACACGTGAATGTTGAAAACAGAACTCCAAATGTATATCGCATAGATGGAATACAAGAGCCATATCTGCATGGTTTCTGTTTACAATAGTCGACTGAAATACAGCTATGCTATCATATCTTTTTCTCAGGAAAATACTGTTCGTACTTTGACAACTATTTGGCCGACCTGAAGCACTTTTACACCATGGGACAGTTCCATTCATATAGTCATTGCTTGTTATACAACTATTCTGCGATTGATATTCATTGTCGATAAAAGGGAAAACACATCCAGTGATATCTGAAAAGAAGACCTAAGAAACATATCAACGGTGACATTTCTTACTATGATGACAATAGATTCCTCCATAGCCCGGAGCACAATTACATTGATAAGAACCCGCTGATAGAACAACACATGTGCCATTGTTCAAACAATTCATATCATTGCATTGCGATACTAATTTTAAAAAAATAATAAAAGGGTGTGTAGCTCATCATTACAAAAATGGTGTATAAATAGACATACATTGATCGCAGTTTGCACCTATGATACCAAGCGAGCATTGACAATAAGAGTTCGGACCGTTCCGAACACATGTGCCACTATTTTGACATGGTGATGAATTGCAGAATTCTGTGGGATATTGGTATCGTTCGCGTCCTTGTTTTTGTTCCATTTCTATTGGTGGACTTTGAATATATCTCATTGTAGCTCTATCATTCGAATAGAATATTGTTGCAATGAAAATAATTGATTCATTCAATGAATTCGAATGCATCCAAAAAAAGGTATATTGTGATTGATTTGCGCTTAGCATAAAAGAATCTTCGTTGGTTACTACTTGTTCTAATGATGTTGAACAATGAATTACCTGACCATCCGTTGGAGTGAACGGGTGCCATAAACCTAATACTCTCGTTGAATCACTTGCAGCCATAACAAACCATGATATGTTAGAAGGAGTTTGTTTTCTTACGAGTTTGACTTTGATGATATTTGATGATGGAGCTTTTTCGAATTCAATTGTATAATTCTCATCTGTGTTCTTATTTGATCCTAACAAGTCCAAATCTGAACATGGAGTAGCGTTCGAACAATGTATTACGATATGAACTAGAAGGTTTATAGCTGCCAGTAAAAACATGATTAAATAGCAATCCTCCTCTGTAAAGGTACAACTAAATATTCGAAAAAGGAACAGAAAGAGTATTTTCGATCGATAATGGTTTATTTATTACCGAAAAGAACAACATACAGCCTACTCGATGAGAAAATAATTATATGAAAGAAGTTCTTCTCCATCTAGATTTCTATTTCATTGTTTGTATAAACGAACCTCTGAATTCAAATAGAAGGTATGTTCTATTCCAATATAAAATCTTCGGGCACTATTCACATGTTGTTTTCCTATGTGTTGTATATTCGCTTGCGAAAATCTCTAAAAAGATCCCATCTGATAAATCGTTCTTCTGTCAAGAGCAAACAAGATAAATTATTAATCGAATGTTGTATTGTATTTTTTATATTCGCAGCATTCATGACTTCAAACATATTAAGCAAAATGGGCTATGCTCGAAGCTTGCGATTGAGTATAAACATAGTCACTGGTGGAATGTTCCAATAGGTATCGTTTTCTATTTATCAACGGACTACTATATTTCAGACAAAAATGAAAGATCATTATTTGTATAGTTAGTAGTAACAAATCTTTTTTTCATAAAAAAATAACTAAAATCCTAACCAGTCTTGTCATCTTAGTCAAGAGTAAATTTTTGCACTCGATTATTATTCTGATCGACAACATAGAGAGAACCATCTTGATCAAATGATAGACCAACAGGATATTGAAATTGATCCGAATTGTCACCACGCCCATTTCCACCAACGATTATTACGCCCTTCTTCGCATTGTACGCCCAACGCACTATGCGATGGTTCCAACTGTCAGCTATGTAAATATTACCGAACCGATCAACAACTAAACCCTGTGGATGATCTAAATTTGAACGTGAGTCACCTTGACCATGGCCACCTGCAACGAGCATGCCTTTCATAGCTCCGTCTACCCACTTCATAACGCGATTATTATGGTGATCGGAAACATAGACAGAATGATCTTGATCGACAAAGAGTGCAGTTGGTGAGTTGAGTTGGTTAGGAAAATCTCCCTTTCCATTTCCGCCAGCCACAACTGTTCCCTCTGCTTCACCTGTTTTCCATCGTTTGACTTCATGCCTTTCGCCATCCGAAACATACAAACTACCATTGTCATCGATCGTTAAACGAGAGCAGTAAATGTTCGGTATAATTACTTGAGGACTTCTGTCGCTCCGATGAAACCAGCGTACAACACGACTATTGCCACGATCACATATAATTAAAGAATCATTCTTTTTATCGACAATAACATCTGTTGGACGATCCAATTGGTTGAGTGCTTTACCAGGTCCGTTTCCCCCTGCCACGATTTCACCATTCATCGCATTAAACCGCCATCGAACAATACGATGATTATCATGATCAGCCAAATAGATCGTTCGATCGTCATCATCCACATAGATACCACGAGGATAAGCTAGTTGGTTCAATTTCGACCCTCTGCCATTACCACCTGCAATCATGATTCCATGTCGTTTCCAGACACTATTATTATTGATATTAATCGACGGTAATGGTTGTTCTAAAGAATAAGAAGAACGAGGGAAGATCAACAATCGTCTTAAATCTTAAACGAACATAAACATACGAGAAGAAACAGTAACAAGAATCTTGTTAATTAATGGCGTTGATGTATGTTGTATAGTTACAACTGACGATCGATCTAATTCCTCTACTAAATGGCCTAATCTATCCTTAGACTCTTCTAATTTCTCTTTGAACTGATTGATATCCATTTCGTTGAAATCGTCTTCATGACGCATAGCTTCTATTTGATCCGTTAATCTTACCAAATGCATGTCGATTTGATGAATATCATTCGAAGGATGTTGAGATAGAATTTGTCGACATTCGTTTGCTGTTTGTTGAACTAATCGAATGGAGTCGTATTCCCATTGATCAATTTGACGAAGCAATAGTTCATTATTTGTTCGACTAATTTGAAAATTAAGGGCTTGCCGGAAAAGACTATAGTTACTATAGACATCTTCGAGTTGTTTGTTTAGCTCCTGATGATGTTGAATAAAGTGAGTGTAGCAGAAATCTTGTAAACAACCAGTACATTTCGATGTTGCGCGTTCTTTGTCACATCTGACACAATGTGATTTTCTTAAGCCTGATGACATCGCGAGAATCGAATAAGTCGAAGCCGATTCCTTTTCTAAATAATAATAATAACAAGAGAGAAAAGAGACAACAGCGCCGCACTCTGTAAACACGAAAATAACAAGATAGTTCAATGTCAACAGGTATCGAAATGCAGTAATGAGTAATTGACATATGCATTCATTCAAGCGTTTTTACCATTCTGTTCCATCGAAATAGAATGTGTGCGTGAGTGCGTCAATGAAAGAAAATTAATTTTCGTTCGTTTACTTTTCTCAGCGCATACGGTAACACTTGCATATGGATAAATAAGAGAACTATATCAAAATATTTTCTCCGTTCTTTGAATTCAGAAGGTAATAGAATGACAAAATATTCATGTATGTATCAATAAAATAATAATGATACAATCAAGGCCAATGGTTTTTTTTCCATAGAGTTATGTAGCTAAAAGTTCACAGTTGAAAGAGAGAGAGGAAGACCGCGTGAGAATTGATTGATGCGAGAAACCAGCTCTTATGCTTTATTTTCATCAAAATAGATACATACAATGAAATTTTCATTTCTTCAATTTCATAGGTCACCTAGTTTACCAGCGGCCTTCCACCATTGATTTTGCGGTAGATTCTTAGGGTGTTCGTCAGTAACACGAAACATCAATCCATATACTAGAATGCCATTGAGAGCACCAATATTTTGACCAGGTTTCCAATGAACAACCCATTCTAGCACATCATTCGAAAAATTTGGATCAGCTTTTTGTTTATCGTGTGGAAATGCACCAGGAAGTGTTCCGGGATATTTTTCAATAAGCTTCGGATGCACTCGAACTTGTAAAACCATTTGAACGTACTTCGACTTAATCTGTACTATTTTTGCGTAACGTGGATGTCCACTGTATTCGATGCTTGGACTAAGGTAAACTGCACCATGGTTCGATCTAAGAAAACATCCTTGTCCACTGGCACGCAGGCCATTGAGAAGAATTGTCATTGCTAACGCCCCTGCTGTTCCATGGTAGGCTACCGGCCAACTTCCATATTGTTGTTCGAACTGTGCACCAGTCATACCGACATCTATGGCATATCGACGCCAACCATTTGGACAGTAATACGGTTCACTTCCTCTGTTTAAACTTTGGACGAATGATGTTGCTATGAAACCGACTGCCGTCTCTCGTCCATCACGACTGTATATTCGGTTGAATGCTGGATTCATAGCGTGTCGAAATCCGTTGAGACCAAAGTTGCCAATCAGAACGCTGCGGACATTAAGATTAGCGAGTTTTGAAATGATTTTTGCGATCAAATGAGGGATATTTTCCGAGATTTCCACTTCCAGTGTGACTATTTTAACATCGCCGTTGATTCGTACTTTTCTTGATCGGACATCCTGAAAATTTCTACTAATATCGTTCAGTACATTTTCGGCAGTTCTATGACTAACGGATGAATCGAGTACAAAGTCGAAGCATAGAATTCGCTTTCCATCAGTTGGCAGAGGTAATTGACCATATGCAATACATGGTAGCAAAGATGCGCCATTAGTGGGATTTGCTTGAGTAGCTGCATTATGAACAGTTCGCGTGACCGCTTCCGTATGTTCTTGTAACAGTTCGGGTTTGTTCAGAATCACAGCATACAGAAATTTACGTACCCGTTCTAATTCAGACAAGACGACGCTTTTTCCTAGCATAAATGTTCGATCAGATGGCAGCATTTCGCGTATTTGCTCGATCCATTTGTTAATACAGAATTGAAAGTGTACAAAGTCGTCTTCCAAACCGTGATAATCAAGAAATTCTTGTAATTCTCTATCAGATGTTCCCGTTTTCGTCACATAGTCAGTTAAATAGTTCGCAACGTTACTGAACCAATTAGGTTCTCCACGGCATAATAATCTTGAATGTCTCCTCATGTTTTCACCGACGTTCAAGGTTGGGAAAAATAGCGAACCGATTAATCCTACCGGTTTTGATACAAAATCCCCTGCTTTACCAGCGCGATTCGCTAAACCAAGTGTATATCTGTTGGCAGCTTGTATTCCTACTAATTTTTCTTTCAGTGGTTCGAATACTTGACGGATATCTTCTGCTATCTCTTTTGCCAAAGCAGTGACTTCTTCAGGTCTGTCGCTAGTGGATCTTCGATTTTGACGATTGAAAAACTCCGTCACTCTTTGATCAATGGTTAAATCATCATTATCGAGAAAATTGAGGGTATCATCGCTCATCAAAGTTTCAAATCCGGATTCGTGTAATGTTGTAATCAAAGAACTGACTCCAAGTCCATTAATATAACTGAAAAATCTGCGCAACGCCTGCATTAATGTAAAAACTGTGGTAGCCTGTTGCAAAGGTCGTAGCTGATCTAACAGGTTTCTTTTGTATTCGTTCAGCTTTTGCTGAGTAATGTGATGATTGAAAACATCGACAAATCTATCTATCCGCGTGCGAAGTTGTGGAAAGAATTCCATGTCGCCTTGTTTCAACATTTCTTCGAGTATATCAGAGCTTGCAGCTGTGTCATTCAGTTGAGCCATAGTGGATCGATAACTTTTATCAAGTGACAAACGAAGGATTCGATTCGGCGATACTTTTTGTATAGTACTCTGCTTGAAATAATCGTTGAAAAACTTATTTATATACAATGGGAAAGATTATTTGTGTGTTTTATGTGTGATTTTTCCAGCACTCTTATCAAGGGACACCATGGTACTTATCATTGATGCAATAGTACAAAGATAAAGTATAAGACTGATAAAAACCCACTACGCACTTTTTCTTCAACGCAAATAACGAAAGACAATTTGAATTTTCCTTTGAGTCAATCTTTTATTTTCGTTAGGTTTATTGATTCAATTCCGCTGCCCTACATGCATGACAGCACTTTGGCGAACCATAAAGAAACATGTGCTATACAAAAAATTTTGAAGCGAGACATAGCACTAAAGCAGTGGCCGTATAATTTTGACAGACACCAGTATTGTTTAATCCTCGACGCGTGATATAGTATACAGCAAATGTACCTAACCAATGTCCTCCTTCATAGTGATTCTCATCGATAGCGATCAATCCAGCCCGAGCATTTCTTTCACTCAATTCAAGTAATTGATCACGGCGTTCTCTCTGTTTACTGTCCGAAGATAAACCATCGACAATTCCTTCCAACATCCATGCACGACTTAGACATAGACCAGCAAGGTGAATTAATTTCGGATCTGTTGGATCAGCAATTGACGGTGGTTCGAGCGTAGATGGAAGGACATTCGGCGGAAGGAATTCATTGAACCATGCGACAAAATCTTCAGATCTGTCCTTCATCACACGACGTAGTAGATCAGCTTCAGCTAGACCAGCCGAAAGAAAATCTTCACCAGATGGTTCATATGGGAAAGGATAATTTTTATCAGCAATAAAATAATCCGATGAACGTCGCTCGATCAATTCAATGAATGCAATATTCTTCATTCGACGAGCATAATCAAGTATGAGACCAAGTGCAAATGCAGTTTGGCTATGTTCACCGCTACGTATAGGATATAACAACTTTGGAAGCCAAGCAGAGAGACGGGTGACAATCAGTGTTTCCAATGGACGTAAATTCTCTCGCCATTGACGAATCTCGTCGACGTTCTGAAACATATTCGAAAATCGAGAATCTATAGATGAACGTTAGCTCGAGTTACCTGTTGTTCTTCATTAGCCCACTCATCTAACTCAGTAGCTAATTGCAAAAACCACGCTAATCCATAAGGTCGTTCGAACGAAGACCGTTGGCTATTGCTGAGATACGCGAATTCACCTTGAAGTTTTTCTTTTGTAAGACTTTTCGCTAGCGCTTGACGACATTCTACTGAGAGATTTGCATCGACTCGAGCTAGACGAGCCAAAAGCCAATGACCATGAACAGCCGAATGCCAATCATAACAACCATAAAAACTCGGAGTTAAATCTCGAGGCGCTTGAATATCGGCATCGGATGTCAGAACATGACCGATTCTAGTCGGATATTCTTGATGAACACACGCTAGAGCAAGCGAAGCAAACCGACGACGCATTGTAGCCATATCTGCATTCGAAACAAATCGTCTTTATTCGATCATCGAAATTAACTATAGATTATTGTATTAATTTTTACCTGTTACTGAGTCATTGGTATTTATTTTGTGTTCGAATAATCTTTGTTCGATACTTGGCGAAGAAGTGATCACGACTGTAATTGTCAAGAGGAGCAAAAAATGAATGCTGGTCATCATCACGTATCAAAAACAAATGACAGCAGTATATTTCGTCTATTCCAGTCAAATACTTCAAATGAAGACAGTAATCATACTGTCTTATCAAATTTTCATATACGACATAAAAAAATTATATAATATACTTCAATGATATACGAGAGCACTTTACTATTTTATCATATGTTTTACGAGGGGAAGTTGATGGATATCTTCATTTTCTTTTTCGTTCCAGTTAACTTCAATTGTAGATACATATATATGTACAAAAAAAAACAGCGAGAATGAGATAATATTAAGAAGAATCAATACCGCCAAGTTATACAGTACATATGTTTGTTTTTTGCCTATGAATGATAAGAATACAACTCGTTTTGAAACTGATTATGGACTTGTAGTCATGTTCTCCTTCACCTGTATAGTCAGAGTCAATCGAAAATTCATTCTATATCATCAGTAACTCTGTTTTTATTGATCTAGAAGAGCAGCAAGAATGGCGAAATTCGAAATAGCGTTGATCAGTTCTTATCGATAGGATTATCGATATTTTTGGAGTGGTTTGATTATCATTTGACAGGAACGATATTTCACAGTACAGAATTCAAATACTTTGATTTATGCCTTTTCATTTGCTTTTCTTATTATTTAACATAGATATCGCATTATAAGTATAGTTTGCGAAATTCTTTTTCGAGAATATGTAACTTACGATGTTTTACGATTTTGCAACTTCGCAGAAGTCACGATAAAGTGTCTTCTATCGTCGATTATTCACTCAATTCTTATCTAGCTTATACATTTATTTACATAATCTGTTTTAAAAATACATCGAAAAGCATAGTACTGAAATGTACTCTACTACTCAACATAGATTGATGCTTCTCGACGTTGCTTAAATGATTATCTTTGAACAAAAATAAAAACAGAAGATTATTGATAAATCAAATCAGGAATAAGTTGGATAATTTCCATGAAAAGAATTGTAAATTCCAGAATTCCATTGTTGTGAATTGTTCAATGTGACTTTCTTTTCGTCCAACTGATCGAAAAAACTGTCAATACCACCCATGAGAATTTTCACTACGTACTGTAGAACAAAAGACAATGATTAAGAAAAAAAAGAAACGATCGAATAAGTTGTACACTCACATCACCAAAGCCAAACGGAAAATCTCTTCCCTGACATGCTTGAATTTCTTTCCTTTCACTTTGATAATCATCGACGACATCAAGATTTGGAATTTGTTTATCCCAATCATTCAGGTACGACATACTGTTGTCATCGTCTGAGATTCAGAAAAGCAACGTCTCAAATGTGAACTAAATATTTCTCATTTACCTGTACAAGCGATAATCGTCACTGGAATTTGATTAGTAGGTCTGCGTTCATTTCGAAGTACATGTTCGAGAGTATGAATATCTGGCCGTTCACGTTCGTCTGTTGGTACTCCATCAGTGGCAAGGAGTATTAATAAGTTACGCTCATATATCTGATTACGTTTATCGTGAAGTACTTGTCGGAAAACAGGAACGATAGGTGTGGAACCTTGAAGAAAAGGTACGTGTTTTATGTGATTGAGTTTAATATTTTGCATAAATCAATTTTTCAGTTACCTTCTGGTTCCAAAGCGAAAATGGTTTCGAGTTCAGAAGAATTACGTACGTGGAACATCGGTTCCCGATTAAGGAAATAAACATCAACACCGTCCGGATCAAACACACTGGCAAGATCAACGACAATTGATACTGTTTGCTTCAATTCATCCCCTACACATGCAATCAAGTTCATCTGATATCTGTCAATGTCAGTCGACCCTTACAACGTGTTCTTTGTTGTTCATGTGGGTTATTGTTTGTTCCTAAAGCATCAAAGATCGTTCCATTTCCAATCTCCATCAAAGAAAATTCCACTTACCGAGTGGTGCAGTCATCGAACCAGAGTCATCGCATATGAAAACAATTTCATAGCCTTTCAATTTTCGTAATCTTTCAGCGAAAGTTGGATTGACTAAATAGATTGAAATGACGATCACCGTTTTCGAGCAAATAGTGACCTACTTTCATAACGTCTGACAAATTCATCGAGACCAGGAAGTGGTTCTTCAGATGGTTGCGGATAATTCCAATTTGTCTGTTGGTAAGATGATTGAGGATCGTTCACAACTGATTCGTAAGGCGGAGGCGGAGAAGATGGTTTCTGAAGATTGCGCGAGTCCATTCCAACACTAATAAATGAATGCTGGATAATATTTGTTCGGAGTGTTGATCCTCTCCAGAGAAAACAAATAATGGTATTGAGTGAGAGCGTATACAAGGCAACACGTTTCAATCTGTTGCGCAGGGAAAAAAACCAAAGGAAGAAAAACAAATTCGAGTGAAGAATAATGACGTTTAACAGAGTGCAAATATGACGTGCGCGCGATTTGAATAATTCTTCTTGTTTCTGTTGAAGACAGTTCTCTCCCGTCGGAAGTAATAAATTTGAAATTCGAACGCTTTGATTTCTACGCAATTCAATTGCATACAATTTTCGATAGAAGATTTTTGTAGAAAAAAGTTCGTTATTTACATTGATTATTCATTCAACTTCTCGATGTTCTTTTATCTAATTGGTCCTTCATGTCAAAGCAAAAATAGTACAAAAGATCGTTTCTTACGGTGCATATGAGTATTAGTTGACTCACTTATAACGATCAGTATGCTACCATAGTTATGCTATTCTCCTCCGACTACTCACAGATGTCTCTATGTGCCGTGATGTACTGATACGAAATGTGTACGTTTAAACAATATCACGAACGTATTACAGGTTGCAATTCGATCATTCAACATGATCGGTGAATAGATTTGTATAATTTTGAGCAAAAAAATCAACCCGTTTGTTTCAAAAAGTATTATACAATCCAGATTAAAGATATTTGTTGTCAATTCATAACAAACAGGCGTTTTAATATCGATGCGAAGCTAGCACGAAGGAGCTGCCACGAATAAACGATGTGATAGCTAGAAATTTTTTTACTAAACAAGTCCGTCCCTGAAAAATATACCATTCGACTCAGAATTTAATTCTGCACCGAATGGTCATGTTTCTACTCACGGAACAAACTTCGGACAAATTTTGTTTGGATCATGAATAGACCTATCGGAGGCAAGCAAAGATATATCTAAAAATTTTCCCAAAGTTTGTTCCGTGAGTAGAAACATGACCATTCGGTGCAGAATTAAACTCTGAGTCGAATGGTATATTTTTCAGGGGCGGACTTGTTTAGTAAAAAAATTTCTAGCTAACACATCGATTGTTCGTGTCAGCTCTTTCGTGCTAGCTTCGCATCGATAGTTTTAATCAAGTTCGTCAGCAACTGTATCGTTATCCAGCATTCTGTTGTAGCATGGTGAATCAGGATCGGTAAAATGTCGATGGACTATTCGAATAAAGGACAAAGAACATATATGATATCTGATTAACATGAAACCTTACTATCCGTATCGTCGGTTGCTAAACATCGCCAACAGAATTGAGTATTACACAATGTACATTTGACTGCATGACACCCGGCATATTTATCAATCGGTGTTCGACATTTCGGACAAGCTTTGCAAGTTGATTTGCCGAGATTATATTGCAAAATCGCATCTTCGTCCTTCTCATTATGTAGTTTTTGAAATTGTTCACACGTCATACCGGTATGGTACTCAACTTCGCATGGTGTACAATACACTTTGATGCATTGATCGCAAAAATACATCGATGAACGATCCGATAGACGATATACCTACACAAGATCGATGAAGACAAGCACAGAAACAAATCAAAGTCATCTTTACCTGTTTACAATCAATTCCCATACATTGTGCTAGGTTGTTTTCACCTTGACGAATATAGATTTGGAATGCGATCATTGCTAGACGCGTCATTCGTTCAAAGCCAAGTATCGAAACAATGTCACGGATGAGACAAACTGCATTACAGTTTTGCAGTGGACACGACAATTTAAAAGCATCAGAACTGATCGTCACATCGAAATACGTATCGAAGTAAGCGGTTAAACATGAACGACAAAATGTATGTCCACACTGTTGTAGTGCATAAGGAGAATCAAAGTCACAGGCACATATTGGACAAGTGTTTGTTGTATCTGCCGACTTTTTCTCATCGACATGACTTGAAAGTTGAGAAAAATTGTCCAGAAACTGTATCACTTTCTGTTCACAACTTGTCACTGCGTCCCGGTCGCCGGTTATTGTAATTACGTGTTTGATTACATTAACCACTACTGTTGTTTTCTTGTTATTCAACTCGCGGAATTTTTTTGCATTTTGTATGCATAGTCGAATACAATCTGTAGAAATGCAAGATCGAAAATTGATATTCACCCGAGAAAAATTATCGATACCGACTTTGAGGAATTGGAATTGATATGGAGTGTCCGCGTTGAGTGATATTCTCTTGAATGTAAGAGCCTATCTGCTTGTACGCCTCTTGGCACGCTTCGTCTTCACCAAATATCCGTAGAAAAGTTGATTTCCAATTCCACCAAATATATGTACTTGTACGATACTGAAGATCGCTCAAAAATCTTTGTCCAGCTGTATCGAAAAGTACCGTCACCTAGGATGAATGCAATCAATGTATAAATTCTTTCGTAGCGCGAACTTACCCACGAATGATCATATAGTTGAAATTGCAAACCTTTCAAAAGATTATCGAACAGTAATCGTGCTTTATACGATTGTTGAAGATTCGATCCTCGAATAGATATTAGAACATGCGATTTATCATACAGTGTAATCGGCTTTTTTAGCAGATTTACACTGGAGTAAGTAGAATCTTCTTTGATAGTTTTGATGGTCTGTTCGATTTTATTGTCGATAGCTTGAGCAAGTGTGTCTTGAAGCACAATTCGATGTGAAACGATAGGAAGGAATTGAAGTTGATTAAGTTCAGTTCTTTCAATGGCAGCACTATCCAATGACTCGCACAAGCTGATAGCTGTGATAATTTCACGAGGATCATGAAAACGAATGTATGCGACAGCGCGTCCATCTTCGGTCGGTGAACGCAGTTCGATTTCTGGCTCGGAGAAAAGTTGAATTTGCGATTCGAATAATGATTTGAGTTGATTCATTGCCTTTTGATTATCATCATCGATCGTTCGCGAACGATACGAAAAATAATCTCCAGGTAACTTTTTTCGATATACGATTGTATACGTGAGTGCGCCACTAAGGTTACAACTATCGAGCAGATCGGTAAGAAATTTTTCATCAACATGACTTGGTAATCGACTGAGTCGGATGCGAAATTCATCTGTTCTCGATTCGTTTCGTTTCGTCGTTGCATTCATTTGTCGTTGTTCTTGAATTTTGACGCGTAAGATCCCTGTGCCCATTTCAAGCTTCATATCGTCGAGGTCACTGGCTATTTTTCGCATTTCTCTTTCGTCAGTAAATTGTACATAGGCAACAACTTGACCATCATGAAGATATGGTTCTATAAAGGTTGATTGAGGTTGAAATGACGTACAGGTATCGAATAGAGATTGGAGAGTAGCGTTGACATCAGCTGGTGTGGCCATCATGACGTTTTTTCGCGTTCGAAGTATTGAAATATTCGTAGAATCAGTAAAAATAGTTTTCAAATTGGTTTCATCCAGATTTCGTGGAACATTTCGGACATAGATTGATACATTCGATCGTCGACTAGGTTCAATACGAAATGGATATTCATAGCGAGCTTCGATAGCCTGAAAAGAATAGAGAACTCATAATAAATCGCATTTCTGTAGAAGTTTACCGCTTGTGCCTGCTCAACTGTAGTGAAATGAACAATGGCATGTCCGTGATGAGGTGTCAGTGGCCATGAACATCGGATGGTTGGATTGACAGAGCTCATTTCGAATTGACAGAAAAAATGATGTCGTCGCGTGAATATTTGATACGCTTGTTGCGCTGCCTGAGCTTTACTAAATGTCACTCGTCCCGTACATTCAGAATCTGTCAAATACCATTGAACTTTCAGTGTATAATTTTGGCGTTTGCTATCAACTGATGTTCGAGTGAAGCTTGGTCTGACCTGTATCACGTAATCATCCCATGTTTCATGTGCTAGCTCCTTAACAGCTGTATGTGCAGCGGCACATTCAGCAAAAGTAACCGAAGCTGAAATACCGTTTTGATTTCTTCGGATAAGTGTCACATTACGAACTGAAATATTGAAATATAACTATCATAGTACGAGTTGATCTGTAACTTACCTTCTCCGAATCGTTTGCACTTGTCGTGAATTTGTTCTTCACTGATTTTTTGCGGCAAATTAGTGAGGAAAATTTTAATATACTCATCCTCTACCAAGACTAAACGAGGCTCAGCGCCAGCGCCGAGTAAAACTCGAGTGGAACCTATGATTTCAAATTCTTGCAATTCACTCCGTAGTTTATCACGTTCAGTATCTAAGATCTTCTGCACATATTGCTGAGCATTGACCAATTTATCCTTTCGTCCCCATATAGTTAATTTCGATTGGACACGATCGACTTCAAATAGAACCTGTAAATTTTCTTCCAATTCTGGTATCTTTCGACATTTTCTTCCTACTAATGAAAGCAAAAGCGCTGGACCAAGATTGACGAATGTATAATCTTCATAGACAGACTGAGATGGCGAACGCGGCAATGATGCGAGCCACGACAAATTCAACCATTCAAGTTCTACTGGACATACACCGGTTAGGTAATTCGTTTCGTTAATATTCAGTATTTCATGATAGAGAACAAATTTCGGTGGTTGTTGAGCATAGGTAATAATCGATGAACGATGAATTCGTGCAACAGTATCTACCGAACTCGTTGCCAATTGATAACCAGCACGAACAGGACCATTTGAAATAGCTAAATTTTGGAAGAAACCAGCACAGACACAACGAACGATTCGCTCCATCAAATCTTTAGTCGGCATAGGGAAAATATCAATCGTATATTTGGGTGTAATTTGATAGGAAAGTTCTCGAGCAAAACTAAAGGCCATTTTCATAGACTTCGATCGAATCATATGTCTCACACACCAAGCTTTGCGAGTTTCGTTATACTCATCCAGATTGTACCATTCAATGAAAATGCGTAGTAAAACCATGTAATCACCACCGATATCGGTATCATGGATAAACGACGATCGTATTTCGTCAATGGTCTGCTTCAACTGATCATCTTTCGCACGCCACCATAAGTTCTGTACGACACTCAACATACCGACAAGTGCAAGAATATGATGGAGACAATTTTCCTTTTGTGCAGTGAAAATCATGACTGCAAGCGTAGGTTCAAGACCAAGTTGCGCCATTCTTCTACCCTGACTGGTCAAATCTCCCGTTTTCGAATCGAGTGCATTTAACCATGTTAAACAATTGATGGTCTCTGCTAAACTGATACTCGAAGGTGCTTCTAACCAGTCAAACTTACAGACATCGTCAACGATTTTCAGGTGTTTCAATTTCAGCACAGCTATACTCGGTTGTATACAAAGAACTTCTGCTCGAGAACAAACATCCAACGACTGATACGTATCATAAGTATACAAGTGATAACACTAGAGAAAATACGAATAGAGCATGTTATCATGCTTACGACTTTACCTTTCCGGCTGATGTTCGCCCGGCACGTCCACGACGTTGTTTGACTGAGCTTTGTGTGGTATATCCAACCTTGAGTACACGCATACGTCGTTTCGAATCCCACATGGCCTCTTTGACCATGCCAGAGTCAATCACATATCGAATTCCTTCGATAGTTACCGATGTTTCAGCCACATTGGTTGAAAAAATAATTTTTCGTTGTTGCTTATTATTTGTTGGCATGAAAGCGGCTCTCGTTTCATCTTCATTCAATTTACCGTGTAAGGGCAAGACAATCGCTGACTCAGGTGCATCGATACTTCTTGTTACTTCATCAATAGCACGGTCGATTTCATCCTGGCCAGTGAGAAACACAAGAATATCTCCCGCAGGTTGACTACGGTGAATTTCGAGAACTTTATTAATGGCTTCGTCAACATGATTTTCAGCATCTTCCATCGCATAAATATCTTCGATGGGAAACATTCGTCCTGGAATTTCGATCATGGGTTCGCCATCAAAATAATTAATCAGTAGCTTCTCATCGAGCGTTGCTGACATAATAATTAACTAAACATTCATTTTATCTTAAGTCAGCATTTTCCATTTGCGTGTAGAACTTACCTTTATGTTAAAGCGTCTCTGAATACACAACTTCATAGCACCAAAGAGTAAATCAGTATCCACTCGTCTTTCATGAGCTTCATCGATAATAACTATAGAATAGGCACTCAGTGTAGGATCTGTCTGATATTCATTCAATAGAACGGAATCAGTTACGAAACGCATCTTTGTTCGATTGGAAATCTGTGGTTGCGAAGAACCAACTTGACACCCAACCTACATGTGAAATATGATCAATTAATTTCAACTCTTCGTTTTTCAGAACTTTACTTCTTCACCAAGTTGACATCCGAATTCTTTCGCAACTCGAGTAGCTAATTCACGTGCAGCTAGCCGTCGTGGTTGTGTACAAACAATTTGTTCTATAAATAATTAAAATACGCACTTATAACGAGCAAAACTATCAACATAAAATATCTACTAACTTTGACCGGTAAGACCGGCATCAACAAGATACTGAATTAATTGACTACTTTTACCGGAACCTGTATCACCCTTGACGATTATCACACGTTTGCTATATGAATTACTGATAGCGCCGACTAACTGATCACGCCGTGCATAAATTGGTAAACGAGCTTTTAGACGTTGGATTTCTCGTTTCAGTCGACTGACTAGTTGCTGATGATGTTCCACTGTCGTTGGATTGCATTCTGATAATGTCGTAATACCACGTACAAATGTATCTAGTTGATCTTTCAATTCTTGGACAATTGTTTGTTTGGAAATTTTCACATCATCATCTTCTTCTTGCAATGCAAGCTGTTCACGAATAAGAGCTTCGTGTGCCCCAAACAGTTCAGGTACTTTTTCCTATAAAGTAACAATGTGAACAGTTGTATGTTTATCATTAGAGGGGAAAATCCTACGTACATGAAAGAGAACTTTAAGTTCCTCGGACAGATTTTTTAAAACAGAGTTACGAACTGTTCCAATTTGTCTATTGAGATTTTCAATTGTGAATCGTGATTTTGAAGATACTAATTTACAATTTGTCGATACATCTGGAAACGACTGATGTTGATTAAATGTAAGACAACTAAGATTTCGATTGACGTCGGCATATGTTGACATCTGTCGTCGTGTCGTTGTAGAATTGTAAAAATCTTCATTGGTATGATAGGGTTCATCGAATGGTGTATACTCGTCAGCTTGATCTGCAGAATCGGACTGATCTTCGTCTAGTGAATTAATTTCCCACTGTTGATCATCATTGAAACAGTACGAGTCTTGTCGATTGTCTTGATAATCATTCGCATACTTCCAGTAGGAATCAGTTCGTCGTTTGTTTCTTGGCTGATATTTGTGTTCGTATTGTTTAGACATGGCTGACATCAGCGAAAAGTCGATAGCTAAATGAGAAAGATGTGTTCGATTGCTTTGAAATTCATTAGAAAGTAAGTAGGAAACTATAATATAGCGAAGTTGTGACAGAACATGATTCATCAGAAAAAACCCCACTGTGAGAATTGTTGTCTTCCAGATTTTACCTTTTTGAAAAAGGCTTCGTGAGAACCAGTAACACAGCTGTCGACACTTGTCTCATCTGTTTTAAGTTTGTTTTCAATATAATCAAGAGGGTTAAGTCGGATTTTCTAACTAAACGGTTATTTTATTTTTGAATTATGATACTGAACGTGTACAGTGAAAAAGAACGTAATCAAATTCAAAGGTTTATATTGTTTAAATCTATTGTTTTCAAATGAATGATCCACACGTGTTCTGTATCCGCAAGCTCACGTATATTACCCACTTGAAAGACACTGCCCATACCAAAGAGAGTTTCAGCTTCGTCTGGAAACGTTGAAAACTTTGATATGTCAGCATATGGACGCGTTTTTGCTCTGGAATCCGTTTGTATACTAAACACCACTGGAACTAAGTTCGAAGACTCATGAAATTTACTACTAAACATCAATGCAACTTGCATCGATGTCGTTGTTGATAAGAATGTATTGACTGAAATGATATTTCCTCGAAGTTTTTGGAAACTCTCAAATTCTCGAAGAGACATTAGCTGACCCCGATAGTACACATTTGCTAATGGTTCGTTGAATGCGCGGAGCCAAGATCTATGTTGATGTGAGTGATCTAAATGGTCACATATGTCAGAAAGAATATATCGTAGTTTAAACATAGCGTCCACGTTGCTCTCTCGAAGTGTTCGATTGATTGTTCTGGAAACAAATGAATCTCGTGTGTACCACCGAACGGCTGCACTACTATAGTATTCATTTCGAAAACATTCGATTTCCGCAAGTATAGTTTCATTATGAGAATACAGACGTTGAAATTCAGCAATCATTTCCAATTTAGACTCGTTTGTATGAGGCATACAAAGAATAGTGTCTATTGTACGTTGATGACCAAGAAACACGTGTTTTTGTTCTTCATTGTAAACACTGATTGGTAATGGTAATAATGATTCTGTATCATCCATACTTTGTGGTATCTAGAATAGAGATTATGTATCGAAATTTGATATGAAAATCATGTCGGAACTTGATCTCACTGTTATGTGATTAGCCATCTTCGATGGGTTGTACCATTTAGAATCAAATGCACCTGATGATTGCTTAAATGGATTAAGATCCATTTGTATTTTCTCGAGCAGTTGGTTCTGATCATTGAACACCCCTTGAATTGCCGAGTTATCCTCAGTCCATTCAAAATTTGGACTGAGATGAGCACAATAAACATACGTCGCAAACAATTGTTTGGTTAGACATACATTTGTTAGAAATAGTTCGTTGCCCAAAGATCCTGAAACGACTAGAAAAATGTATCGTTGTTCGCGTAATTGTGTTTCAATGAATGCTAAGCAAGTGGGTATCTTAGTGAAGAATGTCCACTGAAACGGTTTGATCAATCGGTCAAATTCAGCAGGTGATTCGGTTAACATTTCGTCGAGCCAAATGAATGAAATTGACTTATTTTTCGAATTCTCCAATTCTGCGTAGTTAAACGAAGACAGATCTTGGAAACGGCCTTTGCTTCGAAGTACATAGGCCATCTCCTTCCGTTTACTAGTTTTTCTATTTTGCTCTTCACGATCTAATTTGGGCTATGAAAAAAATGATTATAGAGATTGCATGGAACAGATAGCGTTTTCTTTTGTCTTACTTCACGCTGAAGACTTTCTGTCGAGATGCAGATTTCATACCAGTCAAATATTTCTGCACTAACTTCGATTTGACGGTCAGCGAATGTGATGAAAGCTCGACGAAGTGCCGAATGAAATCGAGGATTTTCATGTAATCGACTAAAATCAGTGGGCGCAACTCGTGATACTTTCCATTCTTTCGTACATGTAAATGCGAAATTCCATTTGATATCATCTTGAACTCGCTCATTTTCTAGAAATGCACACCAGTTATCTTCATCCTGCATAACATCCGTTTCAGTCGAAATCATTAATTTACTCCATTCACTCTGTATAGATGATTCGTTCCCGTAGAGATAAAACCGAATAGGTGATAGATTCTTAATGCGTTGACACATATTATTTGGATGTTCATTAGAAAATAGAAGATTTTCATGCGGCAAAAGTGATATATGCTTGCCAGTGTGCGGTATATAATCGTTCAATTGACGAATAATTACTGAAGTGCATCCCATGCTATTACCTAGAATAGAACATCCCTATTTTGATGGTACTCTTGAAAGTACTTACAAATTTTCTGCAATCTCTGCTGGGCACTATCAAGATTTGCTTGACTACTATTCAGCGGAATCAACAGAATATGACAAGGTTCAGCCTAAAAGATAAATTTATGGTCCAAGATTAATCATGTACTAGTTAGCTTACATCTAGTTACCTTAAATAATGACATGACCCATTCTTTTAATGTTCGTGCTTGTTGATAATAAACTTTTGCTAGAGGTATTCTTTCCAATCGTATCTGTTTTTCACCTTCAGAAGTCAAAAATCGAACGATATCATTTGTTAAATCTAATGTAAATTGTCGTAGTAAGCGATCTTGAGTTTTCTCATAAACGGTTACTACTCGATGATTGTCTTTGACTCGTCTCATAAGATTTTCATTGAGAGGATCAAACAAAGCGATAAAATATCGTTGTAGACATGGTTCATCGAGTTTCGGATTTGTCCTAATCAGCTGCTCGAGTGCTGCCTCATCGAATATAAACAATAATTGCACGGGCACTCGCAAACTGATCGTTGAAATTGTTCGCGGAGAACCAAAGATTACTACAGTCGGTTCGAAATATGCCATCTGTAACGTAAAATCACGCGTGTACAAGGAAACGATATAAAGAAAGAAAGAAAGAAAGAAAGAAAGAAAGATATTTTTTATGTTGGAAGAAACCAACGTGGTTTGATTTAATCATAACTGTTATTTTTATCAACGCGTTTTTAAAGACTTTAATTCTGAAGAAACTCTGCTGAAATGGAAACACATTTTTACCAGTCAAGATTTAGATAGTAATGATTCAAACTAAAAAGTAAGATTCAGATCGAATCTGAGATTTCTTCTTCCTAATAAGTACCTTGTATTTACCAAACAGAACGAAACAAACCTTGTCTTGATTTACTTTATGTTGGAAAAAACAATATACTCTCGCCATACTTCTTTTTTTGATTAGTAAAATGTCCGTCGAACAAGATTCGTCGTTTTTTCGTTTACCTCCAGAAGTCGTTTTTTATATTTTTCGTCATCTCGATGCACAAACTATTGTCCGTTCAGTTCGTCTTGTCTGCAAGCAATTTTCTACATTTGTGAATACGTACGATCAATTCAATCTTCACCTCAATTCAATATCAAAGCCAGAGTTTCATTATCTCTGTAATTTAATTCGACCAAATCAAGTCAAATCTTTGACATTATCGAATGATGCTGAAACGCCCGGTCAAATTGAATATTTTCTTTCATGCTTTCGTTTAAAACAATACACACAATTGCGTTCACTTACTCTTCTGGAAATTGACCAATGTTACTTACATGTCATTTTAAAAGACGTTCTAAATATGCGACTCGAGAAATTAATCATTATTTCAAAAGAAGATTTATCTACCGATGATGCAATTGCAAATGATTTATCTATGGTCACATCCTTACCCACTCTTTGGAAATTTTGTTTAGATGTGATGACTCTTGATGCGTCTCGAATAACATTGTCTCCTTTGTCAATGATACAACATCTGGAAATTCATTGTCAAAGTGTTAGTGCATACTGTGAAATACTCCATCGTTTACCTCACTTACAAATACTAGTGGTTGAACAACTGCTAGCAATTAACTCAATTAATTCAATACCTGATTTAAAACCTGCTTGCCAATTGTCTTCATTGACATTTAAATATAGTAGTATAAATATGAATACACTTCAAGCTCTTCTTTTGTTAACTCCGACGCTAAATCATCTTTATTTATTGCGTTGTGTTAATTTACACGATTTTATACTACATATATCCGAGTGGCAATTGCTAGTGGAAAGTACTCTATCTCTTCTGATCAAATTCGAGTTTTTTCTCGTGGAAACAGGACAATTATTTTTTCCAAGCGTGGAGCACGTGATTGCACCGTTTCAAACACCTTTCTGGACAGAAGTCAAACGTTGGTATGCTATATGTGACTATACAACGCACCCACTATCTCTAATAGTTCATTCACCCTCTGCACACGATCCTAAATTTGAATACATCTTCTATTCGAAGCACATTTCTCGTTCAACTTCAACGCCAATCATCAGCAATGTACCCATTATGAACCACATACGCATCTTGCGTTTGGATTTATCCACAGGAATACCAGCCGGTCTACCATATACGTCAGTCTTTCCAAATATAGAATGGCTCATATTACAATTGCCCGATATTTGGCCGCCAGGTTCGCTTCGGTCCCTCTCCACTCTGATCAACCTACCAAGTGTAACTAAATTAACATTAGAAATGACTGGCTCATCAGAACATCCTCTCAAGATGCTCCACTATGATGTCGCTTTACTTCTGAAACTAGCGCATAATGTTCGTTGTTTATATTTGTTGGGTACTGGAAATAGTAGATGCCTATCTAATTATGATTTAGACGTATGTTCAGAAATCCCCGAAAACGTAAAACATTTGACTGTCTCAATATCCATGGCATACCAAATGAATTTAGTGGTTGAAAAACTAAAATACAGATCAAGTATCAATTTTTTGTGCACACAAAGCTACCATCCTGTTGAGGAAATATATTTAAAGTGGTTTAAAGATGACAACGGATCCTATAGCTATCGTTTAACTGGCACATCATTATCCGTGTGGTTTGACAAAATGAAACCCACTACAAAGCATTCAGTTTATTAACAGTATACTGATAAGAAATATGAAGATAAAGATTACGAACGCTTTGGGTCATTCGCATTCGTATCAATATAGAAATATCATTTAACATAAGAAAAATACTAAAACTAACTACTTTGAATTTTGATGATATCGAAATAAAAAGTCATTCTTTTTCAACAGCAAAATCTATATTCGACGATTATAGTAACCTTCACTAGCTTTTAGACTCGATAAAAAATCAAAGGGATACAAGTATTATTTTAAGCACTAGCGATTCTCTTCTTATAGTACTGTGCAGTACAGAAGGAAGGAAAATGCCGTTATGAAATGATGTATCGACAATAACAAAAGAGAACTACATAAACTTATATGCTTCATCTTTCCTGATTAAAACAGTGAAAATGCGATCCGCATTATCAAACAGCTCCGTTTTCAATGCAATTCATTTTCTTTGAATCAATATTGATATTTAGATGGTCGAGTGAAAACATCTCGATTTCTTTTGTCTAGATATTTCTGAATGAAAACAAATGACATAAGTAAATAAGAAATCGTTTTGATCAAATTACTACTCATGCAAAATCAGTGCGTATTTCGAAAATCACAATGTGACCTGTTACATGCTATGCGAGAAGAAAAACAATCAAATAAAAAATAATATACCTTGATATTCGAAAATTGAGAGAATTTTTCTGAGTGCGATAGATATTCGGTCTTTTGTCAATATTAGTATCTGGCCTTTCATCATATAAAGTTCGTGAAGTTGCTCTATGACAGCTTTATTTTATCTTTCTGTTGAATAATTGTTAGAATGCATTACGAGCTAATACTGTTCATCTGTATCATTGCTGTCACTTCGGGTGCTATTCACACCGTATATGAATTTCAATGCAGTTGTTCATGCTGTACAAGCGATCGTTGTTCATTGATATCTCCAAAGAATTATACAACTTCGACATGCGAAACGTGCCAATCAATATGTGAGACGGAGTTTGCATCGATTTGCATGAAAGGAGCCGAACGAGTTTCTTATCAATGTACGAGTGATGTACCAATATCACGAGCAGCTAATCCACAAATGTGGTTTGGTTCATTCCGTGCAACGGACGATTGTGATAAAACCGATTGTTGCTGTCTAACGGATGTCATCTATTTCAACCCTGGACGATATAATAATCTTCACATCCAAGGTAGATTTACCGGTCAATGCTCAAGCTCATCACCCACTTTAGATACGACACAACCGATACCGAATACCAATTCGCTTGACCTGCGATTTCAAAATCAACCCATCAGTGTTACCTTAAGTGGAGATGGTGGAACAGTTACATTCATAGAAACAGACAACATGGCTTGTCGTTACAAAGCAATACGAGAAGCAAATAGTGCGTCTTCTAATACAATCAATTGGATATCAGTTCTATTTCTTACCAGTCTGATCAATATCAGAAATTGTCTCTAAAACTGATTAAATGTTCTTTTTTGCTTGTTGGAACGCTTCTTATTCACGGATGTATATTTCATTAATAAACACAAATTGATGATTTAAGTTTTGAAACAGTTTATTCTTAGAAAAAAAGCGATCGAAAGACCAATTAATTCATGAGAAACTTATGCGAACTTGCCATATCTAAAGCTAATGCTTTCATACGTAAGACATTAATCTTGTCGTCATAGGCCCATTGAACGGACGGAGTCAATTGTTGTCCGTTCCATGTAATACTGGTCGGCCGCATGCTCATACCATAGATTTTAATTTCATCTAATTTAACTTCTCTATCCATTTGAGGATAATCAAATGTCCACGGTTCGAGAAGTAAACGCTGTGAATTGCATGTAAAGATGAAATGGTTAAACTGTGATCTTTCAAACGTATCGATTGATTCACCATCATCCCAAAATAGATCACCTTGCGCTTTGCCACGTTTGTCTAGTGCAATAACTAGAAAGAATGATTTCTTTCGTGACAGAACTGTGTTCAGAGCACTTTGCTGATGAGGAATAATAACACCACCACGTATGAACAATGGTAGATAGTCCATTCGTGCTGTGACAGTGATATGACCAAATGTAGTGTACTCTGCACCAGTATAATAATCAAACCATCGTTCGGTGGCTGGTAGATAGACATCTTTATGTTCGTGTCCTTCTTTGATAACTGGTGCGATCAAGAGATGTGAACCCCATAAGAATTGTTCATCCAATGACCAACATTCTGGTATAGTTGGAAACTCATGTGCCATAGAACGAACAACTGTGCCTCCACTGCGATGAACTCGATAAAATAATGTGTATAGATATGGATTAAGAGTATAACGTGTTTCAACAACTCGACGGTTCGAATCGACAACAGCAGGTCGGAAGTTGCCAGGATCATGATCAGGATAATTCAAGCCGTTGTGATTGCGGAAGAATGGATTGAAAGCACCCAGTTGCATCCATCGTTGACACATCTGTTCTGTTGTAGTACCTTCAAAGCCGCAAATATCCGCGCCAACATAAGGGATACCGAACAAATTGAATTCTAATATTCCAATGATATTGTATTTGAGATGTGCCCAATTTGCTGAATTGTCACCTAACCAATGACCACTCATGGCACCCGATGTTGGAAACGTTGAACGACTGATAACGATTGAACGTTTATTTTCTAATGCACGCGCCGCTGGTAACGAAGCGACTGTTTCTGACCACCCATACAGATTATGTACATCATAATGTCTATATGTTTTGCCGTTTCCATCGGTTTGTTCACCAATCATGCACATAGTTTTGTCGGAGAGATACTCTCCGAGAATGGCTGTTTTATATTTTGGCGTTTCCAATGACTCGTCTTTTGGACAATGTAAATTCCAATCTTCAGGACGATTATAGTTGAATGGTCTTGGCTTATTTGTATCAAAATTAGCTGGCTCACTATAATAGTGATATATGAAAGCATGGTCAGGGATTACTTCAGCATACAAAAAAAATCTTACTTCATATCAATCCAGAGGCCATCAAATTTCAATTTCGAATGATACTGAGCAATTTCCGATTGCCACCACTCTTGTGCTGGTGGATAAAAGAAATCGGGAAATACTGTTTTACCTAAACGACGCAATAACATTGTAGTATGTCGAACCGACAAGTAGGCTCCTTTCGGAGCGAAATAACTAACCATCTGGCCATACATAACCGAGCATATTGCGATTACCAGTTTCACTAAACTGGACGTTTCGTCGTGCAGGCCATTTAATCCAAATATCCTTATCTTGCCCGCGAGTGTAGACATCGTAATTTTTTGCTTCCGAATCAATGGCAGGATCCAAAATCGTTATGAATTTCATTCCGTTTTCATGTAACCAATCGACATACTCGGGTAAACCTTTGAAATTATTTGGATCCCAGGTGAAATCAAGACGTTTATCGAAATAATCAATGTCACCATACCTAACAAACACGAGCGGAAAATAGGTGCGAAGATTTTCTTTCTACTTACATAACATCCAGAGGGATACTTCCATTGAGGGTTCGCATCATTGCTGCTTTCATATTATTCAATGTATTGTAACCATATCGGCATAACTGAAATCCGAGTGCCCAATATGGTGGTATGATAGGTCGGCCGATCAAAGTTTGATACTGTTTAATAACTTCTTCGGGAGTAGGTCCTGCAAAGAAGAACATGTCTAATATACCACCAATGGTTCGATAGGTAAGCATCGCTTGATTTTCTACAAATTCATCAAATTTGTAATCTTGAGCATTAGAATTGAAGATAAGAACACCGAATGCTTGACCATCTTCTTCTATGCCCATATAGAATGGATGTGTACCATACAAATTTTCGTTTCCTCCGAACGGTTGTTGATCTCTGGCGAATATACCGTAACGATCTGAATTTTTCAAAATATGTCGAAAACTTTTGTGAGTATTTTCACCAAAACCTTTGAATGGACAAAATCACTGATTGTGAATCTGTTTTTTTTTAGTTTTCTACTGTACCATAAACATTTCGCGATGGAGTTGTTGTTATAAACTGAAGATATTGATCGTCATAGATAAAGCCTTCGGCAAAGAAGGATGTGTCGAAAATAATTGAACCGGTATTGTTACGTCGAATGCGAAAACCAACTTGTCCTGAACGTGTTTGAGTTAATTCAAAATGAAATTGAACCGGCGAAGATTCACTTGGACCATAGGAATTCCAGTGGATAGGTACAGGAACTTCATATCGTTCGGCATTGGCATCTCTGATTGTTAAACGTATTTTATCACCACCTGAAACGTTGATTTGAACGTCTAATTGATTAATGTCATTGCCATATAGAGAAGTGCCTGTTGATGAACGTCGAGACAATGAATATTGTGTAACTGAATCAGACAGTTGTGTTGGGCCTTGTGTCAGTTCATAGCCACCTTTTTCCTTTGGTATATAGCATGCAACAATGCCTGGCCCTTTACTTAAATCCCAATTACAACCACGTGCACGACAAGCATTTTCATTTGCATCTAAATGGTTAAATTCCAGTCATATGAGTCATATTCGATGTGATATTCTCTTACTAGGATCAGGAAAGCAATCTACGCGATATTTTGGATCATCAGTAACCGCAGAAGGTGGTTGCACGATTGGATTTTCCGAAGTCTTCCAGCTTAATGTATAATTTGTACCCATAGCCAATCTTAATCCTTTGACTTCAATAATCTCTGTATTGGTTCGTTTACTCGGTTGAAATGTTCTATTATCAACAGTGATAGTATCGGGAACTTCATCGAGACCATAGATGGTCAGCGAGTCTAAAATTAACTGTGACATTTCAGGATAGTTATTTTTAATGACGTTGATGATCAATTGACCATTGGTAGACGACCATGTAAAATTTGCATAGAAATAGGAGTTCGTCTTAATGGTATCTATAGATTCGCCATCATCATAGAAAAGATCACCAACAGCATCACCAGTCGAATTGAGCACAACAGTTAAACCAAATGGTAACTTTCTAAAAATATAAACATTTCAGCAATTATATGGAAGGCTGAATCAGAATTTATAAGTTTACCTTGACAATTTAGTATTATTAGCGAATTCCTGTGTTGGTATGATAGCACCACCTCGAAGTAAGATTGGTATGGTTTCTAAAGGTGCTGCAATTGCGAATGTTTTCTTTTGAGCAGAAATTTTGACACCAGTGTAATAATTATACCAATGCGTTGAAGGAATATAAGGGTGAACAATCTGTGCGCCTTCATCGGTGACCGGTACAATCATCATATGTGAGCCGATTAAAAACTGTGAAGAAATATCAAAAGTTGCCTTATCTGTCGGATACTCATGAAACAATGGACGAATGACCGTGGAACCTTGAGTATGTGCTTTATAGAAAAGTGTATAATAATACGGAAGAAGAGTATATCGGATGCGTAGAGCCGAAGTCATAACATTGACAGCATATGACGACCATGATGCTGGATCTTGATCCGGACCTTTCCAAGCATTGTGCTAAATTGAATATCAGTTTTAGACGAAAACGAAAGGAATGTCATCGAAGAACGTACATTTCGAGAGAATGGGTAAAATGCACCAACTTGCATCCAACTAAAAGAGATCAGAACGAGATGATTTGTTGGAAAATCGTTTCAAATAGCTTCATTTTTGTTTTACCGAATACACATTTCTTCGGTGGGTCTTCCATCAAAACCGCAAATATCAGCACCATTGAATGGTATACCAAACCAATTGAATTCAATCATACCAATGATTGATTGTTTCATCTGAGTCCATGTTGCACCATTATCTCCAAGCCAATGGCCACTCCATTGACCAGAACCGACAAACGTAGATCGCGGCAAGACTAAACTTCGTTTGCCTGTCGCTTTTTGCATAGCATCCAGTGATGGTTTTGTTTGACTCCATCCGTAAAGACTAAACGCAAATCTCATTTCTCAAGCATGAACAGATTATCTAACCATATACTTATGCACATCATAATGACGGTACTTGGGTTTGCCAGTTCTACTATCGATTTCGCCTTGTGGTGCCGACATGCAAAGTGTACGATCTGATAAACGACTTTGACGATTCATACCAGCATCGTAACCAAATACAGCTTTTGTACGATACGGAGGATCTTCCAATAGATTCTTTGGGCATTTTAGTGTATGATTACTGAGAGTGTCCGCTGAATTCCACGGTTTTTCATCGTTCGTATCGAATAGCGCTATACAGTAAAATATCGACATATTTTTAATGGTCAAAACAACGTTCTATTTATACCTGGTTCATTCATATCAATCCAAAGACCGTCAAAAGTTAAATTAACCCGATAAAAATCATTGATCCATCGTGACCACCAATTCTGTGCTCGTTGCGTAAAGAAATCTATTTCAAAGCAGATCCATTTGTTTTATACCTATGTAAAATATCACATGCTTACCTGGAAAGAAGACTTCACCGGGCCAACAAGCGCCTTTCATGAGTCCTTGTCCATCATCCCATTTGATAAAAACATCTTCACGAATACCTTCAATCGTGGGTTGATAATAGACTTGATCATCAATGGTTCCTGGATCCAAAATAACGATGGTTCGTATGCCATCATCGTTTAATTGTTTAAAATATTCTTTCAATCCTGGATAATTGATAGGATCAATCGTGAAATCTTTCTCAGCATCCATATAATCAATATCAGCATATTGAACATCAAGTGGAATACCGGCATCTAAATTTCGTTGGACGACATGTTTCATGTGGGTGATATTTCCATAATCCCAACGAGCTAATTGAAAGCCAAGTGACCAGTATGGTGGTAGGATGGATCGACCAATTAGCCATGTATACTGTTGAACGACCTGCTCTGGTTTAGGGCCAAGAAAAACAAAAAAGTCCAGGACACCACCGATGGTACGCATAGTTAATGACGGTGTTGGTTCAAAGGAATAATCCATAGCATTCGAGTTAAGCAGAAGAACACCATGCATGTTACCTGTAGGACTAGTTGATGCATCCGAATCTTGTTCCATGACGAGATAAAATGGATGCGAACCATAGTGGTTCGTATTTGTACTCCAATGTGTTCCTAAAGAAAACAGTTATTCAAAATTGAACAACGTTATTCACTTCTCCTTTGACAAACCTTGGTCACGGCCGAAGATTCCCCATGTTCTTCTTTCGTTCACATCGTGTTTGAGTGTTTCGTGATTATTTTCTCCTAAACCATAAACATGGGGTGATTGAAGTCGTGTAACAATTTGTAGAAATTGATCATTCAGTACAAGTCCACCTAACGATGTATCAAACAATGTGGCTTGATTAGCTCGACGTTTGATTGCAAACGAGAAAAGTCGATTGTTTGCTGGAAGTGATCCATTGATAAATTCATATTGAGGCAATGAAATATAATCCGACGGCGAATTCAATTGAATAGGTACCTATAACAAAACAAAAACAAATGGTTTGATATTCTTATTTCGTCAGCGATAATTATTTTACTTCATAACGTTCGTTATCTTCATCATATAGTTTAAATCGAAGGATATCATCCGTATAATATTGTACATCAAGGACAACATTTCTTATTGGACTTGAAAACATACTACCAACGGCTTCATTACGTTGTAGCCGGAATTGCATACCCTTAGCTGTTACACGAGGACTTTCTCGCAAGATATAACCATAATTGGGTGATAAATAGCATTGCTTGACTCCGGGTGGTGTCCAATCATCGTATAGACAATTTCGTGCTAAACATGCTTTTTTCGAGTAACCGGAATAGGGAGAGGCAGCATCAGGAAAACAATCAATACGTTGGGTCGGTTCGACCGAACGCGAATGAATTGAGATGCTAAGTGCGAAGTGAAAAAACGTAGAGAATAAAAGGAAAGCACGCATCCCACTTCGAATTGCAAAAATGGGAAACTGATCATTCGATACGAATCTTGACGAAGAATATATCAACACGTTGAGAGATTTGCATCTTAAGCCTTTTGTTTTTAATCAATTTTTATTTTTGGATCTCATCAAAACAGTATCAATACAGATTAAATATTTCTCTGAGACGAAAAAAAGCAATCAGTTAAGAATGATAAATGCGCAAAACAATCCGTTTGAATTCAGAGCGAAAGGTTTTCGAGACGATGATATTCATATAGCATCCAATACTGTTTTCAATGTAATATACAAAAAATATTATCTGAAGAGTTAATAGTTCAACTAACCCTTGCTCTGTAGTTTTATCGTCATAATTTGTTATTTGTAAATAGATGAAGAGAAGAGTTAATGGACTTTTGCAGATGACATACACAAGAATCTCGACGAATAACATTCGTATGAGTTGATGATCTTTCGATTGAAGACTATATGATTTTCCAATTGTTATTGTACCAGTGTTCGACGATATTCGTGACAAACGTTGCATACGACGTAAACGGTGAATATTTCTCACCGTCCAACAACTGAAAATCGTCATTAGAATAGGTGGCAGTACTCCATTGATGATAACGACATAACAAGTAATGAATATAATGTATATTCCTTGTTGACATGTGCAAACAAAAGAATCCGGTTCAATTTGATGAATTTCCGTGAAAAGTAGTGCGTGAGTATGAGCTAGAGACCAAAACAGACACATGGCAATGCTGATTGTAATCATCATACGACGTGCAGCCAGTTTTCGAATTCGAATATTTGGTGAAGTGATTAATGTTCGATCAATCGTTGCTAAAACAAGCAATGATGACTGGCAGCACGAAATGACGAAGCCAACATAGAAGCGAAGTCGACAAAATACGATGCTTTTAGCACTTGGATCAATACCGTATCCCGATGAGAGCGATGTGAACAAAAGACCCATATAAAGATAAATAACATGGATAATATTAACAGCGATAAAGTAGATGGTGCAATTGTTTTTTCGCAAGGCACCTTTCGTGAATATCAATAAATTCAATAAGCAACTGATACTGCCGATTGCGATTAACAGAGGTCCGCCGAATCGATATAGTATTTTTTGAGTGGAACTCAGAACTAGTGAAGCAGACATTAGACAACAGATAAGAATGAAAGAGAAATCGGACAGCTTCGTCAAGATTATATACTACTCAAATTAAGTTTTAATTAGAAAATTGAGGAAGTTATCAAGTAAACCACTACTTAAAAATTGATATTGTGTGCCGGTTGTTGAAAAGTGGATTAAAGATATATAAACTATATATAGCTCATTTTATCCGAAGATCAGTTGTTCATTTCACTTCTTATCTCGGTGCAAAAGCTAGAGCGAAGGATAATAATGTTTCTGTTTGATTGTATGTGCAAAGCAAGTTCTTAAACACTATTATCTTGTTCGGGCTGAGACACGATTTATGGTGCGTTGACATACACAAATCATTGAACAACAGGCCGACGTCGTTTCGCTCGTTTCCCTTGTCGAAGTCATCGTAATTCTTCACACATTGGATCAATGCCAAAACCATACTTTAAGATATCCATAATAATTACAAATGCAGCCACAACAGTCATCACAATGATAGCAATGTAGGACACAGATTTTCCAATAATTCGATAAATCATGAATTTCGTCGTTGTATATTCACAATATTGGCCATAATAACTAGCAAGGCAAATACATGTGTAATTAGGATGTGTTGATCGACAAACAGCTCTGTTATAACATTAGGCATTGTCACAGTAGTTTACTCGATGTTCTCAATGTAAGCCCGGTCAATCCGGTCCGCACACACATTTATATCCCTCGTCGCAATAACCTATATGAGAGAAATATTTCAATGGCAATCCAATAAAGAGAAGTGAAGAGCACAATATTTTGCTCTTACCATTGAGATAAGATTTTTGTGTGCAGATTCGATGATCATGCTGACATTGTTTGCCATTGAATAACTCAGATGAGCATGAACAAATGTAATCGTCATCGTTTATGTAAATGCAATAATCACTTTGACGACGACATGGAGTGTTCACGTAACTACAATTGATGCCAATGCTCATTGAATTGTTGCATACTTTTGGCGGGACAAAAAAACGGTGGTGTTGACGGTACTGAAGAAAATTAACAGATATAGCAGAAGAAGTGATACCAGTGCGATTTCTTTTATTAGAGTACAATTATGAGGTGCTTACTTGGAGTTACAAATACCGATGACCGATGAATCAAAGATGCTAAAGTTTTTGGTAGTTGCGCTCGTTTTCTGTTCAATTTCTTGTCAGATTTACTTTCTTGTGAAGCTGACATTGAACCAGTCGTCGTTGATGTCTCTATTGGATTAAAAAATATATTGCAGGGTTTTTAACTTTCATAATACATAACTCCCAAGTGTTCAAGGAGAAAAATTATTTCCTTTGAGATTATATGTCATAACATAGTAAGATGACTCACCTGAATTATTGAGAATTTGAAAATTTTGCTTTCTGTGATTTTCGTAGTCAACAACGTAGAGCAAACCATATTTGTCGAATGTTAATGAATGAGGCCCGCTTAATTGATTTGAAGCATTCCCGCGAGATTTCGTGCAACCAACAACACACTTACTAGCCGTTGAATTAGGCGTCCATCGAGTGATTTGTGTACTCTCGCTTTCGCTTATGTACATAAATCCATTTTCATCAACAACTATATCTGTAGATGACATCAAGCATGGTTCGTTCCTACCAAGATCACAGTTTCCAGCCACACAAATACAAACAGAGGCGTTAGACAACCATTTCATAATCCGATGGTTGTATCGACCAACAACAATAAATAGTTTCATCAATAGTAGCAAATATTTCATATGGAACCCTGAGTTGAGCTGCGCTCGATCCATTCGTTCCATTGCCAGCAACTACACTGATATTTGTTGAGTTGAAACAAATACGAAACACTTGGTGTTTTCTTCTGTCGCTGAAATATATATCACCATTTTCATGAAGATGTATGTAAAATGGTGATTCTGGTGTCGTTTGTATGGTTGTTTCCTTTGGGTTTTGTTGGCTCAGTGGTGTAAAGTGTATCGTTGAAAACGAAAAGATCGCGCAGGTCATGAAATCTACGCGGAATAATATTAGTATCGACTGTATTAGAGCTCAAATGATCAGCGATCACAGTATTATTTGCTGTCTCAGCGACGTAAAGAACATCGCCACTAGAAATCGATATTCCCACTGGTTGATAGAGAGGCAAATCCGTTGTCTGAAGCACTGTGGTGCTATTCTCGTGCCAAGTAACTTGAGGTGATAATTTCACAGTTGCTTAAAGAAATAAAAATAAATAATAATCAGATGCCATTAGATATCTCGTTTGACTCGACCTAAATGAGAAGAACAATTGTAGGTCGCCGTTAATTTTACTATGATGTTTTGAAAAAAATATCCAGTTTTATAGCAGTAGTTTCTCCGAACTATGTGCTCAATACACAATAGTCTTCCATTGATGATGTACAAACCCCTTGGAAAGTTTGAAAAATATGTGATAGTGTCTAATCATGACATATTATTAAAGTACGTTTCACAAAACTAACACAGACACATAAAATATATGATCCGATTTCAAGCATATTAATCGTCTGTAAGTATCGCTATTGGCTATGAACGTGTATAAACATACGGACATTTGAATACTGAGAAAGAACATAAGAAATCGTTCATTCTACGTCGAATTGACATGATTCGGCCTTTTTCTTCATAGAATACGAATATGTCGTGCATAACATATATGCACAATACTCAAACTAAAAAACGAGAACAAAATTGTAAGTAACGAAAAATAATCTATCCACCGACTCACATATTCGAATATAACATAGGTAATAGTTAAATAATCTGCTGATACACCTGTATATTTTGGTGCAGAAATGAACAAGTATAACATCCATCTAATTGCAATAAAATCACGTACAACCCTTCTGTTTTGTTGATATACAAAATTTGGGGAATGCTGATGCACATAGCGTATCACGTATATACAGATTATAGCTGTAACCGAATCAGGATGGAATCAGTTTAGCATTGTCCATGCTATCGCTGCATACCAATTTGCTAGAGAAACCTGACAATGGTAATCTTCCTAATGATATTTACCAGTAAGAAGAAATGGCAATGGGATACAGTGTACTCAGACAGAGTTGGATAATTATAAGAAGAATATAAAAGCGGATCTATTGGTGAAAATAGGATGACTGTAGTGGTCAATTCGACAAAAACGGTAAAGAGTTTGGAATGTATCGGAATAAAGCGAATAATAATAATAAACAAATTCTGAATTAACACCAGAATATCTCGTGATCATCTCCGATTATGTTCAGATTCAGATGATCTTTAATTATTGATATATAAAGTAAACAGGTAGAAATGAACGTAATCAAACTAAGTAAGAACAAAACCTACTCCTTCGATTGTGTTAACTCACTCGTGCACCCTTTTTCTACAAATATCGAGAAAAGCAAGTTCGATCTAGTTACGTTGGCCTGTAACTTTTATTATGCTGAATCAAATACAAAGTATCGAATAGATTCAATAAATTCCATGAAGAAAACATTTTTCATTGATAACAATTCATTGTTTAGTTAACAGACTTTTAGAGTCGAACTTCTATAACATCGTGTATTGATTCAGGACGACTATTATTACCCTTCAACATACGTTTGAGTTTCGGTATTTGTTTTTTCACTTTAATAATACCATTAGTAGGCGATGCACCCGACTGTGGTATCCATGTAAACGAACAGCAGAAAAACACACTCATCGCATATGCAGCAATGATCAACCAAAAGGCGCTTCGATAAGCAGTTCCATTGCAATATGACGTAGTATTAGCTGGATTCGTAAATTGAACGCGTTGTACTGAACCGAAGACCCAGATATTTCCTGTGATGAACCATGCGAATTGAAAGAGAAAAAGAAACGCAGTTAAAAAGGCAATAGTACCAATAAATTGATATTTATATCTGTTAATATACAAAATGTATACGATAGCAGTTACATGAATGATTAGAATAAAAAGACCAACTGCACCTTGAACAAGAAGATAGATTGGAATATACGGTTGGATTGGACAGTTATTTATATAAAGAATACCAACGACAAAAGAAACAATCGCAATTGATAAGGGTAGTAGAAGTTGACAATGAAATCGTTTTGATTTGTACAGTCCAGTTGTTTTCTTGATTACTTTCGCAGAACCAAAACCCTTCGATAGGTGAGATCGAATTTCATCAATCACCAGATGCGAATTGGTAGTAGACACCATCTAAATGTCGTTTGCGCCTGAAAAGCTAATTTCCAAATTTGAATTTCTCTTCTAAATTTTTACCGACGGTATACATAAAATAGTCACGTTTCTTCGTTCGATCCGAGAGTAATTTACCTTTAGAAATTGTTTCACATGAATAAGTAAAAACTAACGTGCATACAGTTGCTTACGACTATACATGGTATGCTTCAATACCTATGAAATTACTGTAAGAAAGAATACACAGTTTTTTTTCTTTATTTTGACTCATATATTGACAACAACAACATCATCATGCACTTCCTTCATTATGAATTAGACAACATACTCTCTCGTCAAATAAATTTATCAATTTTCTCATATCTAAACTCTTTTTATTTTAGTGCATGCAAATCAACCAGCGCTTGTCGAAAGTATTGTAAAGCATTATCGAAATCTTCTTTCAATAGTGTTTGGATGTCGATTTCGTGTGCAATTTTGTTGCGTAAATCATTTGCCCATTGTACTTGCTCTGCATTTTTGAAAATATCTTTAGCTGATGCAAGTCTTTGACGCATGGTTTCACCCGAATAGTTAGACGTCTTCAAAACATGATCAAGTAAACTGTTGGCATAAATAATAGCCAATGGACGACTTTCTTCTATACGAGATAACTCGTCTATCCGTTTCCACTTCTCTATGTACAATTCTATATGGGATGTGATGAGAGAATTATAAATAGAGCGGCAACAACATATAAGAACGATGATAGGCACAAATACAAAGGCAATAACACCAAATACAATCACACTAGTGTCTAATTCGGGTGGAAGCGGTGATTGAGGCGCTTGAGATACAGTCATAGCTGGATATAAGATGGTTAGAAAGAGGAGCAGACCGCTGAGCACTAGACAATAAACAGGCAGATCATCAGGATAACTATCACTCATTATACAATATCACGCCGTGTCGTTGAAACTGCAGTAAGATATGAATGTTTGTGTGTGTTTGAAAGTAAACGAGAGTAGCTGTTATTTTTATACAGTGTGTGCTGAAACGTGTGTGTTTTTCATAGCATTTATTATTTTTCTCCACAAGTAATTATCACTATCGATAGAAGTATCTCATTTACATATCCATCGTAATCACTGGAAATGCTTCTTTGAAATCTTTTCTATAGCGGCATTTTTCGCGCGAAGATAGTCTAACAGTCGATAGTCAAAATGAATCAGGCTCTTTTCTGTAGAAGTTTCACAGTAAGATTTTTATTCCATTCAAAAAATACAACAACAACAATCAAATAGCGCTCAGTGTCATTCAAGATCTTTATACTCTATTGGATGAGATAAGATGGAAATGAATGAACCCCTTCGGACGATAGTTTTCCATTCTTATAAAAAAAACTCGTTCCGCTTAATAATATAATAGCTGTCCCGAACGTCACTTTTATTCTCACTCTGCTATAGTGTCCTGCGGGAACGACTTTTTTCTCTAATTTTATCTATTCCCATTTAGACTTAGGGAATGGGAACGATGCTGAAAATTGACGTTCCCTAAATTTTGATCATCTTATTTTGGTATATATAGATATTCCTATCATATCTCGTAGTATTTCATACTAAATTCTTTTTTTGACAGAACTGATAGAAAAATATCAAGTTTATGTCAGAAAACATAAGAATATTCATTGAATATTAACTGAATTGTTATTCAGCCACCATAAATATAGTCTTTTCAGAGTCAGTCGTTAACAGCTTTGGGTAAAATGGGAATAGGGAAAGGGAACCATTAGAAGTCGTTCCCGCAGGACACTTATACTCTGCTATCCTGGTAGCAGTAGCGAAGGAATACATTTTACAAGGGGCAAAGTTAAAATATAATCTGTATTCGTCATCACCATGATGACAATTTCGTTATCTTAAAGCATATATAAAGCCATACTCTTTGAAAGATAGAACGAAAAAAAACGTGCCTGTTGATGATAGTAGTGTATTTTTCTTTTCTTCATATCAGCATCGTCATAGGAGACACATATATATATACACATACAACGATTATTACTTTGCCCTTTACATCTCATACGTTATACTAAAGCACGTTAACAAAAAATGATTCTATTAATTGGATTTCTTCTCCTTGCCTATGTCGCTTACCAATTATATCAACATTTCAATCCTGCGCCTAACGTAGATCCTAAAGGTAAATATGTTCTGATCAGTGGTTGTGACACTGGCTTTGGCAATGGACTTGCTATCGAACTTGATAAACAAGGATATAATGTTCTGGCTGGTGTTTACAGTCCCGATAGTGTAACTACATTGACCAGTCAATTATCAACAAAAGCGACGGTTTTTCAACTTGACATTACAAAAAAAGAATCTATTGAGTCGGCATATGAATTAGTTGCAGCGAAGACAAAAACTCTTCATGCTTTAGTGAACAATGCTGGTGTTTCTACAGGTGGACACGTGGATTGGATTACAACAGAATCTATGCGTCGAATCATGGACATTAACTTTTTTGGACACGTTGACATGACTAAAACATTCTTACCCTTATTAATTGCAAGACGAGGCTCCCGTGTTATCAATATCTGTTCAATTGCAGGTTTCATCAGTCCACCATCAGGCTCAGCCTATTGCGCTTCGAAATACGCACTGGAATCCTTCTCAGACTGCCTTCGTCGTGAAATGTTTTCATGGGGTTTACATGTTAGTATCATTGAGCCAGGCATCATGCGCACTGCAATCGTTCAAAAACATACTCAAGCTGTGCGGGACGTTTTCACGCAATGGTCACCTGGTGCAAAAGAACGATGGGGTGAAGAATATTGTAAAAGTTATTTGAAAAAAATGGCGGAGAATCCTTTGCTGAGAAATGCCGAGGATCCAATCAAAGTGGTGAGAGCATTGGAGCACGCAGTTTCCAGTACAGTCCCATGCATTCGCTATAAGCCTGGTTGGCAATCAAAATTTGTTTACTATCCTTTGTCATTACTTCCAGCTTGGTTAGCCGATATGTATTTTGTCAAAACGCGTGTCTTGGACGTTGCACCTGTTGGTATGAAGAACCAATTTTAATAACATTTTTCTTCCAAACTTTCGTTCGGAAATTATTTCAAATATAAAATGAATGAATGACATTTAACACATTCCTAACGAAAACAACAAAAAGTGTAGAATATGCTTGAAAATAATATAGTTATGTCGAATCTATTTAGAACATTCGTGCAGATAGTGTTGCATGAGAAAATAGCAAATATATTAGTATTAAAAGAAAACAAATAGCTCTTCAAATTTGTGTAACACTTTCAAGATCAGTACCAAAAGTTGTTCATAAGTAGATCGATATTTGAGTGACGTCGATTGAATATTTTTATTCAATCTGTAGTCGTTCTTTGTTGTTCAGCTTCTAATCGACGTTTCTGTGCTGCACGCTTCTTCGATATACGTGATGCTTCCGGTCCACGAACGGTCATTACCCCATCGCTGCCATCTTGGTCCAGTCGTCGTTGCAAATTATTCGCATTCGTAACTAAACGAAAGAATATAATTCGTCTATTCATTATAAAACAGACGCCGGTATATACGTACATTCACTCTATAAGAAAAACGAACCGAAATATATTGAACTGATTCGAAATATAACAGGATAAAACTTACTTCGATTTGATTTCGAGCATCTACATCTTGAAGTAAATTCAAGTTAATTGGTCTGTCGGAAGTGAGTCCAGTGAGCCATGAACAATCACGAATTTTATCAATAGTAATACGTTCGGCAGGATTTACTTTTAACATCTGTTGTATCGTTGACTTGGCCTCGTCAGATACGCTACCCCATTCTTTTTGATCAAATTGATAGTCTCCAGCTTTGATTTTTCTTGCCATATCATCACTTAAACGCGCCTCATCACTCTTCGAATAAAAAGGTGGAAAACCGCATAGAAGAATGTATAATATAACGCCCATCGACCAGATATCACAAGCCTTATCGTATCGCATTTTAGAGATAACTTCTGGGGCGACATAGTAGGGTGTAAAACTACAGAGATAAAAACATAGAAATAAGAGATATTAGCACTTAAAATTGATTACCATGGCGTTTTATATGGTAAATCTTCATTATTTCCTGGAAAATGATTTTTAAAAAGCTAATAAAAACCGCAATGAACATATAGTCCTTTTTACCTTCCTTGGCGAATCCAAAATCAGAGAGTTTTAGAATCGAATCGTCTTCCTTAGTTGCAAACAATAAATTCTCTAGTTTCAAATCACCTACATACGAAATAAGGCGCACATATGGATAATCAACCAAACGATTCTATTTACTCACGATGTGCCTATCAATAAATAATAACACATGAGAAAAGAAATGGACACAGAAATGATCAAAAGTTTCTTACAATATCCATACAATGTAAATGTGCTACAGCTTGAACAATCATGGCTATTATTCTAGCCGCATCACGTTCAGTGTAACCGCTTTTACTACGCGAAGTGATACGACTGAACAATTCCCCACCTTCCATACTAAACAGAATGTTAAACCAACAGTGATATCACAAGACAGAAAAATTAAATTTATACTATTCCATAACGATTAATATTGACTTGTGCTTGAGAAACATATTTTGCTAACAATCAAAAGTTAAATCAAAGAGAAACGTAAATTTCATCAATGTAAACTTACATAGACATGTAGTATCTTTACGATATATTCACAATCCTCACATGCTTTTTTATGTAAAATCACTTCTCGTCGGCTTAGATCTGAATCAGTTAAAATCTGTAAATCAACAAAAAACAAAGTAAGAACTGAATTGGTAATTTCCAATTGCATAATTCATTCATACTTTCAGGGCGTATTTTTGTCCAGACCTTCGACTTTGAATCCGATAAACTTTTCCGCTAACCCCAACACCTAAGACATCACCGGAGACTATGTAGTCGTCAGTGATGGCATTTTTATGTGTAGGAAAGGGAAATTTAATAGTGATTCGTCGACTAAATTTCGCCATTGGATTGTATAATAAAGATCAATTTCTTGATTTACTCACATTCCCTGTGTTGTATTTGCATTGGTTGTCATTATTATATATGCTAAGATTCCTACGTGATAGTAAAAAACTCAATTGGTCTCACAAAGGAAAAATAATACAAGGCTGTTTTATAATGTAAAAAAGGATGATGTGCGTGTGTTCTTCCAACATGAAGTGTTGCAATCACGAGAAATTACATAAAAAAAACATCGACGGTAGACGCGCATATACACAACAACACACGGAGACGAAAGCACGTGTTAAGAACGATAAAATCGTACGGCTAATAGTAACATTGATACAATCCTATGAAACAAGTTTGCGATTTTGTTTTATTCGAACGTTAAACACGCATCAGTTTTTTAATAAACCAAGTTTTTGCTGATAATACAGTAACATTTAGTTGGTTCGAATCGATAAATCTGAGAACATCACATCGTACAGCTTCCCAGTCCCAATCGTCGCCGACAAGGACACCACCAGTTTGAAGAATTGACCAGTATAATTCAAGTTCGATATATGTTTCACCTTGTAAATGTGCACTATCCAAATAAATGATTTGAGGGAAGAGTTTTTTCTCAAGCAGAAAACGGGCGCCTAATAACGATGTGGTTGAATACGGTAGAACGTGGTTTGTTAAATTACTATCTATGATATTAGCGATAAATCGTTCGTAGACAATTGGTCTACCATACGCCATACCCATCATTTCACGAAAATCGTCTCGAACCCAATGTTCGAGACCACCGAGCCATGTGTCGATACATAGTAAAACATAGCTTTGATTGAACTGGCTTTGAAGTAAGACTTTACCTATGTTAATTGCTGATTTACCCATAAAACTACCAACTTCGACTACAAATCTAATAGGAATATCAACTTCTTCCAGAATTTTTTCAAAGATAGATTGCGTTAGAGATGTGTGTGGATATGTTGAATCCGATTTCTGTTTAAAATAATTCGGCCAAGTGGTATAGATATTGGGTGCGCTTAATCCAAAGAGTAGTCGATGAATTTCTTGAAATGTTGGTGAATGTAACGTTGGTTTAGCTAACCATTTCGAATCTTGTTGAATAGAAAAAAATGATTGAAATAGATGTCGGGGAGTTATTCGACGATCAAAAGGAGCCCAATCTGATTGTTGTTTATGGTGAGTGATTATTAAAGTTTCAATATTATCTGGTGATTTTGCCGCAAGTTCCAATGAAGAGAACAGTTTGACAGCAATGCTGATTAGAATGAACACTAGTAATAAGCTAATGCATAGTTTCGTGGGTCGTTTTAATTGGCAAGTGTTCATATTTTGAATACACACACTGGCGTTTCAACGAATTTTGTCACTTTGATGTTCTCTTTGCTTTTAACATTGAATAAGTGATGGAAAGACAACGTCAGTGTTTCTGGAGGAGATAAAAGATTTTTACATGTCTTCTACGTTTCTACGAAGAAAAGAAAAAGAAAAAAAATCCTCAAATAGTGTTACCATCATCCGGTGAAGACATTCTCACCATGGAAGAAGCACCACAAATCCGACTTACGACTAAGTTTTCTTATCGGTAACGTATAGACGAATCAGAGTTGATGGAGAACAAACACGCTGAACTGTTGTGCTTTTATCTGCAAAGACTTTCATTTAAAGAATGTTTCTTTTATTTATACGACAAATACTGCTTCCATCGTAATCGTTAAAATTTTGGTACGCGCCATTCTTACATATAAGCGTAAGTGAAAAGCCGCTCTGATTTCCGGTCGTTGTCGGTGCTTTCTCTCTATGAGACTGCGTACAGTACTATCAATATAATAACATCGGTCTATTCGCTCGAGAGAATTTTTATCCGGTCTTACAGAAAAAGTTATAAAATGAATAATTGCTCTTGCAGACAAAAGAGGCTAATGCAAATTTACACTGAATTAAGGCATGACTACCCGAGCAGACAAAAATTTGGAAAAACGCGTTTAAACGTTCAATCGGTAACTTCGACCGAAGGCTAAACACGGGAACTAATAAAACGACGTCAGCGTTTTAACGTTCTGAAAGTGCGAATTACACGTTTAAAATGGCGTTTCGACGTTTTATTAGTTCCCGTGTTTAGTCTTCGGTCGAAGTTACCGATTGAACGTTTAAACGCGTTTTTCCAAATTTTTGTCTGCTCGGGTAAGCATTGAATTTAGTCACAGCCGAACAAGTTCGGACAAAATCCAATTTCCACGTAACCCAACATTTGTGTGTCAGAATCAAAAGATCATCCACTTAATAATAGAATGCTATCGCAGTCATACGTATATATTGAAAACAAATTTTTCGATAGAATTTTTAACTATTGGGAAAAAAAGCAAGCTAACTTGTATTTCAATAGCTTATATGTCGTATTGATTCTCGTGGTACTTATTCATTCGTAGGTCTCGCCTATCCGCATGCCAATTTGTCTCTCTCACTCGCAATATGTGTAATTGCGTTCTTTATTATAATGAAGTTTAATCGAAAAGAATTTTGATAAAATCGAAAAAAATGCCGTCGACTAAATAGAAAACTGGCTAATTCGTCTAATCATTTCAATCAAATAGGACCAAATCAATACACGTAAAAATAATTAATAGCAGCAACGGATGTACTAATTGTAAGCATACGCTTTTACCCAGTATTCCAAAGAATTTTCTACAATAAGCAAAACGAAGATTTGTAGAAGTCACAATGTTCTATCATAATCGTAAGAAAATTTATTTGGGAAGAATTATTATTTGACAGTATAGTTTGAAGTATATTGGAGTCCATCATTACACTATCTAGGAAGAAAGTAAATAAAAAAGAAGTCGCTAAAGTCTCATTCTGTTGTCAAAACGAGATGATAATCGAGTACTTTTTGTTTTCTAACAGTAAATTAGAGTATTCGAAATATAAATGTAATCGCACTTTTATCGAGTTCATCACTTGTGTCAAGTAAATAAATGCTCACATCGAATATTCTTTCACTTTTAGAGATTAGCGACATTTTCATGATACAATTTCTGGTCATTGTCATCTAGCAACAACTACCTGTAATAATGTTCTGTGATTATTTGGATAGTACATTTGCATTGTATACATCAATAGATATTGTCAATGTGATGTTGGTGAATAGTAATATTGTGTCTGAACAAAACAATATGTGATGATTTATCGACGGCGCAGCTACGGGTTTGAGAATTCATTTGTACTATTACGAAATGTTATTGAAAAGTTGGTAACAGATTGAATAACAACAATTGAAGAGTGTTCGATTACTGTTGAAAAACAAAAATTTCCTCTCGTATGACGGAGATAGGGTGTTCAAACACAATGAAAACTATTACTAGATGATATCACCGATATGACTTTTATGAAATGAATTTTGCACTTCCTGTTCAACAACTCAATTGGGAAATGGAATTTTCTATATGTATTACAGACAACGGTCTCGTTCAAGTAACAAAGGAATCAGAAGTTCTACGCTAATTTCAATGAATCTTATTATTTATTAAAGACTTATAATCTGTGTTATATTTGCTAATTAAAAAAGTATATCAACAATAAATCGAAAACAACAGAGCTATGGCTTGATTTGTAAGGATGAAATAGGTGTAGTACGAATAAAATCGAACAGTGACAATTGAGGACGTCTAGTGACGTATTCCAAAAGATACTTGGAAATATCACGCACAGTTGCTTGTTGTCGTAACAAACATTCATAGACTGTCCACAATGAATCCATTAGGTTTTGATCGTGCCATGTTGCATAAGCCAATGGACGACGTGCTTCTGAAGCAGCCATTATCTGAATGATTGCTATTTGATATATAGATAGAACACTTTATTTCTTACAGATGTATTCTATTAAAAAGAAAATCTACCTTTCAGTTCTTTGTTGCCACGAAAGGCACCACACCCCCAGTTGCCCGTTGCTATGCCATACACTCTTTGTTCATACGATCGTGGAAGACGAAAACATGTGAATGCTTTATCTAATTCTCGGCCTATACATGCAGGAAAGTACTGATCGCATGGATTCGAAAAACAGATCGCATCCATTGCGACGACATGACATAGTCTTCGACCCCAATTATCTCTAAACATACATACTGACGGTTCAGCAGGAATAACGCTCAGTCACTCAAACCTGCCGGTATTATCTACAAAATCATCTTTCGCTCTGAATGTATCTGCATAGCCACTGTATGATACATACTGTTCACAGCCAAATAGAAAAATACATTCATTCGCTTGCATAACTTCACCAACAAGAAGGCTAATCAACATTTCTGGACATATAGTAAAACGTATTTCTTCTTGAACGATACCATCACCCATTACACCACCGCCCTGCGATGTTTATTTTTGTATTCAAGACATGTCAATATGATCGACAATTATTTTCCTATACTTACGATAAATTCATTAGCAAAGTCAATTTGTAAAAGGCCAGCCATATCCTCAATAGTTGTATTTTTGTTTACATGAAGACTGCACATTGGAGTTTGAGATTCCGTCCAGTTCGGTCTCCACTGATCGGGTAAAGTAAAACGTCGCAATGTAAGAACACCTTTAGGCACTGAAATGATCCATAAAAAAACAATAATTATATGAAAGAGAATGGACAAGTTGTACACACTGTTCTGAGTAACGCGCCAGAAATAGTGTAGAAGACATTTCAGTTTTTCTAATTTCCACGGTGGTCCATGTTCGAAAAGTCTGCAGTAAACATCATATTTCGTAAATATAGAAATCTATCTAAAGAAAGATTTTATCTTTTACTTGTTGAAATTGATGCTCTGATACGTGTGTCCATGGGATTGGCGTGGAAAGAGACAGAAGAAGGCACAAGCTAATAATGATGCTGCTTGTCGTTGCGAGAAAGTTAAAGCTCGATTACCACCGATACGTAGTAAAATAGGTGGCTAAATTAACACCAATGCATCTGATGCATGAATTCAAATAGAAAGACTTTAAATATTCGAACCTCGGTACATATCGTATCGACATTCAGAGCAAATGAAATCATTTCAGGAAGAACTTTCGTCATAAAATGTGCACGTTCATCTTCTTTGTACACCTATTAGAAGCAATACTAAATATGAATCGAGCGATGAATGGCAAACGACGCATGATTATACTTTGTCAAGCAAGTGTTCAAGACAACCTATATCGAACTGAGCTCCATTGCAATTTTCGATAGTTTCCTATAGAAACGATAGTACAAGTGCGATTGAATATTTGCGAACAAATTTCATATACTTTGATATCATAAACAGATGCAATGTTTTCAACACATTTTTGTTGTAGGTAAATTAGTGCATTTTGGATGATAGACCATTTCGGGTTGTTCTTATTCTAGAGTAAAATATTTCAAATACATTCAACGGTAAAATCCAATAATACTGTTAGATTGTATGGAGAACATGGTAATCGAACATGATCGTCATCCCATTTGTCAACATAAACACCAGCTGCATGAATTGGTTCTGGTTCGTTATCAGGTTTTGATGGATCATACGCGAATGGCTACGTAAAAGAGAGTAATTACAATGCATATCCGTCATTTGATTTTTTGAGTGATGTACTTTAATGAGAAATGCATGAGCAGGATCACGAATATCCTGCATATCAACGAGCAATGGTGGCTGCTTAAAAAGATTTGGAATATCATCCAGTGGTACACCCTATAAATATTTATTAATTCAATGGAACACAACGGTAATTGACGAGTTTACGCGAAATTCTGCAGGTTCAGTGGCTTGTAGACTGGAATCTTGGTGAGCCATGTGGAAGATTCGAAGCAATGCAGTTAAAACGCTATTCTTCCTTTTTTCTTTCAAAAAAAAAGAGTATCAATGTAACGTGTTTTTACGACTCAGTTTAGATTATACACAATTGAGTTTTTTTCATACGTTGGTTTTTTTTTCTTTTCGCCGCAGAAAAGATGTCGGTAAAAAAATATTTTTTTTAAAAGGAAGAAGGCGAACAGTAACAGCGACATGTGCACATGCTTGTAGGTCTTCATCAGAGAGCACTTATGATTTACGGCAGAAAAATTTGCAGAAAAATAATTTTCACTATGATACTTCATAATTGCATGTTCATTAGATCGAAAATCGATCTTCCCTATAGAATTTACATAGTCGTGCGCTCAAACTCTACTCTATGATTGTCTTTATTGAAAATTCATAGCGATTATTCTTCTCATATACGTCAGATTATGATTGCTCGAAGGCGCGACCATATTGTAGAATTTTCCATTTCAATTTCGTTTTCGTGCGGTAGACGACGACTAGTCCAAATGTCCATTTCAGGTGCATGAATCCATCGCGTTTTCCACAAATATTTGTATACGAAAAATAGAAGTAGAAACACGGGAATGAGAATATACGAGACAGTAAAGGTAACTAGATCAAACGATGGAATTATACTAGTATACCCTTGAAAGAAAATCAGAAATATATTGGCACCAAGTCCAAAGTAGGCCCCATATGGATACCACAGCGCTCGAAATGGTAAGTCCTTTATATGAACACCTTGTGCTTTTAATCCGCGACGGAATTGGATATGTGTCAAACATATCACTGCCCAAACGATAAATGTCGAAACACCAGAAAGATTTATCAAATATGTATAAGCAGTGCCTATTCCACCGGGCCCTTGGTTGATAAAGCATATACACGCACAAAAATTACTAAAAACAATTGCACACCAAGGAACACCACGTTTGTTAGTTGTACTCAGAAATTTTGGTGCTCGTTTCGTTTTTCCCAAATAACAAACGGTTCGTGATGTAATATAGATGGAAGACATTCCCGCAGATACAACAGAGACGACAATAAGTCCGTTGATAATGTGAGCAGCTACACGAATACCGGCGTCTTGAAGGGAGATAGTCAATGGGGATGCAGCTGTCTTGGATTGAGACGAAAGAAGACGAGATGAATTATACGGAATCAAAAGACCAATAAAGAATATGGTACCGAGATAGAATATTATGATACGCCAAAACACTTGCTTAATTGCTCGAGGAACAGCCCGTCGCGGATTTTCGCATTCACCCGCTGTAACGCTGACCATCTCAACACCTGCATAGAGTGTGCCAGCAATGACAAAAACTTTAGCGATACCATTTATACCATCAGCAAACGAACCCGGATTATTCCACAATTGCATACCGATACGGTTACCACCGATAACTCCAGTATCGATGAGAATAGCGAGAACGAAATAAGCAAGAATAGCCAAAACCTTCATTGAGCTAAGCCAAAATTCAATTTCCCCATAAACGAGTACACCAACTAGTGATAAGGCAAGGAAAATAAACCACCAAAGAACGATCCATGCCCATTGCGGTACAATCTGAATCCAGTACATGATAACAATCGATATGGCATTATACTCATTTGCTAGTACTGTTATCCATAGGTACCAATAGATCCAACCGAGAGCAAATGACAAGGCAGGATCGCAGAAACGGCCAGCAAAGTCCATGAATGCGCCACTCACAGGAATGGCTGTTGAAATTTCGCCGAGTGACTGCATCACAAAGAAAACGATGACTCCAGTAGCAGCAAAAGCAATTAAAGCACCTGCAGGACCAGCATATGCAAGTGCTGTCCCTGAACCGACGAGAAGACCAGGACCGATAATACCACCAATAGCCATCATAGTAATATGTCGACTTTTCAAATCGCGTTTCAGTTTCTCATCGCCCGGATCACGATGAGACGTCATCGGATGAACAGTAGATTGCATTTCTTCTTGTAGATGATACATTTCTTCGTGAGAACTTGCAATATGTTCTAGCATGAAATAAATTGTATTAGTATGTTTCGAACATTCAGACACATAAAAAACTAATCGAAAAGATGACTTATATAATCAAAAAAAGTATACTTTTTTTATAACATACGAATGATACAAAGTAATCGCTCTCTTTTTTTACTCCTTCATACACATTCAAATTCTTGGTATGTAAAACCTTTATCAAATATATGCGATGAAAAATAACATACCCATGATTTGTATTTTGTCCACGTACAAAAATGTGCTAAATATGTATACTTTTGTAGTCTTCGTTCATTAACTGCAGTATCCAAACATGTACACAAATACCCGACTAGTACAGTCAGTGACTAATGAAAAGATCAACATTTTCTTTCATCGTTTTTTTGCCATAAATAAGCACATGTTCGACTTCCCTCGGTGATATATGCATCGAACATAGAGTCAGCCAATAAATAAATCTATTTACTCCTCATTGTCATTCATTTAGAAAAGGAAGGGACCATGATCATGGCAAATGCATAACTAACGAGTTGCTGCTGGTTATAACGCATCTTTATCATATTGTATTGTCATCAATAACATGGAATACAGAATATAGGAATAGGAAAAACACTAAATTATATGTTACAATTTTTATTGATAATAGAAACCATTTTTCCAATAGCTTAATGAAATGTCATGAATGGTTATAGCAGCGGTTGTTGACACGCTTCCTCAATTATCAATCACACATGAGCAGAATATTGATGTTCAAAATCATGTCCAAATATATTTGAAAAATATCATGTACGCATCTGCTGGTATTTTTTCCTTTTTCTGTTCTCTCGAGAACAACGTGCTTGCTACAGCAGAAAAAGAAAAAGGACCTTTGCTTTCTGTCTTCCTCTCTTTCCTCGTATAAGGATGACAAAGCGTTTTTTGGTTGTCACAAAGCTTAGCATTGATATTGTGCACGAATGAATCTTATATAAGGTCAGTTATTTTGAAAGACTAACGATTTCGAAAAATGATACTTAAAGGAAGTTTTTCGATCAATTTCGCTTGTGTGAACCTCAATAGAATAGCAGCCGGTTTCTATTGCTCTTGATGTTTATCATCACGAATTCCATGTTTTTGTTATAGTAGTGTGTATCAGGTATTTTTTGGATTCGCACACGATAGAAGCCTAGAATTTTATTTTAATTTTTATTAAATGTAGTATACGATTGAGATTGTCCTAATGTGCTAATTAAAATAAAGAGCGAGAGGAGCTTGTCCGATAGATGGCATCACATTGTTCTTTGATAAAAGATAATAATAATCAATTTTATCGTTTGACTTATTGAAGATCGTTGTAAAACATAGATCGGGATGTCATCGACACTACGAACAATTACTGCTGCCAACGCTCGTATTTTATCGGCATTGAACCCACCACCAAAGGTTGTTGTAGTCGGTGGCACTTCAGGTATTGGTCAAGCTATTGCTCTTGCCATAGCTCAACATTGCCCATCGGCTTCAATCACTATTATCGGACGCAATGAATCTGCTGCTAACACCATACTACCCAAATTAGGGCCGAATTCAAAGTTCTTACGTGCTGATGTGTCACTTCTGTCAGAAGTTCGAGCTGTGACACAAAAGATTTCTGCAGTAGACATGTTAATTATGTCACAAGGTGTTCTGACAATAGCTGGTCGTACTCCTACAGCAGAAAATATTGATTATAAATTGGCCTTACACTATTATGGTCGGACACTGTTCGTCCAAGAACTTCTTCCACTACTTCGTTCATCGCCTAACGGTGGTAAAGTTTTATTCATTTTGGATAGTAAAAATGGTAATCCATCAAAAGTTAACTGGAACGATATGGCTCTCGAAACGACATATTCTTTGGCTTCAGCTGCTAATCATGCTATTTCGTTTACTGATCTTGTCATACAACATTTTGCATCACAACCTGAAAATGCCAATGTTACATTTACTCATGCATATCCAGGTGGAGTACGAACGACATTAGTTGATAATCTACCGTTCTATCTTCGAATACCAGCGAAAGGCCTTCTGGCAATGGGCGTTGGCATTAGTCCAGAAGAATGTGCTGAATATATGATACATGGTATTCTGGGAACAGATAAAGGTTGGAGATGTGTCAATGAGAAAGGTGAAAACATTTCAAAGAAGAAACCAGCACAGGAAGAATGGATTACAAAAGTATGGGAACATACATCTCAAATGATTTCTTCAAAACATTAAAAAGACAAAAATGAGTGACCTCTTGATGTTTCTTGCTGTAACTTCTACTTTAGCTGACACTTTTCATAGAAATCCAGATTACTTATGCTTATAAACTATTTAAAAGTCTGCATGGAGAATCATATTAGCTATCTAACTATAGTGTATGTGGCAGATCAAGCTTGACATATCAAAATAAAAAGAGCAGAAGCAAAATATTGTATCAGGACCAGAATGAGAACGTCGGATGATGCATCTAAGAAATTTTAAAATCTCTTCAAGTCCAAATGATGACGGAGTACATTCATACGATCCCTTCGTGTTTGATCATTTTCTCATTCGCCTTGATATTCAGTGTATGTTATTCTCTAATTGTCCAACATCAAATTCTATCTGGCATAAAATAGAAATCAGAAGCGTCGAACAAAACGTACTTCTTCTAATCTTTCCATAGCAACTAATCTTTGTCACCACTTGCAGATGAAAATATCATGAAATTGTGACGTTTTCCGCCGCATGATGATGAAAATAAAAACTAATAAATACTCCAAAACTTGTCATCAATATTCATATAATTATTTTTGCACTCAATTATCACTTAGCGTGTACACAAAACCGATCGTTCGCAACTAATCATAAAAGATAAGGAGAAAGAAGCAACATGTGCTTTCTCAGTGTGTATTTTAATGCAATACTCTCTTGTCATACACAACTAGTCATCATCTACTCATTATATATGTGAAATGAGACGCCTCTCATATTTCGAACGTATATATGTATATATGGATCGATCAAGCACTATATTTATTAGAATTCGATCCAATACAAGCGCTCGAAGTTTGTTTAAACCAAAAGAAATACTGTATAACAGCAAATTATGAATCGTTATCAAGATACTCATTCGAACGTCGTTCCACTAGCTGGATTCGAAGCAGCAACGAAAAAGCGAAAAATGCATTCAACAGCATACTGCCGAGGAGGAAGTGTTCAAGCGGCAAAACGTTTGAAATATGAACAAGTCCAGATTAGGAAAAATCTATTCATTGAAATTAACCAACTGGAAGAACAAAATACATATTTGCAAAAAGAAATAACTGAATTAAAATCGAGACAACAATCTTTAAGATCAAATTTACTTGCAATTATCTCATCAAAAGAAAATATGGCAGGAAACAAGACAGAAGTACTCTAATACGACTCAAATGTCTACAGTTATTCATATTAACGTGTTTTCTATTACTCAGAGATATGTAGATATGTGTGCTCGCGTTATTTCTTCTGTTTGTGAACTTTATTTAGTTATAAATTCAATAAAAGAGAAGTTGGCGAAAAATGCTACTAATGATAGTTTCTAAATTGCATTCGATTACCTGCGTGAACACGTCGAATAATAAAAATCAAATTGACCAAATAAATCTTCACCGTATTGACTTGTTTGGAGATATCTTTATATAACATTGTAATTAAGACATAATGATACAAAAGCGAAATGAAATGGTATACTTATGGTTTGATATTGAATACTTGTTTAGTTATTCTTCTATAACTATTTATCAGCTTTTTCTGTGTTTCATTCAGTTCATGTGCTCGTTTTCCACGATAAAATATAGATGAATATTTTCCAATACTCCATTGTCCTTCTTCTAACCATCCATTCATTTCTAGTAATTCATCGTTAACATCTCCATTTCGAAACATTCCACCATTCCACCAGATTGGTTCATAATATTCATCAAAATGTAACACATTTCCAAACACTCGTTCTTTATTTTCATCATCAATTTTTCCAATGACACCTGTCAGTGATGACATAAAACTCGATGATATTTCAACTATTGAAAAACCTAACCACCATGTATCTCGATCATTATATAAATATTTGTATGCATCTCGTTGTTCTTGTCCTTGATGATCATTTAGTTTACATGTGCTCAAAATACCTTTCAGAACACGATATTTGTCAATTACAATAACACTCGATTCTTGTCTTCGTTCAGGAATCATTGATTGATTCTTTTTTGTTGAAAATGATTCAATCCATCTCTTCGTTTCATTTGACACTTCACATCGATCATAGAAAAATAAATATCCATTTCGAACAAAATTAACATTTCCAAATAGAATCGATGGTTTTTCCACAAATAACACATCACTATCCATCAATACAACTTGTTCGAATCGACATGCTAACACTGCAAATGATTGCATTTGACGACCATGAAGATCTAAATGACTATCATTTGCATAACTTAACGAAAGATCAGTCAAATAAACATTTGGAAAAGATTTTCTCATCAGTTCTTGATTATCGACTGATAAATCTTTCGAAGTGAAATACATAACTTCGATTGGAAGATCATTTTCAATCATTTCAAGACATTTCAATGCAACCAATGTCCAACGAATANCTGATCTGCCTTTGAAATTCCTTATCTCATGAAGTAAATATTCGTTCGGGCTGATATTTACAGAACAATCCAGTGTCGGTGAGACCTATCTATAAACAAAATTTCAGATTTAAATTGTGTCGTTGGCATTTTATCGAAACACCTGTCAACAAGCCAAAAAGCAAGTAAAACGATGATAACTCGGCAACAACGGCACGAGGGCACAAATCCTTTTGAGGTTTTTCATACCTCATTGGGGTCTACTTACTACCAAAAGATGGGATCTAAACTGCTTGAACACCTAAATATGTTCCCTCGTTAGTAGCACTTGTTGAGTGATTCATAGTTTTACTTTTTCTTTCGTACAACACAGTTAGCTTAAAAAGAACCAAAATAAATCCTCTTTCAAAAATATTTTCTCATTTTACCACCCGATATGCATGATCGAAGTCTTCTCTATTAAAGGTTTTAACTTTGGATAGAAACATACTTTTGTTAACGTTCTTGATAACATCTGGACTTTGGAAGCTAACACCAATCAGAAATAAGGAAAATTTTCATATACTTTTTTTATGATCTGATCCTATGAATACTTTCGAAGCTTAATTTTTCCTCGAAATATACAGTGACTCAGAAAAAAAACATACCTATATCACACAATACATAAAAATACAAGTATCTTCTCCCCATATTACCATATCGTATACATCATGGTAGTGTCTGATCAGATTGTTTGTTATTTTGGTTTTATTGTGTTAAAAGCATTTTCTTTATTGAAGTAAAAGATGCTTTTCAACAGGTATTATTATTTAGTCACCTTTATCATGAGCTGGAGATTAGTGATAGATCTATGTAGTGTTCTCTTTTATTGACCATCCCACGTATCAACGGCTAATGACGGTTCTGGGTTCGATGTTTCTACAGGTGCTGGTTCAGGATTCCACGTATCAACGGCTAGTGACGGTTCTGGGTTCGATGTTTCTACAGGTGCTGGTTCAGGATTCCATGTATCTACAGCTAGTGACGGTGCTGGATTCGATGGTTCTACAGGTGCTGGTTCAGGATTCCATGTATCTACAGCTAATGATGGAGGATTCCATGTTTCTACAACTGGTGGCGGAGGATTATATGTTTCCACTGCGGGCTGAGGAGTAGGCGTAGGCTGATAAGGTGGTGGTGCCGGCTGTGGAACATTTGTGCGAACAGTGGGAGGTCGATCGGGTCGGATGATAGTTACATCAGTTCTTCTCACCGCAGAAGGTGCTGGTCGATATGGTGGAGGTTGCGGTCTTGGTGCAGGCGCTGGTGGTCTATTTACATACCCATTATTTCTATATACATACTGCGGTTGTTGATAAACTGGTTGAGGACGTACATCAATATTTGTCCCCACTTGATTAAATTTGCATAGGCCATTGCAAGCATTTTCACATCCACATCGTTTGGCACATCCACAGTAGCAACAACAAATAATGATAATGATGATTATAATAACTAAAAGAAAAAGAATACCAAAAGCTAGTCCAATAGCTCCTGCAGTTGTCAGGCCATTAATACAACCCGAATATGTGGTGTTGACTGTGCAATTAATATACGCCATTGTCTAAGTACTGTTAACGAGAAACCATGCTGAAACGATGGGATAACTGAAAAATAAGTTTTCTTTTTCTTTTTTTACAATTCCTTATGTAGTTGTTTTTTCGTGTATGAATTTATTTGAGTAGAAGACAGGCAAGTGCTGCTACGACAGAATCGAAGGGTGTTGTGTGGGCGAGATGAAAACAATTCAATTTTTAATACATTAGAAGAATATATGTGAACAAGTATGTGTGCTGACGTCAATGTCACGTCATCAAATTCGAACTCGTACGAACACAAAGTATTCTTTTTCGAAGAGAAATTATTGAAATCTGACTGCATAGGCTTAATAAGCAAGTAGACAACTTAAAAACATGCCAAATAATCGATTAGCTGGAGTCATGAATACAAAGAACACTCTTCGCTGCTAAGTTACCCGGGTCGAACAGATCTGACTTCGCGACTTTAGTATATAATTTGTATAGCTAAATGAAGAGCGACAATTCACTGAAAATTGTATGGAGACTTTATTCATCTCTTTCTCAATGTTTCACTGTTAAGTAAATTTCATTCACAAAATTACGTCATGTTTCACTCTTAACAGAAGCTTGTCCATAGTAACGGTAAACAAACTGCGCGTGGTGAGCAACATGAATTAGTAATGCATATTGAAGTGCTTGATGTACAACGATATGCTGTATTGTTGCATGGCTCCAATATCGAGCAGGAAATACCGGGTGCACAGTAGCTTGCATTATTTGGTGTGCGATAATCAAAACAAGGCTTTGGTGATAAAACACAGGTAATGTTGTCATTGTTGATGTTAGATCGACATTGTTGCAACGAACAATATGATACTGAGTTCCATGCAGAATGAGAAGATGATGATAGAGTAAATTCAACGGCAGTATCAGTTTTGTTACAAACGACATTAGGTTTTTGAGGTGTCTGACCTAAAACAAAAGAACGGTCACAATATCGCAAAACTGCAATATATCCATAAAAGATATTTACTAGTCATTTCACAATACCGTCCTGTTCGACCAGGTGGGCATATACAAGTGAGTTGTGTTCCAACAGCAGCACATGCAGCATTGTTTAAGCAGGGTGACGAAGCACAGGGATTCACTAGCATTGCACAATCGACACCAGTCCATTGTGCTTTGCATGTACACGTATAACGGCCATCAGGAGTTGATACACAGGTTCCTCCAATCAAAGTAATAGTACAAAGTTTTTCGAATTTCGTTGTCAGACTCACCCTGATTCTGACACGGTGAAATTCGGCATGGTTCGTAAATACTACAGTTAACTCCGCTATAACTAGGCTGACATAAACATGTGTATGTATTATTCAAGCCTGATAAACAAGCACCATGTGGCGAACAAACGTTCAGACAACAGAAATCAATAGACTGGCAGAACGGACCTGTGTAGCAGGCACTACAATTACAATTAACCGTCCCATTGTCGTATCTTGAGCAGATGCCACCATTTAGACATGGCGACGATGCACACCAATCGACTATAGAATGCAAGAGACAAAAAATATCACATCTGATTGAAAAATCTCTTTTCGATGATACTTTTTCGACAATCGAGAATAATTCCAGAGAACGTGGATGTTCCACTACACCACGGAGAGCCAACATCGACAGTAGTGCATGTTGTATAATTAACGCCCTTATAGGTAAACGGGAAAGAACAATAGCTCATATTTCCTACACGAAGCAAGATCATTCGTTTATCATGAAAACGTTATTATGTGACAAACCTGATTCAAGAAGCAAACTGGTGTCATTAAAAGACGCTTGGTATTGACCAATACTCCAGTTTGAGTTAACTTTATTCGTCAGTACAGTATCAAAGTCACGCAATGAATAATTTATTGTCGTAACAAATATTGTAACTTCACCCGATGGTCTACAATAAGTTTTTCAACGATCACTTTGTCTGTTTTTCCATTTAATCTTACCGAATAGTAATATTACTAGCAAAAGCCCTGCTATTTGTCATATCCATTATTGTTTCGTTCATATATGAGATTAACAGTTGATTGTTCAGTGTCGATTCATTTGAATTATAATTGAGGAGGTAAATTCTATAGGTAGAATTCGTGAAATAATAAGACTCGCATTGACGTCCGTAGTATGCTGGTGGACATAAACATATGAAGTCTTCTATATCAGCTTGGTAGACACAAGTACCCTGATTTTGACAAAGTGTCGAACCGCTTTGACAAAGATCTAAATAAATTCGATATCATAGCAATTTGAAAGCAAAAGTGCTATTTCTCCCTACATTGAGTTCGACAATTGCGACCTAAGATCTGCGTTAACTCACAAAAACACGTCCAGTTTGTATCGGAAGGTAAACAATGTATTGGAAAATCCGGCGTACTATTACATGGGTTTATCATGTTCAAAGTTTCACACGCAGTATGTTGTTGTGTAGGTAAACCAGTCGAGTCACACATTCTGCGATCAGCTACTGTATAGTTTTGTCCATACGCACAATAAGCATTCCCGTCTATGGCCACATGACATACTGATGATTGTTTAGTATAGTATCCATGTGGTAAAGTACAATACGGAGCAGCTAAATCAACAGACAACCATAGAAAATAAATATCGATTGTTTATTTCGAAACTTACCATTCAGCGGTAGAAAATCGCTGATATCAGTGAGACTCGTGTTATCATACACTAAATTGAAGTAAGGTGGAAGATTGGCAAGAATGGGTTGAATAATATCATAAATCTGTCGTTGAGTTATATTACCGGCAAACGACATATCAGCGGTAATCTGGATGAAATTGCCCGTATAAGTTGAAAAACTAAATTGATGCAAGATGGATATTTCTAACGAGTGTCGATCCCCCTCGAACATACGTAGTGTACATCAACGGTGAAAAGTCAAAACTTGAATTGGTTTGATTACGAATCAAACCCTGGAATAAATTTGTTAAATTCTGATAAGTTTGGGTTGTAGACGATTCCAGAGCATTTAGGGTAGTCTTCGACATACCTGGAGCTTTGAATCTAGCTTTCGCTCGAAAGTAAGCTAAAGACCAATTCTTCAATAAAACATTACAATTACATTTCAAACAAAAAAATCCCTACTGTGTGTACACAATCTTCCAGTAAAGCCAAAGTTACACGAACAAGTGAATGTTGAAAACAGAACTCCAAATGCATATCGTATAGATGGAATACAAGAGCCATATCTGCATGGTTTCTGTTTACAATAGTCGACTAACACGAAGCCCCTATCATATCTTTTTTTCTCAGGAAAATATTTTTCATACTTTGACAACTATTTGGCCGACCTGAAGCACTTTTACACCATGGGACAGTTCCATTCATATAATCATTGCTTGTTATACAGCTATTCTGTGATTGATATTCATTGTCGATAAAAGGGAAAACACATCCAGTGATATCTGAAAAGAAGACTTAAGAAACATATCGACGGTAACATTTCTTACTATAATGACAATAGATTCCTCCATAGCCCGGAGCACAATTGCATTGATAAGAACCCGCTGATAGAACAACGCATGTGCCATTGTTCAAACAATTCATATCATTGCATTGCGATACTAATTTCAAAAAAAATTAAAAGAGTGTGTAACTCATCATTACAAAAATTCTGTATAAACAGACATACATTGATCGCAGTTTGCACCTATGATATCAAACGAGCATTGACAGTAAGAGTTCGGACCGTTCCGAACACACGTACCATTATTCTGGCATGGTGATGAATCGCAGAAATCTGTGGAATATTGGTATCGTTCACGTTCTTGTTTTTGTTCCATTTCTATTGATGAACTTTGAATATGTCCCATTGTAGTTCTGTCATTCGAATAGAATATTGTCGCAATGAAAATAATTGATTTATTCAATGAATTCGAATGCATCCAAAAAAATGTATATTCTGATTGATTTGTGCTTAGCATAAAAGAATCTTCGTTTGTTACTGCTTGCTCTAATGATGTTGAACAATGAATCACCTGACCATCCGTTGGAGTGAACGGATGCCATAAACCCAATAATCTAGTTGAATCACTTGCACCCATAAGAAACCATGATATGTTAGAGGGAGTTTGTTTTCTTTCAAGTTTGACTTTGATGATATTGGATGATCGAGTTCTTTCGAATTGAATTGTATAATTCCCATCCGTGTTCTTATTTGATCCTGACAAATCCAAATCTGAACACGGAGTAGCGTTCGAAAAATGTATTACGATATGAACTAGAAAGTTTATAGCCAACAATAAAAACATGATTAAATAGTAATCCTCCTCTGTAAAAGTACAACTAAATATTCAGAATACGAACAGAAAGAATATTTTCGATTGATAATGGTTTTTGTATTACTGAAAAGAACAACATACTGCCCACTCAATGAGAAAATAATTATATGAAAAAAAAATCTTTTCCCTCTAGATTTCTATTTCATTGATTGTATAAACGGAGCTCTGTATTCGAATAGAAGGTATGTTCTATTCCAATATAAACTCTTCGGACACTATTGACATGTTGTTTTCTGTTGTGCTGTATATTCGCTCGCGAAAATCTCTGAGAAAATTCCATCTGATAAATCATTCTTCTGTCAATAGTAAACAAGCTATATTAATAATCAAATGTTGGATTGTATTTTCTGTATTCGCAACATTCATGACTTCGGAAGTATTAAGCAAAGTGGGCTATGCTCGAGGGGTGTGATTGAGCAAAACCGTAGTCACTGGTGGAATGTTCTAATAGTTATTGATTTCTATTTATCAACGAACTACTATATTTCCGACAAAAATGAAAGATCATTATTTGTATAGTTAGTAGTAACAAATCTTTTTTTTCATAAAAAAATAACTAAAATCCTAACCAGTCTTGTCATATTAGTCAATAGTAAATTTTTGCACTCGATTATTATTCTGATCGACAACATAGAGAGAACCATCTTGATCAAATGATAGACCAACAGGATATTGAAATTGATCCGAATTGTCACCGCGCCCATTTGCACCAACAATTATCACGCCCTTCTTCGCATTATACGACCAACGCACTATGCGATGGTTCCAACTGTCAGCTATGTAAATATTACCGAACCGATCAACAACTAAACCTTGTGGATGATCTAAATTTGCACGTGAGTCACCTTGACCATGCCCACCTGCAACAAGCATACCTTTCAAAGCCCCGTCTACCCACTTCATAACACGATTATTATGGTGATCGGAAACATAGACAGAGTGATCTTGATCGACAAAGAGTGCAGTTGGTGAGTTGAGTTGATTAGGAAAATCTCCCTTTCCATTTCCGCCAGCGACAACTGTTCCCTCTGCTTCACCTGTTTTCCATCGTTTGACTTCATGCCTTTCGCCATCCGAAACATACAAACTACCATTGTCATCGATCGTTAAACGAGAGCAGTAAATGTTCGGTATAATTATTTGAGGACTTCTGTCGCTGCGATGAAACCAGCGTACAACACGACTATTGCCACGATCACAGATAATTAAAGAATCATTCTTCTTATCGACAATAACATCTGTTGGACGATCCAATTGATTGAGTGCTTTACCAGGTCCATTTCCCCCTGCCACGATTTCACCATTCATCGCATTGAACCGCCATCGAACAATACGATGATTATCATGATCAGCCAGATAAATCGTTCGATCGTCATCATCCACATAGATACCACGAGGATAAGCTAGTTGGTTTAATTTCGAACCTCTGCCATTACCACCAGCAATCATGATTCCATGTCGTTTCCAAACACTATTATTATTGATATTGATCGAAGGTAATGGTTGTTCTAAAGAATAAGAAGAACGGGGGAAAATCAACAATTATCTTCAATCTCAAACGAATATAAACATACGAGAAGAAACAGTAACAAGAATTTTGTTAATTAATGGTGTTGATGTATGTTGTACAGTTATAACTGACGAACGATCTAATTCCTCTACTAAATGGCCTAATCTTTCCTTAGACTCTTCTAATTTCTCTTTGAACTGATTGATATCCATTTCGTTGAAGTCGTCTTCATGTCGCATAGCTTCTATTTGATCCGTTAATCTTACTAAATGCATGTCGATTTGATGAATATCATTCGAAGGATGTTGAGATAGAATTTGTCGACATTCGTTTGCTGTTTGTTGAACTAATCGAATCGAGTCGTATTCCCATTGATCAATTTGACGAAACAATAGTTCATTATTTGTTCGACTAATTTGAAAATTAAGCGCTTGCCGGAAAAGACTATAGTTACTATAGACATCTTCAAGTTGTTTGTTTAGCTCCTGATGATGTTGAATAAAGTGAGTGTAGCAGAAATCTTGTAAACAACCAGTACATTTCGATGTTGCGCGTTCTTTATCACATCTGACACAATGTGATTTTCTTAGGCCTGATGACATCGCGAGAATCGAATAAGTCGAAGCCGATTCCTTTTCTAAATAATGATAATAACAAGAGAGAAAAGAGACAACAACGTCGCACTATGTAAACACGAAAATAACAAGATAGTTCAATGTCAACAGGTATTGAAATACAGTAATGAGTAATTGACATATACATTCATTCAAGCGTTTTTACCATTCTGTTCCATCGAAATAGAATGTGTGCGTGTGCGTGCGTCAATGAAAGAAAATTAATTTTCGTTCGTTTACTTTTCTCAGTGCATACGATAACACTTGCATATGGATAAATAAGAGAACTATATGAAAATATTTTCTCCGTTCTTTGAATTCAGAAGGTAATAGAATGATAAAATATTCATGTATGTATCAATAAAATAATAATGATACAATCAAGGCCAATGGTTTTTTTTTCTCCATAGAGTTATGTAGCTAAAAGTTCACAGTTGAAAGAGAGAGAGAGGAAGACCGCGTGAGAATTGATTGATACGAGAAACCAGCTCTTATGCTTTATTTTCATCAAAATAGATAAATAAAATGAAATATTCATTTCTTCCATTTCATAGGTTACCTAGTTGACTAGTGGACTTTCCACCATTGATTTTGCGGTAGATTCTTAGGGTGTTCGTCAGTAACACGAAACATTAGTCCATATACTAGAATACCATTGAGAGCATCAATATATTGACCAGGTTTCCAATGAACAACCCATTCTAGCACATCATTCGAAAAATTTGGATCGGCTTTTTGTTTATCGCGTAAACGTGCACCAGTAAGTGTTCCGGGATGTTTTTCAATAAGCTTTGGATACACTCGAACTTGTAAAACCATTTGAACGTACTTCGATTTAATCTGTATTATTTTTGCGTAACGTGGATGTCCACTGTATTCGATGCTCGGACTAAGGTAAACTCCGCCATGATTCGATCTAAGAAAGCATCCTTGACCGCTGGCACGCAAACCATTGAGAAGAATTGTCATTGCTAACGTTCCTGCTGTTCCATGGTAGGCTACTGGCCAACTTCCATATTGTTTTTCGAACTGTGCACCAGTCATACCGACATCTATGGCATATCGACGCCAACCATTTGGACAGTAATACGGTTCACCTCCTCTGTCTAAACTTTGGACGAATGATGTTGCCATGAAACCGACGGCCGTCTCTCGTCCATCACGACTGTATATTCGGTTGAATGCTGGATTCATAGCGTGTCGAAATCCATTGAGACCAAAGTTGCCAATCAGAACGCTGCGGACATTAAGATTAGCTAGTTTTGAAATGATTTTTGCGATCAAATGAGGTATATTTTCCGAGATTTCCACTTCTAGTCTGACTGTTTTAATATCGCCGTTGATTCGTACTTCTCTTGATCGGACTGCCTGAAAATTTCTACTAATATCGCTCAGTATATTTTCGGCAGTTCTATGACTAACGGATGAATCGAGTACAAAGTCAAAGCATAGAATTCGCTTTCCATCAGTTGGCAGAGGTAATTGACCATAGGCAATACATGGTAGCAAAGATGCACCATTACTGGGATTTGCTTGAGTAGCTGCATCATGAACAGTTTGTGTGACCGCTTCCGTATGTTCTTGTAATAGTTCGGGTTTGTTCAGAATCACAGCATACAGAAATTTACGTACCCGTTCTAATTCAGTCAAGATGACTTTTTTTCCTAGCATGAATGTTTGATCAGGTGGCAGCATTTCGCGTATTTGCTCGAGCCATTTATTAATACAGAATTGAAAGTGTACAAAGTCGTCTTCCAAACCGTGATAATCAAGAAATTCCTGTAATTCGCTATCAGATGTGCCCGTTTCCATCACATAGTAAGTTAAATAGTCCGCAACCTTAGTGAACCAATTAGGTTCTCCACGGCATAATAATCTTGAACGCCTCCTCATGTTTTCACCGACGTTCGTGTTTGGAAAAAACAGCGAATTGATGAATGCCACCGGACTTAATACAAAATCCCCTGCTTCACCAGCATAATTCGCTAAACCAAGTGTATATTTGTTAGCAGCTTGTATTCCTACTAATTTTTCTTTCAGTGGTTCAAATACTTGACGAATATCTTTTGCTATCTCTTGTGTCAAAGCAGTGACTTCTTAAGGTCTGTCACTCGTGGATCTTCGATCTTGACGATTGAAAAACTCCGTCACTCTTTGGTCAATGGTTAAATCATCATTATCAAGAAAATTGAGGGTATCATCGCTCATTAAACTTTCAAATCCGGATTCGTGTAATGTTGTAATCAAAGAATTGATTCCAAGTCCATTAATATAACTGAAAAATCTGCGCAACGCCTGCATTGATGTAAAAACTGTGGTAGCCTGTTGCAAAGGTCGTAGCTGATCTAACAGGTTTCTTTTGTATTCGTTCAGCTTTTGCTGAGTAATGTGATGATTGAAAACATCGACAAATCTATCTATCCGCTTACGAAGTTGTGGAAAGAATTCCATGTCGCCTTGTTTCAGCATTTCTTCGAGTATATCAGAGCTTGCAGTCGTGTCATTGAGTTGAACCATACTGGATCGATAAATTTTATCAAGTGACAAACGAAGGATTCGATTCGACGATACTTTTTGTATAGTACTCTGATTGAAATAATCGTTGAAAAACTCATTTATATACAGTGGGAAAGATTATTTGTATGTTTTGTGTGATCTTTTTAACAATCTTATCAAGGGACACCTTAGTACTTATCATTGATGCAATAGTACAAAGATGAAGCATAAGACTGATAAAAACTCACTACGCAGTTTTTTTTTCAACACAAATAACGAAAGACAATTTGAATTTTCCTTTGAGTCAATCTTTTATTTTCGTTAGGTTTGTTGTTTCAAATCCGAAGCCCCGCATACATGACAGGACTTTCACGAAACATTAAAAGACATGTGTTATACAAAAAATTTTGAAGCGAGACATAGCACTAAAGCAGTGGTCGTATAGTTTTGACAGACACTAGTATTGTTTAATCCTCGACGCGTGATATAGTATACAGCAAATGTGCCTAACCAATGTCCTCCTTCATAGTGATTCTCATCGATAGCGATCAATCCAGCTTGAGCATTTCTTCCACTCAATTCAAGTAATTGATCACGACGTTCTTTTTGTTTACTATCCAAAGATAAACTATCAACAATTCCTTCTAACATCCATGCACGACTTAGACATAGACCAGCAAGGTGAATTAATTTCGGATCTGTTGGGTCAGCAATTGAAGGTGGTTCGAGCGTAGATGGAAGAACATTCGGTGGAAGAAATTCATTGAACCATGCAACAAAGTCTTCAGATCTGTCCTTCATCACACGACGTAGTAGATCAGCTTCAGCTAAACCAGACGAAAGAAAGTCTTCACCAGATGGTTCATATGGGAAAGGATAATTTTTATCAGTGATAAAATAATCCGATGAACGTCGCTCGATTAATTCAATGAAAGCAACATTCTTCATTCGACGAGCATAATCAAGTATAAGACCAAGTGCAAATGCAGTTTGGCTATGTTCACCGCTACGAATAGGATATAACAACTTTGGAAGCCAAGCAGAGAGACGGGTGACAATCAGTGTTTCCAATGGACGTAAATTCTCTCGCCATTGACGAATCTCGTCGACGTTCTGAAACATATTCGAAAATCGAGAATCTATAGATGGAAGTTAGCTCGACTTACCTGTTGTTCTTCATTAGCCCACTCATCTAACTCAGTGGCTAATTGCAAAAACCACGCTAATCCATAAGGTCGTTCAAACGAAGACCGTTGGCTATTGCTGAGATACGCGAATTCACCTTGAAGTTTTTCTTTTGTAAGGCTTTTCGCCAGCGCTTGACGACATTCTATTGTGAGATTTGCATCGACTCGAGCTAGACGAGCCAAAAGCCAATGACCATGAACAGCCGAATGCCAATCATAACAACCATAAAAACTCGGAGTTAAATCTCGAGGTGCTTGAATATCGGCATCGGACATCAGAACATGACCGATTCTAGTCGGATATTCTTGATGAACACACGCTAGAGCAAGCGAAGCAAATCGACGACGCATTGTGGCCATATCTGCATTCAAAACAAATCGTCTTTATTCGATCATCGAAATGAGCTATAGATTATTGTATTAATTTTTACCTGTTACTGAATCATTGGCATTTATTTTGTGTTCGAATAATCTTTGTTCAATACTTGGCGAAGAAGTGATCACGACTGTAATTGTCAAGAGGAGCACAACATGAATGCTGTTCATCATCATGTATCAAAAACAAATGACAGCAGTATATTTCGTCTATTCCAGTCAAATACTTCAAATGAAGATAGTGATCATACTGTCTTATCAAATTTTCATATACGACATAAAAAATTATATAATATACTTCAATGATATACGAGAGCACTTTACTATTTTATCATATGTTTTACGAGGAGAAGTTGATGGAGAAATTCATTTTCTTTTTCTTTCCAGTTAAATTCAATTGTAGATACATATATATATATGTACAAAAAAAACATCGAGAATGAGATAGTATTAAGAGGAATCAATACTGCCAAGTTATACAATACATATGTTGGTTTTTTCCCTATGAATGATAAGAACACAAGTCATTTTGATACTGATTATCGACTTGTAATCATGTTCTCTTTCACGTGTGTAGTCGGGGTCAATCAAAAATTCGTTCTGTATCATCAGTCTAGAAGAGCAACAAGAATGATGAAATTCGAGATGGCGTTGATCAGCTAATATCGACAGGATTCGCGATATTTTGGATCGATTTGATTATCATTTGATGAGAACGATACTTCACAGTACAGAATTCAAATACTTTGATTTATGCCTTTTCATTTGCTTTTCTTATTATTTAACATAGATACTGCATTATAAATATACTTTGCGAAATTTCTTTCAGAAATATGTAAATTATGATGTTTTACGATTCTGTAACTTCACAGAAGTCACGATAAAGTGTCTTCTACCGTCGATTATTCACTCGATTCTTATCTTGTTTATATACTTATTTACATAATCTGTTTTAAAAATACAGCGAAACATATGGTACTGAAACGTACTCTACTACTCAACATACACTGATGCTTCTTGACGTTGCTTAAATGATTATCGTTGAACAAAAATAAAAAAAGATGATTGATAAATCAAATTAGGAATAAGTTGGATAATTTCCGTGAAAAGGATTGTAAATTTCCGAATTCCATTGTTGTGGACTGTTCAATGTGACTTTCTTTTCGTCCAACTGATCGAAAAAACTGTCAATACCGCCCATGAGAATTTTCACTACGTACTATAGAATAAAAGATAATGATTAAGAAAAAAGGCACGATTGAATAAGTTGTATACTCACATCACCAAAGCCAAACGGAAAATCTCTTCCCTGGCACGCTTGAATTTCTTTCCTTTCACTTTGATAATCATCAACAACATCAAGATTTGGAATTTGTTTATCCCAGTTATTCAGATACGACATACTGTTGTCATCATCTGAGATACAAAAAAGAAACGTCTCAAATATAAGCTAAATATTTCTCATTTACCTGTACAAGCAATAATCGTCACTGGAATTTGATTAATAGGTCTGCGTTCATTTCGAAGTACATGTTCGAGAGTACGAACATCTGACTGTTCACGTTCGTCTGTTGGCACTCCATCAGTGGCAAGGAGTATTAACAAATTACGCTCGTATATCTGATTACGTTTATCGTGAAGCACTTGCCGGAAAACAGGAACGATAGGTGTAGAACCTTGAAGAAAAAGCACGTGTTTTATGTGATTCAGTTTAATATTTTTCATAAATGAATTTTTCAGTTACCTTCTGGTTCCAAAGCGAAAATAGTTTCGAGTTCAGAAGAATTACGTACGTGGAGCATCGGTTCCCGATTAAGGAAATAAACATCAACACCGTCCGGATCAAACACACTGGCAAGATCAACGACAATTGATACTGTTTGCTTCAATTCATCCCCTACACATGCAATCAAGTTCATCTGAAATCTGTCAATGTCAGTCAAGCCTTACAACGTGTTCTTTGTTGTTCATATGGGTTAATGTTTGTTCCTAAAGCACGAAAGATCGTTCCATTTCCAACCTTCATCAAAGAAAACTCCACTTACCGAGTGGTGCAGTCATCGAACCAGAGTCGTCGCATATGAAAACAATTTCATAGCCTTTCAATTTTCGTAATCTTTCCGCGAAAGTTGGATTGACTATATAGATTGAAATGATGATTACCGTTTTCGAACAGATAGTGACCTACTTTCATAACGTCTGACAAATTCATCGAGACCAGGAAGTGATTCCTCAGATGGCTGCGGAAAATTCCAATTTGTCGGTTGGTAAGATAATCGAGAATCGTTCACAACTGATTCGTAAGACGGGGGTGGAGAAGATGGTTTCTGAGGATTGCGCGAGTCCATTCCAACACTAATAAATGAATGTTGGATGATATTTGTTCGGAGTGTTGATCCTCTCCAGAGAAAGCAAATAATGTTATAGGGCGAGAGCGTATACAAGGCAACACGTTTCAATCCGTTGCACGGGAAGAAATAGAAGGAAGATAAATAAATGCGAGAGAAAATGAGAGCAAGTGAAGAATAATGACGTTTAACAGAGTATGAGTATGACGTACGCAATTTGAATAATTCTTCTTGTTTCTGCTAAATACAGTTCACTTCCATTGGAAGTAATAAATTTGAAATTCGAACGCTTTGATTTCTACGCAATTCAATTGAATACGATTTTCGATAGAAGATTCTTGTAGAAAAAAGTTCGTTATTTACATTGATTATTCATTCAAATTCTCGATGTTCTTTTATCCAATTGGTCCTTCATGTCAAAGCAAAAATAGTACAAAAGATCGTTTCTGACGGTGCATTTGAGTATTAGTTGACTCACTATAACGATCAGTATGCTACCATAGTTATGTTATTCTCCTCCGACTACTCACAGATGTCTCTATCTACCGTGACGTACTGATAAAATATGTGTACGTTTAAACAATATCACGAACGCATCACAGGTTGCAATTCGATCATTTAACATGATCGGTGAATAGATTTGTATAATTTTGAGCAAAAAAAAATCAACCCGTTTGTTTCAAAAGTTATTAAACAATCCAGATTAAAGATATTTGTTGTCAATTCATAACAAACAGGCGTTTTAATATCGATGTGAACCTAGCACGAGGGAGCTGGCACGAACAAACGATGTGTTAGCTAGAAATGTTTTTACTAAATAAGTCCCGTCCTTGAAAAATATACCATTCGACTCAGAATTTAATTCTGCACTGAATGGTCATGTTTCTACTCACGGGACAAACTTTGGAAAAATGTTTACATATATCTTTGTTTGCCTTCAATAGGTCTATTCATGATCCAAATAAAATTTGTCCAAAGTTTGTCCTGTGAGTAGAAACATGATCATTCGGTGCAGAATTAAATTCTGAGTCGAATGGTATATTTTTCAAGGACGGGGCTTATTTAGTAAAAATATTTTTAGCTAACGCATTGTTTGTTCGTGCCACCTCTTTCGTGCTAGCTTCGCATCGATAGTTTTAATCAAGTTCATCAGCAATTGTATCGTTATCCAGCATTCTGTTGTAGCATGGTGAATCAGGATCGGTAAAGTGTCGATGGACTATTCGAATAAAGGAGAAAGAACTTCTATGATATTTGATTAACATGAAATCTTACTATCTGTATCGTCGGTTGCTAAACATCGCCAACAGAATTGAGTATTACACAATGTACATTTGACTGCATGACACCCAGCATATTTATCAATCGGTGTTCGACATTTTGGACAAGCTTTGCAAGATGATTTGCCGAGATTATATTGCAAAATCGCATCTTCGTCCTTGTCATTATGCAATTTTTGAAATTGTTCACACGTCATACCAGTATGGTACTCAACTTCGCATGGTGTACAATAGACTTTGATGCATTGATCGCAAAAATACATCGATGAACGATCCGATAGACGATATACCTATACAGGATCGATATAGACAAGCACATAAACAAATTAAAGTCGTCTTTACCTGTTTACAATCAATTCCCATACATTGTGCTAGATTGTTTTCACCTCGACGAATATAGATTTGGAATGCGATCATTGCTAGACGCGTCATTCGTTCAAAGCCAAGTATCGAAACAATGTCACGGATGAGACAAACAGCATTACAGTTTTGCAGTGGACACGATAATTTAAAAGCATCAGAACTGATCGTCACATCGAAATACGTATCGAAGTAAGCGGTTAAACATGAACGACAGAATGTATGTCCACACTGTTGTAGTGCATAAGGAGAATCAAAGTCACAGGCACATATTGGACAAGTGTTTGTTGTATCTGCCGACTTTTTCTCATCGACATGACCTGAAAGTTGAGAAAAATTGTCCAGAAACTGTGTCACTTTCTGTTCACAACTTGTCACTGCGTCCCGGTCGCCCGTTATTGTGATTACATGTTTGATTACATTAACCACTACTGTTGTTTTCTTGTTATTCAGCTCGCGGAATTTTTTTGCATTTTGTATGCATAGTCGAATACAATCTGTAGAAATGCAAGATCGAAAATTGATATTCACCTGAGAAAACTTATTGATACTGACTTTGAGGAATTGGAATTGATATGGAGTGTCCGCGTTGAGTGATAGTCTCTTGGACGTAAGTGCTTATCTGCTTGTACGCCTCTTGACACGCTTCGTCTTCACCAAATATGCGTAGAAAAGTTGATTTCCAATTCCACCAAATATATGTACTTGTACGATACTGAAGATCACTCAAAAATCGTTGTCCAGCTGTATCGAAAAGTACCGTCACCTAAATGAATGCAATCACAATGTATACATTCTTTCGTAGCGCGAACTTACCCACGAATGATCATATAGTTGAAATTGCAAACCTTTCAAAAGATCATCGAACAGTAATCGTGCTTTATACGATTGTTGAAGATTCGATCCTCGAATAGATATTAGAACATGCGATTTATCATACAGTGTAATCGGTTTTTTTAACAGATTTACACTGGAGTAAGTGGAATCTTCTTTGATAGTTTTGATGGTCTGTTCGAGTTTATTGTCGATAGCTTGAGCAAGTGTATCTTGAAGAACAATTCGATGTGAAACGATAGGAAGGAATTGAAGTTGATTAAGTTCAGTTCTTTCAATAGTAGCACTATCCAATGACTCACACAAGTTGATAGCTGTGATAATTTCACGAGGATCATGAAAACGAATGTATGCGACAGCGCGTCCATCTTCGGTCGGTGAACGCAGTTCGATTTCTGGCTCGGAGAAAAGTTGAATTTGCGATTCGAA